CGTGATACTCTGGGTCATCCCCTGAGTTTCAGTGGAACTCTGGATCTGGCGAGCCTCCACGTCCTGCGCACGCCGTTCCGCTTCTCCTCGGGCGATCTCAGCGTGGACCAAGCGATCCGTAAGTTCCTGGATCTGGCGACGCGCGTCCAGGTCACGTTGTTCCCTGAGGCGCTCGCGCTGCAAGGCATCCAGGCGTTCTCTGGCGAGAAACTCGCGTTGCTCCTGTTCCATGCGGGCCTGCCACTCCTGCTGTTGTCGCAAGACGTTCAGCTCGATTTGGGCGGGCCCAGACCTCGCGGACACGGACGAAACTGACCCAAGATTCCTGGATCCACTCGAGCGGCTCGACGCAGATGATTTTCTGGATTTCGTCGAGCGTCGAGAGCGCACCTCGCTCTTAGAGCTCTGGTGTTGACTCCGCTCATCGGCGCTGACATCCCTTGGACCACCAAATCCAGCAATCGGGGCAGAAACCCTGAGTTTCGGCTCGGGAGTCGTGGCTGAAATCCTGGGGAGACCGGCCTTCCTGGGTGCGATCTCTGCGTCAGAGTGCACCGACGATGCCATCTAAACGTCATCTTGGTCGACTGACACAATACGCGACGGGATGACTGTCCGCGTGACCTGAAATCCAAGATCACCGGCAGCTGCAAAGCCACCGGCACTCTGGGCCACAAGCGCTAGAGCTCCAACTCGTTGTCCAAGCGACATCATCGACGAAGACGAAGAGCTACCATAAGACGTTTGAACGCCCGAGGCAGTACTCTCATCCGAAGCGCGCGAGGTACCGATGACACTTGGCACCGCGCCTGGGGTAGCGTCCTTGGCTTCCGCCTCCAGAGAATCACGTCCATTGGACATGGAATTCAGGGGAGTGGAATTCTGAAGCGAGGCACCAGTCGAAGACTTGTACGCTGGAAGAGAGGACAGCGACGGTGTAGACAGCGCGGATGGCGTTGACGGGACTTGTGGCCGAGGCGGTACATGCTGAGTACGCTTGGATCGTGGCTCACCATCACTCGACCCTCGTGGGCTCCGTGAAATCCGGAGTCCAGTGACTCTGAATCTCAGGACAAACTGTCGGCTCAGTAGATCCGCATCGTAGTCCGTCATCAATAGATCACCGTCTCCATCTTCCTTGTGGTAGTCCAGTCTTGGTGCTTGCTCTTGGGCGCTTGGTGCGGCGTGATCTTCGGAGTTTACCTTGAAAGGCACACCAGCTATCACCAATCTCCACTCGACCAGTTCCACAGCGATGAAATTCTAGGTTTCCTCCATGACAGAGCGCACCAGACTTTCTGGAATCCTGGAAGCACGCGTCGAAGACCAGCCAGGGATCAAATTGGCAAACTCAAATCCGGCTTCGAAGAACAGAGTCTGCAGAATGGCGACGCATTCGCGGGTGGTCATGATACTCTGGGGAATCGTAGTCGCCATGAGGTCCTGAGCAGTTCCGACGCCCCACCGGGCGAGGTGAAACTCAGAGATCCAGGCTTCATCTTGATTCTCCAGAGACAAACGCCACTTGAGGTAGTCTCCCGTTGCGTATGCGGCCGCGAAGTACGAGTTGGCATCCGGTTTCGGAGTCGGCCACTCATAAACGACACTTGGCGGCGTCACCTTCCCAGGATTCACCTCTTCCCAGCGTCGAACTTCACGTCGAACGTACAGCACCATGCTCCCGGCGTCCAACGCCGCTGCTCCCGATTCCGGAGCAGGCGCAGCAGCTTCCCGGATGTCGCTTTCAGGCGTCTTCCTGGGTGCCGCCTGCGAACTTGGCGCTGAAACTCTGGGTTCAGGTGGTGCGAACCCAGAATTCACCTTGGAACTCTGAGTCTTCGCCTCCTCCTTTGCTCGCACGGGCTCCGACTTCACTTCCACAACAGACTCGTCCGAAGATGAGACCAAGTCAATCACCTCCGGAGGCTCAACCGCATTGGCGCCTCCCTCAGACGCCTGAGCACCACCCTCGCGGGTGTGTTCCTCTGGGACTTCAGGAATCCGCGACCCAGAATTCACCTCCGTCGAACCTTGGAACCCAGGGGAAACTTCTTCCTCCTGAGTTTGCGATCCAGCGGCAGGCTGACCTTGGACTGCAGACGCCTCGACGCCCCCACCTTGCACTGCCTCGCTCTCGCAAGCAGCCTTCTTCGCCTTCCGAGCGTCGCGGACGACTATTTCCAGGTCCTTATGCTCCTCAGGCTCCATACCTTGAACACGACGCGACTGACGTGACGCCTCACCGCGTCCTCCGTCACCGCGTCCACTCTTCTTCGCCCCTCGTCCTCCAGGCATCTTGGTAGCTTGAAGTTGACGGGTACTCAACACTTCTTCAACACTTGATTCCGGTGAAATCCTCGACAATCGAATCCGGGCACGCGCACCAGCTGAGGCGAGGCCGATGAAACCTTTGTCGCCCAGGGGGGTTCGTATAGCGCAGCCCAAGACTGTTCCCCAGGGGTAGACCCAGAGAATCGACTTGAGAGTCAACAGCAAGAAGATAGACCCAGAGATTCGCAGCCGCAAAGCTTTAAACCCTGAGAATCACACTCCTTGGTTGGCGTGGGTACCTTGTGTAGTCCCTGTCGGCTCGTTTGTCTTCGACGGAACGGCACTCCACCGGTTGTAAATGTAGCCTCGAAGAAGTGCGGGAGCGCACGTCTACTTCAGAACGCACCTCCACACCAAAAGGCAAACCCAGAGAATCAGATCCCTTGAAACCCAGAATATCACGAATTCAGGGTCCAGGATTTCAGTCAACTCTGGGACTTGGAACTCAGAAGACACCTTACCCAAATGCCCTCCTAGCTCGATAAAACCAACAAATACAGAGTATACAAACACTACAACTAGCCGTCACTTATTCTTTTGGACCCTTGGACGGTGGGTCACACACACACACTAGGCTCACTCGAGTCTGAAATTCAGGGGCCTAGCTCCCCTGAGACTCACACAAACGCGCACCACCTCCAATAAAGGAGGAAAATACAATCACTATCAGTTACCTTCCCTTCACACAAGCAGTCAATACAAAATCCTGGAGGCGACTACCTAGCACCCCAGAATACCCTCTGGAATAATATGAAATGGGCTACCACGAGCACAGCAAGTGACCCAACTAGGATATGGAATAGATGGATCACCCCAGGAAGCTCAAGGCCGTCGCTGGTCACCACCTAACTGGACTTGAGTTTGATGGAGCCCACACAGACGGCTGTCCTTCGCCGTTGATGTGCCCTTAGCGTCCCGCGGTCGTAGTCTCGGGTCCTCCGGATTTCCGTCGGCAGGCTTGGCCGAAGTCACTTGCGCAGTACAGGGTAAAAGGAACTCTGTTTGGTTTTTATCAGCTACTTCTCTCTCTCTCTTCTTCGGGCAAATATCTTATGTTCACTATGCTTGGGGTCAAAATGTCTTGTCTTGAGTATACCTTGGGATCAGCGGTCCAATCTTGCGATCGGCTTGCGAATCCATTGTCGCACGGCGTCGAAAGTGCCAATTGTGGGTCCTTAGACTTGGTTTAGTATGGTACAGGACTCCCTCTCGACTCCTCGAAAGTATCCAGTCTGTGCATCCATGACGGTTCTTCAAGGTCACGCATCATTTTGATTGCAGACTGGCTTCGAACTGACTCGAATCCCTGAAAACCAGGTGACACTCAGGGTCATCTTCTGAAATCCTGGGAATTCTGAGGAATCTTGGGGAACTGTGGGGATTCTTGGGTGTTGGCTCGGGAAACACTTAAGTTCAGTATAGAGAGTCTGGATTTATGGTCCAAACCCAGGGAATCATCTTTGGAACTCTGGGTCACCTGCACTCAGGGATTTGAACTCTGGGTCATCGTGCGGCACTCTAGGTTTTCCGTGCGGCACTCTGGGTAACAAGTCTGCTGCAGTGCAGACTCGTGTGTATCTCCTCAAAGCCACACTTTTAGTGGGTTTAGCGGCCTCCTGCGCATGATCATGGTAGTAGTGGGTTGATTCTCAGGGTAATTTGATCCTCTGGGGCACTCTGAGCCACAGCAAGATGAGGCGTACTCTGGGATACATTCTCCAGAGACATTTTCCGCCAGACTTTAGGCACTCATCGTAAGGGAAAGTCCGCGGCTGGACTGAATGTTCTCTGAAATTATGGGCGTGCACTCCCAGGATTCACACTTCCAGCCAGTTGGGCCCATCTGCGGTCAGACGCTGGATTCATCCCGAGAAATCACTTCTCTCCCACAGTCGCCATCCATGTCACACGGATACAGCCGCGCCGTATCCAAGTCATCCACCAATCAGCATCCGATACAAACTCCAGGTCACAGAGCTGACGGCACATCGTCGGCAATTTTCTGGGGACCGCCTCGTGTCAGAAGAGCACCCACTTCGGCCACTGCACTTTGCGGTACGCTCTCTGCAGCTGGTCCAATGTCGTCCCTGTGGCACTCTGAAGGCGTCGCACTGCCCGCCACTGACCTGTGCACCGTACCGTGCGTTTCACACTAACCGCGCGGTCGATAGCTTGCTGACACTGACTTCTCTCGCCCCACAGATCTTTTGCTGTCTGGTACGTGCACGTGTACAGGTTGCGAATCGCTTTATCCAGCCACTGGCGCGTGTTGTCATCATCCGTGTTGTGCAGGGCATCTAGCGGTTCCGTCAGACACATTCTTCCTGTTGACAGGTTATCCTCCATTGCAATCCGAAAGTCATCAAAGTCGCTTTTACTTCTATTCTTCATATTCAGCACTTTAACCGCTTGAACATTGCGAAGCCGCCGTCTGCACTGCTGAGTACGGTCCAACGCGATGCACACGAATGGTGTGCCGACATGGTCCCCTTTATTGAGCGAGTACAGCCATATGCCACTTTCTCGTATCTGATGTGAGTGCCGTCTTGAAATGTAGATGTCGTCTAGCGCCGATTTTTCCCCCCATTTTGGTATGTGAAGCGCTGAGACGTACTGTGGCGGTGTTTGAAAGTCGACACGATGCTATTAGTTTGAGTCCACAATCGAAATTAATCACTCGCAACCCTTGCAGCCGTCTCTCGCTGGCCCACCCCGTCCCGATCAAGGTCTTCGTCTGGGTAAGTGTTGAAGTCGCCCGCTAATACACAGATGTTGCCACTTTGTTCCGCTATCTGAGCTTGCCGTTCGATCCAGGAGCGCTCACGCCGTGTCTCCTCTGGGTTACGATGTGGGCTATCCGGGCAATAGGTTCCTATGATGGTAAGATCCGTGTTGCCCCCCAGTCGGAAGTGCATGCTCAGTGACCGGCCCGACTGCGAGTATGCAGTGCAGCTTTTCCTCCAGCGCGACTGCCACCGTTTTTTATCCATGACGATTGCAACCCGATCATTTCTAACCAACATTAAGGTTGGGGCTGCCGCTCCATCACGTGATCTACTCCATACAAATCGTTCTTGGGCGCCCTGGATTCCAGCGTCTGAAAGTACCAGGAAGTCAACGGAATTTGCTATAAACCACACTCTAATTTCTTCCATCTTACTCCATGTGCCCTTGCTAATGTTCGCGGTGGCAACGCGGATATCCAGGTCTGCGTTGCCCTCGCGCACGGTGCCCTGGTCCCCTATGTAGTGTTCTGCAAAATGTTCCCTTTGCAAGATCTCCTCACGGACGGCATGTTCGCCGCCTTCGGCACTATACTGCCCACGTTCCACGATTGGGTTCCATGCACGCCTACGCCGTCCGCGGTGATGCCGGGTGGAGTTTGGCCGATCTGGCTCTAGTGTTATTAATCTGCGATCTTCTTGCTCTGAATTTTCCGCGTCGTCCGAAGAATAAACCTGCACCTGGTCAATTGTTGTGGTTGCAATCACCCCCACTGACCTTGCCTCAGGATGTACAGCCACTACCGTTGGGACCACGCTTAGTGCTACAAGTAGAATTAGGAACAGATACCTCCATCCAGCAAATCGTTTTGTGCGGTGTGTTATTGGCGGGAGCCTGTACCGCTCTCGAGACCCCCACCGCCAAAATTCGGAATATTCATCGACTGCCCGATCTGCAGCAAGAGCGCCTTGATGTCCGAGGAGGTTTCTTGCTGCGAGGCTCTCATTTCTGCTATCGCCGTATCGTGGGCATCCAGCTTAGTGTTGAGTTCTTGGGTGTGACGAGCAAGCTCGATTTGTATGTCCCTCCGCACGAGTTGGGACTGTTCGCGTACTTCGGCCGCGATTAACGACTTGATCATTGGCATCATGCTCCCGGGTACGAGTTGCCCGTGCGACTCAAGTCTGTTTGCATCGAGACGCTCTCTCAGAGTAAGCGAGCGCCCGCTGTTTCCGGGTACGAGTTGTCCATGCGACTCGAGTCTCTCTGCCTCGAGACGCTCTCTCAACGTAACTGATCGTTCACTGCTTCCTCCTTCGCTACTCGACCGACCGTTGTACTTGATGTGCCCATGCTGCGGAGATGCATGGGATCCGGGGGAGCTTCGTGCTGGTCCTCGACCAAACCTACGAGCTTGATACTGCTCTTGATCGCTCCGGCGCTGGTGGCCCCCGTTCCAGTCTAGTGATTGTATCTTTGAGCAGGTTCGTTGGAAGTGTCCTGGGCGGTCACACCCGAAGCAGAGGTGACGGCCATCCGGGTTGACTCGGTTCACAAACATGCGGATGTTGCCAATCATAAGCCGCTTGGATTGTTTGAAGTTGAACATTTCATACAGTCGGGTAGTGTCTTTAGCGGTTGCTAGGTCAATGTCCCCCGATCGTCGTCCTGGAGGGCATGTTACTCGCGCACCATCAAATCCCAGACCTACCAGTGTAGTCTCTATCACTCATGCTTTGAGCTCTGGCTGAATACCATACAGGTGAAGACGACATTCCATCCTTGCACGTTCCGAGGCAGCCCTCGGTCGCACCATCATCTCGCGCTGGTAGTCCCACTGGACGCTCTTAATTGGCTTCAGCGTGATCGTTGACCCGTGTTGAATATCACGCACAGTCTCCCAGTCGTGCGCCAACCAGGCCTTGTACATGTCGATACGTTCGCAAACATCAGTCGGAAAGCGTACTCCGGGACCTGTGTTCTTGGGCTTTCAGTAGTCTTGTTGATGCAGGAAATCGCAGGCCATTTGAGCGCACGCCCTTGCTTCCGTCCGTGCGATACCGCGATACCCTCAAACGCCCCACACCTCTGCAGTAGTTTGTGTAGATCCACCGCCGATACCGGATTCGGGTTCCTGTACTCGATCTGCAAAATATCAAGGTTGGTGACCCCTTCTCGGGGTAGTACGGCTCCACCCACACGGTGACGCCATGCACTTTCATGTATCCTTTGCGCAAGAACTTCCAAAGTGCCCGGTTGTTGATAACCGGTGTTGCAATCAGTTCTTCTGCTGGCTGGCTGGTCGGGATAAGCTTATCACTGAACTGGGTCCCGTGCGATCCGCACACTTGGACAATGCCAGGGGCCAGCTCCATGATTCCCACAGGCCCAAGCGTTTCCACGAAGGTCGACGTCTCGTCGATGGAGAACGCTAGCATCAGCTGCGTAGACTTGAAACTTTCTTCGAATGCCACCCACTCTGCTTCCGAGTGGTAATGATCGAGCACTGCTTCTCCTTCGATGGCCCTGTCTCCGTTTCCGGTGTCACGTTGCTCCTCCTGCATCATTTCATCCTCTTGATCAGCGCCGTTGTCGTCTGTGTTGAGGCCCGCGTTCATGTCCACGTCCCCGCTTTGCTCGTAGCTTCCTAGCGTCGGTTGGACCGTGTTTTCCGTAGTTCCCTCGTCACGTGGCCGCAGTCCTTCTAGTTGAAATGCTCCTCCGTCTCGGGGTTTCACTGCTGCTTTGCGAACTTCTCCTGCCGTCACCTTCCCTTGCTTCCGCACACATGTCGCTTCCGTCGTCACCTTCCGTGGGCTGCCTCTAACACGGGGCTTAGGCGAGGCAGGTGTCGGCATTTTGCTGAGTTTCTTCGGTTCTTTCTCGTCGCAAGGTGTAGTCGTCGTAGATTCTTGTTGTTTGCGACCTCTGTCACTTGGTTTCTCTTTGGGTAGTTTCATTTTCTTCGTGTTCCAAAATAGATGCTTCTCTTCGTCTTCTCTCGCTCTTGTTGACTCGGGCTTCGAGCGGAGTCTTGATCTCTTTTTAATATCTGTACTCTGTCTCCTTTGATCTTGATCTTCTTGAGGCCGGACGTGGGCCATTTCGTTGTTGTTCTGCATTTCTCCGTTCTCGTCTTGATCCTGGTGCAGTCACGTGGCGATCGGCAGATCGCACGCGCCGGAGTGCCTGGGCCGAGTTTCCCTCCGGTCGTCCGTTACACTCGCCTCTCTGTGGCAAATTGGAAACTTAAACCCCGGTATTGTGAACCTCATTGAGTAAAAGTTTATTATTTATTCGACTGCAGTCGTGCCGACTCAGGTCTTTCTGCAAGTACAGCTTCAGGTACATCTGCTCAAAGGAAGACCAGAACACATTTGTTGTGGCTGCCACCAACGATCACTCAGAGCGTAGTCGCAAAATTGACATGTGACGCAATGATGCCTAAGTCACGTGACAAGCGGCGCTTTAGTTAAGGTACTTTCGATGAGTGCAGTTAAAGTGCTCGTTGCTTTTTTATTTTCGTAGATGGGGTCGGCCACAGGGGCCTTAATCTGAATGTACAAAAGTGTGCTTGAAAATACATGTATGAGTCATTTTCAAGTGATCGTTTAGTACTACGAACACTACACTCGTAGACTACGAGTCGTAGTCTAGTACTGCGAAACAAAAATGGTGCACATTCGCGTTGCATTTGTAGAGGCAGCAAACTTCATTAGAGACGCGCTTTATATTGACCTCTGAACTTGGCGCACATTTTCAGCTCGTTTGAGCTTCGAATCCAGCTCAGCAACTTTGGTTGGTATAAATGTACTCATATCTTAGCTACGATAATATTGGTACTATTTCTTAGACCCGGGGTGGTGGTCTCAATTGGACAGAGGACAGGTAAAAACTGATGAGTTGATTAACTGGTTATTGCTGGTTATACGCTCTTGGGAAACTGAATTGTTGATCTTCCTTGGGTGAATTGGGTATCAGAGGTAATTATTGTTGAGTGATTGTGATGAGATATTGGATTGGAGAGTATATCAATTTATTCTTCTTCCATTTTTTGTCCTTGGTGGGATTTGAACTCCGGACCCAGGGGCGTAACTAGGCACGATTAGGGGGGGGGGCGTGCCCACCCCCCGGATTGGTGGAAGACAATTTAACTAAGTGCTTACGTGTATTAATGCATTAAATGTCAATGCGGCGCTCGGTGATGGTGCCAAATCGATCAATTGCATCATCTCTGTTGATGGCTCCAGATAAGTCGCGCTCAATTGAAAGTAGCAAGAGATGCGACATCAATTCATCGCCCAGCGTAGTTCGTAGTCGTATCTTCACCCGCTTCATTGTAGACAATGATCGTTCGGTGCTTGCAGTTGACACAGGCAGAACACACACGAGCTGTAGCAGCCGATACAAGATCGGGAAAACCCTCTTCATGTCTGTAGCCACCATCGCTGCACTCAAGTCACCCAAGGACTTGAGCCCTTTGAAGCGATGATCACGTCGAGCGATAGCACCAAAGTGGACAGCTTGATCAAACACCGCTTGGAACTGCCTATTGAAGTCGTTGGGGTAATAGTCCATTGCAATGCGTCTGATATCGTTGGGATTCCAGCTTGAAAAATTGTTTTTGGGGCTTAGACCACCGCACAGACCCATAAAACCAAGAACATCTACACCAAATCGAATTTTTAGCTCCTGAAGAATGCTTTTTACAACCGGCAAGTACACATCTTCGTAGAAATGTTGTTCTTGGGTTTGCTGAGTATCGTTGTCTGCACCAGGGACATCACGTTTCCCTTTGCCTCAGTGTCGCGATCCTCGCCGAAACCACGGCGCCTTTATTGCAGGCACCAACATCCCCCCACTAGCTGGCAGTGTGCTACAGAAACCAACACACCTAATCCATACAGCAGTGAAACTGTTCTCAGCCTCACTGCGCATAGGCGTATCAATCATTTGCTACAGCTCTTCTTGAATTCGCACCGCTAACAATGCAGCAGAGGCGACGTCCATATCATTTTTTGCAGATATTGCGATAGCACGTTAAGTTTCCCGAGCACAGTAATGAGAACTTCTACGTGAAAAACGAATTGAAAAGTCCACATTTTGTCGAGAGTTCCAGCAGCATCAGCTCGCTTTTGAGGATCGACAGCATCACTAGCTACCGTTCGAAGCACGTTAGAGATCGGCATCCATAGGGATCTAACGCGAATTAGGGCCCTCACACGACAATTCCATCGCGTAGGACTAAGCGCCTCTGTGTTCATAGCTGATTCAGCCCCTGGCCAGTCTCCAGAGCGCCCTCTCTCAGTAGTTTGTCCTTCTCGTCACGCGCTGTGTCCATTAACATACCATTCCGTTTGCAAGAGGCACCACACGTAGTATGAATGTTTTGCACAACATCAAAACATTCTACCACCGAAACATTTTTTTTGGCTGCACACACAATGGCCAGGTTCAACCTGTGTGCGAAGCAGTGCACGTAATATGCGTACGGACATTCTCCACACACTCTTGCTTGGAGTCCTATGTAGTCCCCCGACATATTAGCTGCCCCGTCGTATCCTTGGCCGCGTAGATTGAGCACTGGGATGTTCCATGCTGTAAGCTGGTTCATGAGGCCGTCGAAAAGATCAGCAGCTCCCGTTGACCGAACATGAACTACCCCTAAGAATCGCTCCAGATTTCGTCCCGTGCGAGAGCACACAAAGCGCACCACTATCGACATAAATTATTTCTTGCCTTCGCAGCTGGCGTCGTCAACCAACACGGAAAAGTACTTGCCAGCCATTTCGTTGTCAATAATATTTTCACGGACCAAGTCCGCTGCGGATTGCACGAACTGCTGCTGCACTAATGGAGACGTGTACTGGGCGTTGCGCGGTGCAGAAGACATTCCGCTCGAGAAATCAGTAACTTTCTCCATCATAAAGCCAACCATCTCCAAAAGGTTGCTTTTATTTGATGACATATCCTAATGCATACAACAAACAAGCAAAACAAATTAAAAACAGAAGCATAAAAAAGTTTTTGCCATGCATAACTTACTGCCTCAGAATGCCCACGGAAGGGTATTCCTTGTCTAGCGAGAAAAAGGCAAACATCAAATATCATGCCAAGCCGCATGCGGTTTTGGGCTCGTTGCGTTCTATCGGCGCAGGCAAGAGATAATCGATGTCGTGCCTTGCTGAAAGCAACTCTACATAAGCTGCATGTGTACTGTGGTGCTTCGAAAATGATTCACTTATGTGCGCCGCGAATCCATCCTTACTGCACGTTTTTTTTTAATTATTGAACCCTTGTGACGGCGTTGTGTACACATTAGTCTGTTTGTCCACGAGCATGACCTCACGACTCAGGTAACACCATAGACAATAAGCTGCATCCGTGCTCGCCGAGTACTCCAACCACGGATACTTTTCGTACCAAGACGACTGAAAAGAGCGCATCTTGCTGCCGAACTTACGGGCGGGGTATTGGCTCAAGCAAGGCTGATGGGCCCTCAATCGAGCGTACGTACGAAGCACTGCGTTACGGAGAACCGGGTCGTAGGATAGCTGGTCTATTAGGAACAAGTTCGGGGGGCGATCAGCAGGATCGGTGCGCACGAAGTCGCTGCGACTGCACTCTCGATGATCCAGCGGTACTTCGTTCAACTGACACCATGCCGCCGTTTCCTTCTTTTGGTGCTCTAGACCATTCTTTGTAGGAACATCGTGTTGTTGGACAGCATGTTGCTTAGGTATGGTCTGCTCGCTGCTGATGTCGGGCTCACTACGCTTAAAGAACGCGGTGATGCTCACCGCCTTGAGCCGTTTAGGCCCCATGAAGCCTAGAGGTGAATACACGATAGTGGCGGCTGCCGCAGTGAAGCGCCGCTTCAACTAAATTTGAAGTCTACTTTCGAAACCCTAGCCCCGTGTCCCCCAAGAAAAAAGGTCTAGTTACGCCCCTGCTGGAACCTTTACCCAGTGGGCTACCAGCAGCCCCTCTACAGAGGACAGGTAAGAGTTCGCAGTGCTGGAAACAATGCGCGTTCATTCGCTTTTTTTCGAAATCACTATACTATACTACTACTACTACTACTACTGAGGACTTGAAATCCTAGCATTGCTTTTTCAAACGCATTTGAGATAGTACTACTGAGAGCGATATTAGTAATCGCGTTACTAACGACGAACATTTCGTCGGTTTTCAAACAGGATTGGCTCGGAATTGCCGACGAAATGTTCGTCGTAGTAATCGCGATTACTACGAATGTTCGTCGTTACTATTGCCGACCGGACCCCTCTTTTAACGTTTTGACTACCGGGCCAGGAAAGCGAATGCATGCAACGAAGTCGAGCTCTGAATTCTAGTTCCATGTACCGTTGTGTTTGTAAAGCTTCGAACAATCAAGCCGCGACTTTTTTTACTTTCGTTTTTCGCGACGAACGCCGATCGAGCCAATGTTCTCTGACGGCGCGGCAGTGGAGCAGTATGGCTATGGGAGATGGTTACCAACGTAAGTGAGCTCATTATACCTTACTTCCAAAAGAATGCCGATCGAGCCGTGGCTGTTGGTTGACGATGGCCATCCAGTTTTCGTAGATCACTGTCTATTGTTAGCCCCTGGCATGGGTTCCTATAATATAGGAATCCACGACAACATATTATTTTGTCGTTGACCGGAGTTGCAAACTGCGACTCGCAAAGCACCAAGTTAAAATGCAAGATTTGATTCCTGGTACATACATGTATCGTGCAGTTAGTTGTTTTAGCCCGCGTTGGCTAGTGGTAGACCTGCACCAGGTAAGGTGAACTGCATAAAAATACAACCACGAGTGATTACAGAATGTTGCAGTACCGAAACTATGAGATGAAATACATGTACTTGATTCACAGGACAAACTAATTACGCTCGTTTAAACCGCATTGTGTGGGAGGTTGGACTGGGTGTGCGACCTAGCAGCGTCACGGGCCTCCTGCGCTTCGCGCTCCAGCCGCTTCTTCTCTAGGAAGTTGTGCCACACCGTGCGGCCACCCTTCTTTGAGTACCAGAACACGATGCCCACCATCGCGACCACCACAATGACAGCGATGATGTACCCGAGCACCACCACCGCCGTGCCATCAGCGGTGCACATGTACACGAGTCCCAGCAAGATGCCCGGCGCCACCAAGAAGAGGATCACCAGGAAGAGCACCGCGGACATGGACCACGCAGCACTGAAGAAGGCCAGCGAGCGAGCCCAGCTCAGAATGGGCTTGCGGGTGATTGGGATCGGGTAGAAGAGCAGGATGCCGAACACGTTGAACCAGAAGTGCACGAGCGCGATGGCAACCGAGTCGGACTTGCCCGTCACCAAGGCGGCCAGCAACGCCGTGCCGGTTGTACCCAAGTTGGCTCCGATCACCAGCGGGTAGACTTGCTCCAGCGTGATCACACCCAGGCCTGCCAGCGGGGTAAGGGTGGACGTGACGACCGTCGACGAGTGCACGCAGAAGGTGATCATGGTGCCGACGATGATGTTGATGTAGCCGTTGTAGTTGAGCAGCTTGGAAATGAGGCGCTTCGTGGGGCCCATGAAGACCTTCGCCAGCATCTTCACCAGCGTCAGCAGCGAGCACACGAGGATACAGAAACCGATGACGACCGTGATGGCACCGATGCTGCCGTCGCTCAGGCTGGAGCCCTCGAAGGCGCCAGAAGTGACGAACGACTGGCCGGGCTCGCACACAACGTCACCGGTAGCAACTTCATAGATGGCGTCCTTGTCCACAACCAGCAGTTCATGCGTCAGCGGGTTCACGACGGCGTCAACAGGGCTACTGAACGAGCCGCTGTTGGTCTTGGCGTTCGACATGGCGATCGACATCTCCTCGAGCGGGTGGAGCAGCACCTCAAGGGGGAACAGCACGAACACCGACCAGAGGTTGTACATGTCGTGGACCGTAGCGGCAGCCATAGCGCGCTGGAAGCGGGCGCGGTCTCCGACCTGGCCAAACGCCACCATGATGCACGTGATGCACGTGCCGATGTTGGCGCCCATGATCACATACACACCCTGGCGGATGGTCATGCCGCCGGAGCCCACGAGGGCCACGACGATGGACGTCACCGTGCCGGAGCTGTGCAGCAGCGCGGTGGCGATGGTTCCGATCATCAGGCCAGCCACCGGGTTGTCGGCGAAGTCGAAGGCGCCCTTGGTGTCGCAGCCCAGCGCCAGCGTGAAGCCGTCGCCGATGAGCTTGACGGCCACCATGAAGAAGTACAGCGCGGCCAGCGACGCGAAGCCGTAGATGACGCCCCACAGGATCTTCTTCTGCAGAGACATCTTGGAGTACGAGTCCTCTTCTTCATCTTCCTCAGCGATGTTGTGCTTCTGGTGGCAGTCGCTGACAACAGAGCTTGATCGCGGGTCGAGGTTCGGCGTGGTGACCTTTCCGTAGTCGGTTGAAGGTTCGTGGATCATTGCTTCAACGGCTTGCTTCGTGAGCTTGCTGGATGAGTGTCAAATTGGGAACTGAGTTGAAATTGAGGCGATGAGGCGTTGCATAGAGGACTAGGAACCAACCGCGTAAATCCCACCACAGACCACCTGGCAGGCAAGCTCAGTTGGCGTAGGCCTGGGCAGCGTGAGGTTGGCAGGCTGATCTCCATAATCGCACCACGCTTCCGATCCGACGGGTTCCGATTCTATTTATCTACAATAACTTGTCAGGAGTATGCAACAGCACTGCAGGAATCTACAGCGTGCGCTGGAGCCCGGTCGTAGACTTCGAGCTCCGAACCGGAGACGGCGAAGCAACGCATAAACGACGCGGACATGTCAAAGTCGCCATTCGTCTGGGTAAAGCTGCGGCTTTACGAGCCTTTCCACTCGAGATTAATTAATCGTCCAGCGTTGACAAGATTCGATGGCAAGATTCGCCCAGCTGGCTGCGACAGCTTTTCGCTTGCCAGGTCATACGGTGGAGCTTACCGCGCGCACAAGGAATCTCGGGTCACGGGCTGCAAGTGATGGGTCCAGGCACGCGAGTGCCTCCAAACCGAGCTACCACTGCTCCATTGCCGAGTCTACTGTAAATACACCCCTTACTCAATGCACGGGTCGCGGGTCGCATCAAGCTCAAACCTCGTTGTGTATGATAACGTAAAGCTGCACTCCTCACACCGAAACGGCGATGCGTTTAACATCGATTAAAATCGAGTAGCGCTGATTAAAATATTGATTAAAATATTGTGCGTTCTATGTACATATGTCAACTTCAAGGTCTTCAAGGTCAGTTCAATCACGAGGGGACGCACGCTACGCGAATCTCAACTCAATCGCAACCAACGTTTTGTAGTTCCACCTCCAAGCGAACGCGACCGAAGCCGATGCAAGAGCTCAACATGCTGAGCCAGACGCCATGGGGACGCCACCTAGTGCCTGCCTCACGGTCGACCAGCACAAAGGTCGCTGGCTGGCAGCGAGGCTCGCCACACGCCGGAGCAGGATGCTACACATCATTTTATGACACCTCCCCCGAAGATACTTTTCTGTTAGTCGCTAGCAGGATGCGAATCAGTAGATTCGAGGTACTTGCCATACCGAAACCGACTGTACGTGTATCTCACCGCGGGGATGCAACGTGGTCAGAAGAGCTTACATGTATTTCGTGAAGAGGAATGACACTGTACTGTATGTGCAGTTCAATATTGTGTTGATACACGAAGGAGGGGTACCTGGCTTGCTCAGGACAAGTGCCCTTCGCCGAGCAGTCAAGAAAAAGTTTTTTATGGTGATGATGTCCTTTACAGCACTAAGTACTGTACCGTAGTGCGCGCGGCTTCTAAACTATTACATGTAATACGGTACACTGCATGCATGCACAATGTACGGGTGCTTCTGTCACATCAAAGCACATCGAGCTTATCAGTCAGGCTGCCAGATGGGATCACTCACGGTAATTTGCAGGAACTACGTTGAAACGAAGGGATTCGCGAAGATTCACAGTTGCGCTATTGGGCTGTGTATAAAAAGACTACCGATTCTGAAGACCCCCATTTCCAGCTACTGTGCCTATTATCTGGAAAAGTCCATTTTGAAGCCGGCAATGCCAACGGCCAAGCATTGAAGCATTGCTTCAAGAGCTTACAGAACGTGTTCACGTAAGGACGCGAAGCCCACCGCAACCAGCCCCTCCTTCTCAGATACTGGTATGTCCTTCGGGGACTACGCGTATGTAGATCGAGCGCTAAAACTGAGATTTAGCCAAGAGCTGCTGAGGCTTGTTGCGACCTCTGATAGGATTGCTGCTGAGGCACGAGTAAAGACTGAGTGTGCTGTATTGATTTCCTTTCGCGCGATCTCAAGACAGACGGCAGCAAGCTCAACATAGCGGTGGTATCGTCACCTTCGCACACACACACGCGGCTCCACAATAAGTTTTAAAGACCGAGAATGCTCGATGGCATACTGTTTATGATCCCGGTATTAATATCATGCATGGCTTATGAAGTTTTCAGCATGCTAGACATTGAGGATCCGGTCCACCCACTGTGGGGGCTTCAAACTGTCTTTGCTGTAGCCTAGCCGTGTACGGTGAAGCACGAAGCAAGTACATGTACTAAGAACCGTGACTACCAGTATGATCTATTAACGTTCGGGACCTTGGTGTACTAAGTGTAAGTCGCTGCATGTTGGTGAGTTCACAATACCGCCAAGGAACATTAAATATGCATGACGGAGGATATTTGGGGCGTTATATCCATGTGCGGCGGGACCGATTGTGATAAAACTAATGGTATTGCTAGGTGCTTTTCGCGTGTCTGTTTGCTGCGCCATTAATTCCGTTCGCGGCTTCAGATCGATTAGCACGCTCAACGGGTCCTTAAGCGAACTCATTTGCTACTGTATCGGTTGCGAATTCATCTCCAGGGACGCAGTATAACATACGTAGTTAGAGTAATCTCTTTTTAAGAAGATCAATACATCTATTGGTATGGCATCGTATCAGTAACTTTTGGCAATCCGAGTGAGCTTCAAGAGGAACGAATGGAAACCGTCAGCATATTAGCCATATTCACTACTACAGACAAACAGTCTGCAAACAACGTCTAATTACACAGTCAGTGCTTGTGTGGACGCTAGGTATACTTAAGTACATGAATCGCTTTCACAACAATAACAACGACTCGGCAGAAGTTGACTGGTTTGGTTTGTGGAGAATACTGTCCATGACAAAGGTAGGACACACGCATATTCGAGGAAGCATGACGGCGTCTTGCTGTCACTCGAACACATGGCACAGCAAGGCCAAGCAGCTATTAAGGAAAGAAAACCATCTAAATGTCATTTCGGTTAGTGTACCTTGACCGGCGACAATGTTCATTTTTGGAGGGAGAATATGCCCTGTACCTCACAGAAACACATGTGCGTTGCGTACTCTTCAGTGCAGCCCCCGGACATATTTGCGGATTTACTACCCTTTGTACTTTGGACTACAACGAACTTCTTGCGCTAGCCTAATATGTCTACTCACAAAACCCTCCCTTCGTGCGCTACACTCTTGCTAGAGTCACGCAGCTCGAGGATTTCCGTGTGCAAGTAAAAGCCCTGAAAGGATTGGTGTTGAGAGAACACAAGTCCTCATCCTCGTAACAACAAGGAGCTCAGAGTGAAGCGATGTAATTTCCCTAGCAATACTGAAGCGTGTGCTGTGCTGTACTGCTAACATATTACGGATATAGCGACGACGATCTACGTATCGCACCGCATTGAGAGCTGGTCGAAATTGAAACAAAAAACTATGAACAGCGTATCTGATTGACTAGAGGCTTGTGAAAATTAGCTGCAACCTGTCGCTCATTATGGCTCCGGCAGTGTTGTAGCGCAGGTTGTGGGCGACAAATGCAATTTTGATGACTATGCCCATTTAGCCAAAAAGGTAATAATTCGTGAATGCACCCAAGATTCAAACGGCTGGTAAATGCATCGCGTTGCGATGATCTAAATGTCATATGTCGAATCTTTTGACGCGGAACAAAACCAAGGAGGACGCAGCGGAGAATTCGCCTAGCTTCAGTGTGAACGGAGCGCTGTGCGCCAGTCATCGACAGAGTTCTATTGATTAATCCGAGGGTTTGATTAAAATGAGGAAGCACTATTTTTAATGCAAACATGGCGATTCCCTGCATACCGGTGTGCTATGCGCTACAACACAGTGTACCATGGTGCTCGCACACGACGGGTACACAAACTACGGAAGCCGCCTTCGGCGCAGCTTATCGGCAAGCAAATCCTGACCAAAATATCGCCCTGTACATGTGGACCGCGCTGCCGTTTAGATACGGTGAGCCCGGCGCTGTAACTTTTGGGCGCCTCGTTCATGCTCGCATTTACCAGTGGCGGTCTCCAACTCGAGCCTGTGACTCGCCAATTCCGTATCGCGTCACTCGAGTTAACTCTTTCAGTACCATTTGAAAGTTCGCCCAGTCTTCCTCAGAGGGCATGCTGCCAAAGCCAGCGCACGGTCAAGGTTTCCCCCGCAACGGGGCAACATGGCCAGCACAAAATAAACACATCGCGTGGTTGGTGGGCGGCGCCGAATATGAAACTGCACTGGCAGAAAAATGTGCGCAAGCGCGTAAGTACTGACTGTATTTGCTGGATGCTTCACTACACATGCACAACTGCAGCCTGCACTCTGCTGTCAGCACCAGCGCGCCGCAAATGTCACGAGGTAGTGGTAAAGAGCAGATGACGTCGCTTCCGTTTGACGGATCACAGGCTGAAGCCCCGCAAAAAGTGGACGGCGGTTATTGCTCCCATAGAACGGGCAAGTCTCCGCTTAATCGATTTGGTGCTTCACTTGGACGCGCAGGCCCATCACCAGCCGCCACTGCACCGCGGACAGGAGCGCGTGTATGTCGCTCGGCACCGCCTCGCAACGCCAAAGCGTTCGCAAGGCACAACTACATGTAGTTTTGAAGTCCTTTGCGGTCTTGTCGAGCCTTACACTCCATCTGATGCCGATCGTGCTGTGTGCCGCGCGTTGATGCAGCAAGCAACGGAAGTCTACACCAAGCAGGCAGGCACACGTGCCGCCCGCGAGTCTGATCTCAGCTGGATTTTATGCCGGCTCGAGCGAAGCCGGAGAGAGTCTGCAACTGCTAACATATCACGCGGCCACGCAGACACCTTCACACCCAGCTTGCTTGCGCAGTGTCGTCTGAAAGGTCTGGCCATTTAATGGTGCTTTGGCCATGTATTGTATTGGACACCCGTCTGAAAACCATCGGACTGGGCGGCACGGACACCGAGCTCCGGCAATCTGCGCGGTACGGCGCCGCCAAATTGGGCAGGCTGGCCTGCTGCAGCGCTGGCGGGGTCTTCTGGCCCCGCATTTTCACATGTTGGTCCTCTGCCGGAGGATCGATTGATCCCGCAGCGATCTTTCCTTTCGACTAAGCGCACAAACGGGACATGATGCAACCTCTATCTTTTGATGCGGCATCGTACAACGCTCGCGATGCGCTGCTGCGCTCGACTGTGCGGCCACTGGCCGCCGGCCAGCAGCCCGCGGCAGCCGGCGTCGATATCCTTGTGCATCCGCGAGTTCTTTTTCAACCTAGCGCAGAATACGATAAAATCTGGCTGCCTTCTCGGGGGAAACTTTGTCCACTTTTGAGCCCCTTCAGGGCTGACCGCCGGACGGAAACCTCTACAAATATGTGCTCTGCGACATGTAGTGAAAATCCACCCGCTGGCCATAGTGAACACAAGCCAATTCGATGATCCCTCCCTCCAATCTCCAATTGCCGGTCAAAACGAATCTCTCAGGAAAAAAAACGCTCCTTGGTATTTCGCGTAGTATTATTGGACGCTACATTAGCATTGTAGCAGGACAATGCTAGCTGCTGTAGCGGCCTCCACACCGCTCGCGCGCTCGCTCATGCTCCATGGCCCACACGTGCTGGCGGCGCCTGCCGCTCGCTCGCGCGCCCAGTTGTTGCCTTGTCCGCGCGGCGCCCGGTCCTTGCGCCCTCCCTCGGCCCGTCCAGATCACACTCACTCACATCGCCGCGCTGGCTCCCACCACACGAGCGGCACACCAACGACGCCTGGGCACGCTTAGTCGAGTCCCGGAGCCGTGTCATTCCCGAACTTCCCACGGCCGAGGCAAGTCGCAGCACGCGCTCGCTGTACTAAGACCCACCTACCCTCCCACCGGGCTAAAAACAGCAGATAGAGTTTGTCTGCTCTGATCCGGCCGTCACTCTCCCTTCCCGCCCCGTTCCGAGAGAAGAAGACCGACCGACCGACCGCCATGGCCTCGTTCAAGCTGGTCACGGGAGACCTCATCCGCCTCGTGGAGACGCCCCATGAGAAGCAGCAGGAGGTGCTCGCCAACATAGGCGGCCTGCAGGGCGTCGCCGCCGCGCTCAACGTGGACCCGCGCCAGGGCCTGGACAACAACAACGCCGCCGACCTCGCGGCGCGCGAGGAGAGCTTCGGCAAGAACTACGTGGCGCCCCCTAAGCCCAAGAGCTTCCTGGAGCTCATGTGGGACGCGTACCAGGACATCACCATCATCGTGCTGACCATCTCGGGCTTCATCTCCATCGTCCTGTCCGTGACCGTGGGCGACCACCCGGAGACGGGCTGGGTCGAGGGAGCCTGTATCATCCTGGCCGTCATCGTCGTGACGATCGTCACGGCCATGAACGACTACCAGAAGGAGGCGCAGTTCCGCGCCCTCAACGCCGTCAAGGAGGACGAGAAGATCAAGGTCATCCGCAACGGCCAGCCCGCCGAGGTCAGCAAGTGGAGCCTCGTGGTCGGCGACATTGTGCGCGTCGACCTGGGCGACATCATCCCCGCCGACGGCATCGTCTTCGACGAGAAGGAGATCAAGATGGACGAGAGCGCCATGACCGGCGAGTCCGACCTGCTCCCCAAGAACGCCGAGAACCCCTTCCTGCTCTCCGGCACCAAGGTCATGGAGGGCGTGGGCAAGATGCTCGTCGTCTGCGTCGGCGAGCACTCGCAGGCCGGTATCATCAAGAGCCTGATCAACGGCAACCGTCCGGGCGCCGCTGCTGCCGGTGGAAGCGACAGCAAGGCCGCCGCCGAGAACAAGAAGAACACGGCTAACGACCAGGTCTACGTCGAGATCGAGACCCCCAAGGACGCTGGCGTCCTCGAGGAGCCCAGCAAGGCTGCTGAGGAGGATGGCGAGAGCCAGTCGCCGCTCGAGGGTAAGCTCTACAACCTGACTGTGCTCATCGGCAAGCTCGGCACGCTCGTGGCTCTTCTTGTGTTCGTCATCATGTCGATCCGCTTCTCCATCGACACGTTCGGCAACGACAACAAGCCCTGGAAGAGTGGCTACGTCAGCGACTACCTCAGCTTCTTCATTATCGCCATTACGGTGCTCGTGGTGGCCATCCCCGAGGGCCTCCCGCTCGCTGTCACCATCGCTCTCGCCTACTCGGTGAAGAAGATGCTTGTGGACAACAACCTGGTGCGCCACCTCGACGCCTGTGAGACCATGGGAAGCGCCACGACGGTGTGCTCGGACAAGACGGGCACGCTGACGACCAACCGCATGACGGTGATGCAGCTGTGGATCGGCGACAACGAGTTCTCGTCCGCTTCGGCTGGCATCGGCGCGCTGTCGGAGGCGACCAAGGAGGCGTTCTGCATGGGTATTGCCGTGAACTCGACGGCCGAGATCTTGCCGCCCAAGGTGGAGAACGGTCTGCCCGAGCACACCGGTAACAAGACGGAGTGCGCTCTGCTGCAGTTCATCCGTGACGGTGGTGTCGAGTACCCTGAGATTCGCGCGAACAACGAGGTGGTGCACATGCTGACGTTCAGCAGTGCCAAGAAGCGCATGTCGGTGGTGGTTCGTCGCAGCGCCACGACTTGCCGTGTGTACACGAAGGGTGCGACGGAGGTGGTGCTGGGTCTGTGCCAGAACATGCAGCGCGTGGACGGCTCGTTCGAGGGTCTGGACGACGCCCGCAAGGCCAAGATCGGTGCTGAGGTGATTGAGAAGTACGCTTCACAGGCGTACCGTACGCTGTGCCTGGCCTACCGCGACCTGGATGTGCCTGCTGAGGAGACGGTCAACTGGTCGGACGAGGACGTGGAGAAGAACTTGACTTGTGTTGCCATTGTCGGCATTGAGGACCCTGTCCGCCCCGAGGTGCCTGGCGCCATCCAGCAGTGCAACCGCGCCGGTATCACGGTGCGCATGGTGACGGGCGACAACATCACGACAGCGCGCTCGATCGCCAGCAAGTGCGGTATCACCAAGCCGGGCGATGGCTCCCTTGTTATGGACGGCCAGACGTTCCGCAACCGCGTGCTCGACGCTCAGGGCAACATCATCCAGTCGGAGTTCGACAAGATCTGGCCCATGCTCCGTGTGCTTGCTCGCTCGTCGCCCAAGGACAAGTACACTTTGGTGTCCGGTCTGATGCAGAGCAACGTGGTTCCGCACGGTCCTCAGGTGGTTGCTGTGACTGGTGACGGCACGAACGACGCGCCTGCTCTGAAGAAGGCGAACGTGGGTTTTGCTATGGGTATCAGCGGCACGGCTGTGGCCAAGGACGCGTCGGACATTATCCTGATGGACGACAACTTTAACTCGATCGTGAACGCCATCAAGTGGGGCCGCAACGTGTACGACTCGATCGCCAAGTTCCTGCAGTTCCAGCTGACCGTCAACGTCGTTGCCATCTCGCTGGCCTTCATCGGTGCCGTTGTGCTGGAGCAGTCTCCCCTGTCGGCTGTGCAGATGCTGTGGGTGAACCTCATCATGGACTCGTTCGCTTCGCTCGCTCTTGCGACTGAAGAGCCGACGCCGCAGCTGCTGGAGCGCAAGCCGTACCCGAAGACGCAGCCTCTGATCTCCAAGAAGATGACGAAGCACATCATCGGTCAGTCGATCTACCAGCTCATTCTCCTTCTGGCAATTGTCTTCACGGGTGAGAAGTGGTTTGACATTCCTTCGGGACGCATCACCGACCTGCCCGAGGACGTGGAGGACGACCCGACGGTGCACATGACCATCGTGTTCAACACGTTCGTGTGGGCGCAGCTGTTCAACGAGCTCAACTGCCGCAAGATCCACGACGAGATCAACATCTTCGCGGGCATCTCCAAGAACCGCGTGTTCCTGTACGTCTGCGTCCTGCAGGTGGCCATGCAGTACGTGATGGTGCAGCACACGGGCGACTGGTTCAAGTGCAAGCCTCTCAACGTGAGCCAGTGGTTCGCTTGCATTGCCATGGGCTTCGTCTCGATGCCTTTGGGCCTGGTGCTCCGCTCCATCTCGATGAAGAACGCTCCGAGCTGGATGGCCCTCTGCCGCGAGGTCGACGAGGATGAGGTCCGCAAGATGACTTCGGGCCGCGGCCAGGAGCTCTGGGTGCGCGGCTTCGCTCGCATTCGCGCGCAGATCCGCGTCATCAAGGCCTTCAAGAAAGGCCTGCAGTCCAAGGCTCTCATCAAGGGGTAGATTAGTATCGATGTGCGGAAAATAATGTTCTCTTTGCTTTTGTAGTATTTGGCTCTCACCTTCTATGCTTGTACACATGCATGGACATGAACCGCAACAACAGCGCGGTGAAGGAAAACTTACCGCAACGACAACAACAACACACGCTGAAGGATAAGCTTATCTGAAGGCTAACTTACCGTATTCACGATCGTGCCGTATCCATGCCATGCATGTTACTGCAGTAGTAATTGCATAGGGATCAGGGCTGTAGTTTACAGTTCGTTCGAAAGGCTTCCAGCTCGAGCAGCGCTGTCTTGCCTTTCCAATGCCTATCTCGATTAAAAATTGATTAAAACGTAAAGCCACTTCAACGTCAATGCACGCATAAGCGTGAATCCCGAAGATTCACGATGCAAGAGGCAGATTCAGGATAGAATGCAAGACGTGTTGATTCAGTGTACACATGTCAAGGACTCGAACTTGGGTGCTTCAGTTGTTTAACTTCAGTTTTCAATTCAGCGCGCAGCATCAAGATGATCAACAGTCCAGCCAACTACGAGAAGGCGGTCACGCCTTACCTCGTTCCTCGCCCCAGTTCAATCGTCAGCTCTGACTGCCACCACAAGCACGAAGATGGAGAAGAGGACTCGTACTCCAAGATGTCTCTGCAGGAGAAGATCTTGTGGGGCGTCATCTACGGCTTCGGGTCGCTGGCCGCGCTGTACTTCTTCATGGTGGCCGTCAAGCTCATCGGCGACGGCTTCACGCTGGCGCTGGGCTGCGACACCAAGGGCGCCTTCGACTTCGCCGACAACCCGGTGGCTGGCCTGATGATCGGAACCATCGCCACCGCGTTGCTGCACAGCTCCGGCACGGTGACGTCCATCGTCGTGGCCCTCGTGGGCTCCGGCGGCATGACCATCCGCCAGGGTGTGTATGTGATCATGGGCGCCAACATCGGCACGTGCATCACGTGCATCATGGTGGCGTTTGGCCAGGTCGGAGACCGCGCCCGCTTCCAGCGCGCTATGGCTGCCGCTACGGTCCACGACATGTACAACCTCTGGTCGGTGTTCGTGCTGTTCCCCCTTGAGGTGCTGCTCCACCCGCTCGAGGAGCTGTCGATCGCCATGTCGAACGCCAAGACCAACAGCGGCTCGTTCAGTAGCCCTGTTGACGCCGTCGTGAACCCGCTGACGCAGGAACTGCTGGTTGTGGACAAGGACGCCATCTATGAAGTTGCTACCGGTGACGTTGTGTGCGAGCCCGGCCAGTCGTTCGTCACTTCTGGCGCCTTCGAGGGCTCCAGCCTGAGCGACGGCAGCATCGGTGCCATCACGGTCGTCATCGGTTTCTGTATCCTCGTGTGCTCGCTGCTGACGCTGGTGAAGATGCTGGCGAAGGTCTTCATGGGCCCCACGAAGCGCCTCATTTCCAAGCTGCTCAACTACAACGGCTACATCAACATCATCGTCGGCACCATGATCACCTTCTGCGTGCACTCGTCGACGGTCGTCACGTCCACCCTTACCCCGCTGGCAGGCCTGGGTGTGATCACGCTGGAGCAAGTCTACCCGCTGGTGATCGGAGCCAACTTGGGTACAACCGGCACGGCGTTGCTGGCCGCCTTGGTGACGGGCAAGTCCGACTCGGTTGCCATCGCGCTCGTGCACTTCTGGTTCAACGTGTTCGGCATCCTGCTCTTCTACCCGATCCCAATCACCCGCAAGCCCATTCTGAGCTGGGCTCGCTCGCTGGCCTTCTTCAGTGCTGCGTGGTCCATGTCCGCGGTGCTCTTCCTGGTGATCCTCTTCTTGGTGGCGCCGGGCATCTTGCTGGGACTCGTGTACATGTGCACCGCTGATGGCACGGTGGTGGTGGTGCTCGGGTACATCATCGCTGTCATTGTGGTGGTCGCGATGGTGGGCATCGTGTTCTGGTACTCAAAGAAGGGTGGCCGCACGGTGTGGCACAACTTCCTAGAGAAGAAGCGACTGGAGCGCGAAGCGCAGGAGGCTCGCGAGGCTGCCATGTCTCCCACTCCCGTTTAATAGGGGGGGTCGAACATTGCCAAAAACGTGCTCAAGTTTTGAGCTTGGCCGTGCTCACAATCTCGACAGCGTTTTGCTTAACTCTGAAACAAGCCACCTCCGGAGGTGGCTTATCTGAGCTGCTCATTTCAGAGACAAGCAATTCCCTTCTTTGTTCCCTCCTCTACAAATACCTCCAAATTATCCTATTGTAAAATATCCTGTGATAAACGTTCTAGCTATTCAATGCTGTTAGAAAGGTCTACATCAAATTACCTTGTTTCTCAGTATTAACTTTGGTATCGCATGTCTCTTGCATAATCAGTATTCCCTACAAAGTTACACACCATCATTTGTTGAAGAAACTGGTCGGGATCTGTAGTGGGACAGATGGCGGAAAAGTTCCCTCCACTCGACTAAGTCCGAAAAATGGAGGGATCGACCCCCCTCCAAAATGGCTCATCTTTTCGACACTTTACTGCTCAGAATTCTGGCTCGGTTTTGCTCATTATTTTTGGCGTTTTTGAGATGTTCGACTCCCCCTAATGGAGCGTAGTTTGCCCAAAGAACCAATACATACATGTACATGCAAGTCTCACTTCAACATGCCGTGCACGGATTCCATAACAAAATGAAAGCAATCATCGATTGAAGATCTCGTCTATATAATACGCCTCGGGGCGGACACGAACGAACTCGCTTCTAACCCTCGCAACCTCGCTCTCCGCCCAACAGCCAACCGCTGGTAGCGCTCCCGATCCGCTGGACCCGCTTCCAAACACGTTTTCAACTCGGTGGTCTATGGTGGAAAGAAATCACGTCGTCGTGATACGATTCATCCCCAACCGTGTCGGCTCGAGCTCCATTTCCCAATCATCTCCACCATTCCGCGCCAAGATTTGGCTGCACAATTGCAGAGGTCCGGGGCTCGGCTCGTTTCTCCCTCTACTGCTTGGGGGCCTTGACGACGCCCACCTGGGCCGGGCGGATGACACGCTCGTTCAGCAGATAGCCCGTCTTCATAAGCTGGCCAATGGAGCCGGCCTCCTTGGTGGTGTCCTCGTACTCGAAGAGCGCGTCGTGCACGTTGGGGTCGAACTTGTCGCCGATGGCGCCCACCTGGTTGATCTTGAACTCGCGGAAGACCTTCTGCAGCTGGGTCTCCGTCATGACGACGCCCTCGTGCAGCACCTTGATGGCGTCCAGCTGCTTCTCCGGCTGCAGCGCCTCGATGTCGATGCTCTCGTGCGCGCGCTTGAGGTTGTCCGACACGTCCAGCAGCGCCTTGGCGAACTTGGAGATGGCGAACTCGCGCGCGTTGTTCACGTCCACGCGCGAGATGCGGCGCACGTTCTCGGCGTCGGCCAGCGCGCGCAGCAGGCGGTCGTTCATGTCCTTGTTCTTGGCCTCCAGGTCCTTCACCTGCTTCTGCAGCTTCTCGGCCTCGGTCAGCTCGGCCGCGGGCTCCTCGGGCTTGGCGGCGGCCTCCGCGCCCGCGGGCTTCTCGTCGGAGAAGCGCGCCGCCGTCTGGCTCACGCAGCGCATCTGCTGGGACACGTGGGCCGCGCCACGGGCGGCGACGCTGGAGAGGATGACACGGCGGAGCATACTTGGCGGAGGGGGGCAATGGGAAGTTGCTGCTTTGGTTTATGCGTGGCCACAGCTTTGCGCTTGAACCAGGTACCTGTCTAATACGATGCGGATCGGATTATACAGGTGCCCTCTTCTAGAACATTACCCAATAAAAAAGAGAATGCTACCCAAATAAAAGGGGTAGATGCGTGTCAAGAGCATCAAAAGCTGATCGGATTGATCGAGGGAACATGGCGGCGGCGACCAAGACGAGCGCGGGCCAGCGCGCCGAGCGCTTGAAGCAGCAGGCGGTGCAGCTCTCGGCCGAGAAGGCCGCCAACCAGAAGGTGCTGCAGCACTACGCCAAAACGGTGTACTTCAACGACCTGTGGGTCTCCTTCCTGAGCAAGATGGCGGGGCTCGTGGCGCTCATGAGCTACCTCGAGGTGCAGCGCATGCGCCACAGCCCGCGCGGCCTCGGCTTCATCGCCGGCTTCGAGGCGCTGTCCGTGCTCATCGGGGCCAGCACGGTGCTGTTCATCCGGCGGTGGGTCAACCCGCTGCTGGCCTTCAAGGTGGCCTTCGCCTTCTCGCTGCTGCAGGGCTTCTGGTTCGTGGTCAGCTTCTACTCGCGCTTCATGGAGCTGCCCCGCCAAGCGGGCGACCTGCTGGCCGAGCAGATCCCCTTCGGCCTCGTCTACTTCGTCGTGTGCTGGGTCTCGGACCGCTTCATGATGCGCTCGCAGGACATCGCCAAGCAGACCGCCAACGACATGCGCGCCGTGCTCAAGGGCAAGGCCGCGTGAGCCGACTCAGCAGTACTCCGTAGACAATAGGGAAGAGGAGGAACTTGCAGCAAGTAGTGACGTAGCTCTAGGCATAGTAGATAGATCGAGGGCATCAATGTCAAAAACGACGTGTGTCAAAACCACGATGTCAAGAATTGACTTGTCAAAAATTAGCCACTTTCATTTCGACCAAAGACCCAGGATGAAGTACAGCGAGGACCCCGATTGGGCCGACGTCGTCAAGATCCCGCAAGATGACGGCCCGGACCCCATCGTGAGCATCGCGTACCCCGCCGACTGTGCGTCTGCCCTCTCTCTTCCCTATATCTTGTCTAATCTAACGCTGTTTGCCTCCTCCCTCTCGTCCCCAGTCACGGATGTCATGGACTGCTTCCGCGGCGTGCTCAAGATCAACGAGTATAGCGAGCGCACGCTGGCGCTGACGCTGGACGTGATCGAGGCCAACCCGGCCAACTACACGGTCTGGTACTTCCGGCGCCGCGTGCTGGAGGCGCTGGGCTCGGACCTCAAGCCGGAGCTGCAGTTCACGGCCGACATGGCGCTGCAGAACCCCAAGAACTACCAGATCTGGCACTACCGCCGCGAGATCTGCAACATGATGCGCGACGGCAGCGAGGAGAAGGCGCTGTGCGAGGCCTCCATCGACATCGACTCGAAGAACTACCACGCGTGGGCGCACCGCCAGTGGGCGGTCAAGACCTTCGGGCTCTGGGACGGCGAGCTCGAGTACGTCGACAAGCTGCTGCTCGAGGACGTGCGCAACAACTCGGCGTGGAACTACCGCTGGTTCGTGCTGAGCAACACGTCGGGGCTGGCCACGGCCGCGGACCGTCAGCGCGAGGTCGACTACGCGCTGGAGAAGGTCTCCATCGCGGTTCACAACGAGAGTCCGTGGAACTACATCCGTGGACTGATCCGCGGCCATGAGGCTGCGTTTGCGGCTCAGCTCAAGGAGAAGGCGCAGAACATTCTGACAGCTACACCGGACTGCATCTTCGCCGCGGGCTTGCTGGTGGACTTGTACGCGAAGGAAGGCACGGACGACACGGTCGCATCGGCCACGAAACTGCTGGAGACACTCATGAACGAGACAGACCGCGTGAGGAAGGCCTACTGGCAATTCCGCCTCACCACGCTCAAGCGGCGCGCTTAGAGCGGATGTTTGCCTTGTTGTCCTCAGCAGAAACCACTTTGTAGGTAGGCGCTAATCTCTGCACTATGAACAAGTCTGAGTAGCACGACGGCTATCAACACGAAACAGGCACGGCTATATTGTTGTTTTGGTCTTCATCTCTTCGAGTTGACGTCCTCAAAAGGGGGCGAGAGGTGAGTCAGCGTCATTCTGCTGTTGGGAGTCGTTGCCTCAATTGCTGACACACCTGTCATCCGGTTGCTTGTCAGCGCAGAACGATGCTGCGGTCATAAGCTCTAGCCAGGCCGCCCACACACGAACACCCGCTTCGTCTCTAGTTGGACTGATTAAATGTTGGACGGGAAGTTGTTCACGGTCGCCATATCCTCCACCTTGCTGCCATTCACGAAGAACTCGAGCTTGATTCGCATGAGCACGGGTTTCTACAACAACAACAACAAAAGGTGAAGGTTAGGATCTGTTCGCTGGGCTCCAGCCAGCCAACACTTCAACAGCAAACTTACCTCGCCCTGCATACTGTTCTGGATCTTGACAACCTGTGTGACCACGCCGCTGTTGTTCGGCGGCACCACGTCGCCGGTCGGGGGTTCCATTTTCAACTTGATGTACTTGGGGAACGCAGCCAGGAACACGAACTTGTCGATCGACATCGCCGTCGAGTTACGCGTAGTCGCGGTAATGTACGTCACAGATTTGTCATCGGGGTTGGGCTTCGTGATCTCCAGGTCCACAGTCAGACCGTTTTTCTCGTAAGCGCGCAGCGGAGGGTTTGCTACCGGAGGCGCCGGGGCAGGAGCAGGAGCGCCAAAATCCATCAATCCAAGCAAGTCGTTAGCTCCCGGTGCTGGCGCACCACCGTTGCTTGAGCCGAAGGAAGCAGTTGCCGGTGCCGGCGCCGCCGGGCCGCTCGAGAAGATATCCGCGAGCAAGTCAACCGCAGGGGGTGCGGCAGGAGCAGATGATGAGGCTGACATAGCCGTACCAGCGCTTGAAGTCGATGTACCACCACCAAAGATGTCGTCCAGGTCTAGCAGACTGGCACCAGCACTCGACTGAGCAGCCTGCACAGGCTTCGGGGCAGCAGCTGCAGTTCCACTGCTCGAGCTCGCACCAGCATCGTCGTCTCCAAGAAGGTCAGCCGAGCCCACAGCCGAGGACGCGAGGTTCTCATTGCGACTGCGCACCTTCGATGCATCGATAGCGGGCATACCAGCGAGAACGTCATTGCGCAGGGACGACCACTGCGGCTGGCCAAGGGTTGTATACTCGGTAGCACGCTGCTGAAGTTCCAGTACCATGGATGTGTTGAAGGAAGAAATCATCGCGTTCAGCTTAGCGATCTCAGCCGGCGAGCTAAAGCGAGTCGTAAGCTTCACCATAGCGTTCAGGGAGTACGCGCGCGTGATGTCCGTGGATCCATGGTGGCGCAGAATAGTCTTGAAGAGCTCCACAACACTGCTCTCATCGACTCGGCTCTTGTCGTTCAGGGTCTCCTCAGACGCAGGCGCATCCAGCAGCAAGAGCTTGCTATACTCGCCGACACACCAGATACCAACGTGAACAAGAGACAACTGGGACACATCGTCGTGCAGCGCCCAGAAGAGCTTGTGAACCACGTATGCGTGCAAGTCGGTGTTACGCTGGATAAGCGTGATGAGCGAGCTGCATATCCGTTCGTCGGGCAACGTCGAACCAGCAATGGATAGCATTGTAATTAGCGTATCAATATGCCACCGGCTTGACGGTGCGTAGCGGTCAACCGCATCTGCATCAAACCCACATCATAAATTCGTGGTTAGAATAACCGCCTGTGAGCAATCAAAAGATAATCTAGATACCTACCAGCAATGCGTGAGCACAGCTCGGCTTTTTGCTCGTTCGGAGCAATCACGAGGTAGTTCAGCATCTCACGCGCGAGCTGTGAAGTATACGATCATCACGTCAATCATAGTGAGTCCTCAGTTCCCAACCCCGTTGTAAATTCGAGCTCCCCACACGTACCGATTGAATGTTGGAAGAGTTTACAAGCGAGTAGATGAGCTCGAGCGCGCGTTGACGAATGGACGTGTCTGGGTCCTTCAGGCAGTCCACAATAGTGTTGGTGTGGCGCTGCACTGCCGCGAGGTCGTCCGTCACAACCTTGGAAAGCGTATTCAGCGCGACGTAGCGGATGTTGTTGTCACGGTTCAGCAGGAAGCGTCCCAGGATGTTGATAGCCAACACGCGAAGCCCGCTGTCACTCTCAATCGTCATAATGGTCTGCACGCATTCGTAGAGGATGGCGTTGCCAGCAGTCTTGGCCGTCTCCGTGTTCGTAGCCACCTGCGCCAGCACATCGTTCATCGCCTCACTGGCTTCCTCGTTGTCCTTGCCCAAGAGACGCAGCAGCCTCAAAATTGCGACCTGCAAGAAGGGATCAGCGATGCCGCTGACGTCGTACTCGCTCGAGTAGCCCATCGACAGCAAGTTGCGCAGCTGACGCACGAGCTTCGGCACAAGGCTGCTGAATCGCTTCAGGTTCTCCACATCCAGTAGCACCACTTCCGTAATCAGCTGCACGCCCGCCAGCAGCACGCCGTGGTGCTTGGAGCGAAGCAGTCCCAGGATGGACTCAGTGAAGTCCTCCACCAGATCCGGCACCTTCGTGAACACGCGGATAGCAGCCAGCGCCGCCTTCTTGCGCAGATGGTCGTTGTCACTGCGCAGGTGACGGTCCACATCCATCACCAGGTCGCGCGCCATATCCGCCTGTAACGTGCAATACATTTCAGTCTATCAGCATTCCACCACAATCATCGCCATCATCTTGTCACTCACCGACGCAACGTTGCCCACACACGTGAGCGACAGCGCCACGATGAAGTGGTTCTGGTTGTTCAGGTCACTGGGAAATAGCAGCAACATTACGCTCAGATTAGTGCAAGCCAACGTCCAAACTGAAGTACCGACAGGGACACCCACTTCTTGACCGAGTTGGTGACGAGCGTGAGCACGTCCTCCTGGTCCGTGAGCAGCAGGATGAGGCCCAGGTAGCCCATGCGCTTCTCGGCGAAGTAGGGGCTGGCGATGAGCTTGACGCACTCCATCTGGCCGAAGTGCGACGGGTAGCCGAGCATGTGGATGAAGAGCAGCTTGGCCACGTTGCGGTGGCGGTACTGCTTCTCCTGGTCCTTGAAGGCCGTGCGGATGAGCGCGCTCTCCTTGGCGATGACGGCGCGCTCCTCGGCCGCCGTCTTGCAGGCGCGCACGCCGCGGATCAGGTCGCGCAGCTTCTGGCTCATGATGCCTCACAAGATCTCTCTCTCTCTCTCTCTCTATTGATTGATGGACAGGTTGCTGTGGCGGCTGCTGCTGTGGCCGGCACTGAGAAGGTGGGCGACTACAGTTGCGGACTGCTGCGGAGAGGGGGGAAGAGGCCCGGAGCAGAAGGGGGCGCGGCGAGCAGCTCGAGCTTTGGCAGAGTTTCCCCACGTGTGCAGCTCGCAAGGGGGCGATCAAGGATATTGACCAATGGGAGGCGAGATCATTGTGGAAACGCCGGATTGGAAGAAATACAAAAAACCTGTGACGTGTGGCGCTTCAACTTGCCTACCTATTTGCTAACTCATTGCTTTGCTGGAAGTGGAGGGCGGTTATGACGCACACATGCATGCTCTACATGCTGCATGGTATGGACAACCCTCGCATCGCGCATAAAGCTTTGTCGTCCGAAACTATAGTCGGAATACATAATGTTTGACCCCGGATATACTTTCACACAGTGCACCATCGTCTCCATCGATCACGCTGCTGTATCAGCAACGAGGAGTCCGGTAGCGGTAGTGTCCAATAGCCTGTTCATGCTGAAGCACTGCACAGTCTCAACGTTGCTAAGGTATACCGCGCTCGCATAGTTGCCATTGCCACATCCACAACAGCAGCAGCGGCGCCAAAGGCGTCGAGGTAATCCCTCGGGGAGACATTATGCAGTGCACAACGCGTTCGCGATGCTGTAGCGGCTCAAAGGTAACCATGAGCCCCTCACGAATAACCAGTCACTTCTTCACAATGTTTTCGAAGCACTTGAAAACACTCAGGTGCCTTTGTGGGAACTCCACGATGGATACCGTGGCTAGCACGCACGCGTACTGTAGGATGGAAATGTACACACAGCAGGTGGACAGCTAATCTGCACGCGGTGAGTCGAGTCGAAGCACGTCCGAGACGCCGCATATTGTCCACGCGACCCATGTCGTCCACTTCAACTTCCCTCCGATTGGCTCCGCTAACGCCGACCTCCCATTGGTAGAAACCCTTTCACAAAATCATCCTCTCCCTTCGCACGGCAGGCATCACCGGCGGAAGCGCAAGCCAAGCCAAGCAAGCGTCCACCTCCGCCATGCTGAGTCTCGCAGCCAAGACGCCGCGGCTGGTGGTGCCGGGGCTGCAGAACCTCGGCAACACCTGCTTCTTCAACGCCATCCTGCAGGCGCTGGCCTCACTGCCGAGCGTGCACGAGTTCCTCGAGGAGATCGAGCAGCGCGCGCGCGTCACGCGCCGCAACATCGCGTTCACGGGCGCCCTACGCGACTGTCTCGAAGGTGCGTGCGTGCTGGCAATACAACGACCTCTATGCATCTGCTAATGTTGCTGTGTACCGTATCGCTGAACAGCGCTAGCGCCGAGGGAGGAGCACGAGCCATGCGGCATCGTGGCGCCCAGGACGCTCAACGCAGAGCTCACCAGCAAGCTGAGGGCCTTTCGGGGCAACAAGCAGCAGGTAAAGGGCGGAGCAAGGCTTAAGTTGCTGGTATAATTTGTGCTGACTTGCTGTCGCTGACTGGAATGGTAGGATTCGCAAGAGTTGCTGCAGTTTCTGTTCAAGTTGGTGAACAGTGAGCAGCGGCGCTGCTCCGTGCAGGACCGAGGCCTCGTGGATCTGTACGCTGGCAGTCTGATGGAACCCGCGACGACAAGGTCGATCAGCGACCTGCGGCTGTCCCAAGCGGTGGATGAACGGAATTGGAATCCGCTGCAAGGCCTGCAGGTTAACCTGCTGCAGTGCACGCGCTGCCGCCGCTTCCGGCCTCTAAATAACCATCCGTTCCTGGACGTCTCGCTGTCTTTGGTTGCCCCTGGAGACCGGAAGGTGTCGAGACTGACAGACGCAATCCATCTGTACACGGAACCGGAGGTGATCAAGGACGTGGAGTGCAGCTACTGCAGCGTCGTGGATGAACTCGAAGTGACTCGGAAGGAATATGCAGAGGCGATGAAGCAGCAGCCCAAGGCAAGTAGTGGCAGCTCAAACTTCGATGAAGTAATGGACCTGGAGATTGTGCAGCACGAGCGGAAGGACTGGATTCACACGCTGGAGCAGCTGGCGAGCTCTTCAACAAGCTTTGACTTGGAGCAGCTCGAGCGGCCGATCCCACGCAGCCGTGGAGACTGCCACAAACGTCTTCAGTTCTCTCGCAGCCCCGACGTCTTCTGTTTCCACTTGAACCGCAAGGTATATAGGAGGACTGGCGGCGCTTACAAGCTCGAGAATTACGTGGAGTTCCCTCTCGAGCTCGACATGAGCGTCTATTGTCAATATGAACTGGACTCCGTCACCGAGCAAAAGCCGGGGAATGGCATCACGCGATCAGCAAGCGGCATCATGCGGCGGGCAGTGGCGTCACCACCACCGTTCAGCGAGGCATCGAAGCAGCAGTACTTGCTGTACGATCTGACAGCTGTCATTCTGCACCATGGCAACGAGCGGTGCGGCCATTTCACAGCGTATCGTCGGGCCAGCCCCTCGCAGTGGTTTTTCGTCTCCGACGAGAGCGTACGCGAGGCTTCTGTAGCTGAGGTGTTGAGCAGTTGCGCCTATATGTTGTTCTACGAGCGCAAGCTCCGAACAAAAAGAACAACACGCAGCTCAGAGACGGAAGAGACCACGGACGACGATGATAGTCTGCCGGACGTCCCCTTCGAGCCCCATTTGCTGCTATGAAGTAGCCGCTATTGAGAAAAAGTCGAGTGATCCCAGGGCAACAACTACTTACGTAAATATATTGGTTAGTAACATGCGTTCAAGAGCGAGGTATCGATGCAAACAAACACAACCTGGAGAAGATGGAGAAAGCGTGCTGTTCCACGTTGAGTGCGTTTAGTTGCTGCTATTTAGTTGAAGCCGTACTCCTGGCGAGCTCGCTTGACGACTCCAACAAGGAACCCACTCTTGTTGCGAACGTTGGAGAGGTTGGCGCCAGCGAATCGAGTGAGCACCTGGTTTGCCAGCGGCTCTGAGAGCTGACCAAGCACCTCGTAGCACTTGCCTCCAAGCTCTTCCAGAGACGACAGTGTACGGTTGGCCACCAACGAGTGAATGTGGTTCTGCACGGACATGGGCAGCGCAGCGAACGACGGTATCCCCATTCCAGGGCCACCACGTCCAGCCCCAACCGGAGGGGGTCCCCGAACTGCTCCACCGAACTGCTGAGGGGGCTGGACACTCTGTGGTGCTGCAGGCTGTCGACGTCGAGGATCACGCGAGTCTTGCGGAGCTTCGTAGGGGCGTTCATACAATGCCGGACCAGGCCCAGCAGCCATAGGGGCTCCTTGACCACGGTACGCGCCACCATTTGCACCGTTGGCACCATTCAAACGTCCACCTTGGGGAGGGCCACCCAGAACAGACCCACCTTGAGGAACTGCTGCGTAGCCGCCGCTGCCGCGAGGAAGAGCTGCTTGCGTATGTCCACGAGGAGAGGGGGCCTGAGATCGGCGCTGCTGTTTCTCCGAAGCAATCGCCTTTTCATTGACGCGGTTGATGATTCCCACCAGGAATCCTTGCAGGTTTTCCACCTGCGATAGATCCACGTTGCTGAAATTCTCCACAGCCTGCAGCGCCACACGCTCGGGCAGATGCAACAACCGGGTGACCACGTTGTCGTTCAGTGGTTCTTGCAATCTTCCTTCCCGACGCATGCTGTTGACTACGGTCTTCACGGCGACTGGCAGTCGATCGAACAGATCGTTCGAGCCGGCGGGGCGAGAGGGTCCGGGTTGGCTTCCTCTTGGGGATTGCTGCTGGTTTGTCGAAGAGCCTCGACGACGAGGATCACGCACGAGGCCACTGGGACCCTGAGCATGCGGCTGCTCACGTCGGCGCGGGTCTTCAGCCCTCGCGCTCGTTGCTGACCGCGGCATTGCTTGACTAACTGGAGAAGGAGGGCCCTGACGGCTTCGAGAGGCTAAGCGGGGATCGGAAGCTGCTGGTCGCTGGCTAGGTGGGTTGGCAGGCGCATTGGAGTTCTGAGCACTTGCCTTGCCGTTGTGTGCAACCCGACCGAACTCATCCACGCTCTTTTGCTGGTTCTGCTGGGGCTCAGAACGCGTGGATGCAGCTCTTGCTTGTCGAGGAGAATGTTTAACAGGAGCATCTTCTTCCGGCTGATCGCGTTGATAAGGCACTTGAACAGTAGACACACCCGTAGCAGGCTGCGGTGGTGCGTATCCAAAGCGGAAGAGACCCGGATCGCTCTTGTAGTCCGAGATAAAGGCGTCTACGGGCTGCAGTGCTGCAACCTGTGGGTTCTCCTTCTGGTACTCACGGTAGATGCGCATCAGCTGGCCATTCTTGTCACGCACGTCACGCATCGGAGTGCGTACAAACCGAGCGATGATAGCAATCTGAGCAAACTCCGGCATGGCTCCAACGGACGCAAACGCAGCGCGGCTCACTTGAGTCACTTTGAACTCGCCGCTCGTCTGGAAATCCATAAGCCGGTCCCAGGCCGCCGCTGAGAGACCCTTGTGGTCTTCTTCAAGACGCTTGTGCTTACTGGTGCTAGGGGATGCAGTTGCGTCGCTGCTTCCGCGACGACGGCGGCCGTGCTTGTGGTCGTCATCATGGTGACTGCTTTCGTTGCTACCAAGGCGTGGTCGTTTAGGGTCGACATCTCCGTTAACAGGTGCATCGGAGGAAGCGTTTGGCACTTCATCGGCCTTCCTTTTCGCCGGGGTCGCATTGGATTGTTCACCGCTTGCAGTCGCCGACGAAGACTGGTCCACATCCATCGCAACAGGCTCGTCATTTGCTGCCGACGACGTCATGGACGGATGATCCGGATCGTACTCTTCCTGCTCAGCAGCCGGGCGGTGGTCACCAAAGCCCGTTGCAACGGGTGTCCCGATGGGAGACGGGTTGGCTGGATCATACTCATCCTCGCCGTGAGGGACAGCAGACGCATTGATTGCTGGTGCGGACGGATCGTATTCGCTCTCATCATGCGTGGGCGGGGGCGATGCACTCGCTCCAGCAACATCAGCAGAACTATCAACCAGGGCTTCTTCCGCTGGCAGCGCAGCATCAGCTGAAGGTTGAACCGTAGCAGCGGGCTCGACATTCTCGTCCGCCTGCTGCGTGGATGCATCCTCAGGCGCTGCTTCCTCTGGCAGACTCTCCGAGTTACTGGCAGGCTCTTCAACATTCGGAGCAGACACAGGCAAAGGCTCCTCGTGGGTGCTAGTCTCCAACGTATCGTTCCCTGCTACAGTCTCGCTCTCTTGTTGCGCACTCGCGGCATCGACCTCATCCGCAACAGCGGGATCTGAAGCGGGAGGAGCCGCGTCCTCCGAGGCCTCCTCCATTTCGACATCTACTTGCTGTGCGTTCTCTGCGTCTTGCTCCTCAGCTGCAGCGGGGGCCTCACTCTGCACTGGCCCGTCGCTCTGCTCTGGCTGGTTGGACGCGCCGTCGTCGAGCTGTAGGTCGGGGGCTCCCGCCGCCTCTTGCGTCTCGCTCTGCGTCTCCTCGTGCGCTGTAATTGCGGTGTCATTGGCAGTAGTGGTCAACGCAGCATCAGATGCAGGCGCTTGTTCGCTCAGTACATGCTCAGACACGACGTCGGCGGCACTCGCCGCAGGTCCCTCAGGCTCCATCCTGCTGATCCCAAAGCAATAGTGGGGAGCACAGTTGGCTCACAACACAATATTGTGTGCGCCACATCGACTGAAGCTGATTGGAGGAAAAGTGATGTAGCCATGTTCGATGAAACGGCGCGACCACGTTGAAGAGAGCGCGCATTGCTGCCGCCAGCATGGAGCGCTTATCGCGACTACCAGTGCCCCTAGGTGATATTGTCGTCTCCAGGACGGCGAAGGAGAAGAACACGACCTCTAGTATCCCGCGCTTCTTCTTCCCACGCAAACGGACGCCGTTCACATGCGGAGAGCGCATCCGGCGCGGCAGGGTGGCTGCTCGTCTGGATGCTGTCATCCTCTCCAGTTCCGAGTTCACTCAGCTGGTCGAGTATATCTGCTCCTTTGCATGTACGCGCAGCTTACTCGTATTGTTGGGATCATTGCTGGAGAGGCTTAATCACTGTCGCGACTTGTTGAAGCAGGTGAGTCAAAGTTGACGCTGGATCTGAAGAGAGAGATGAAGCAAAGGACGAAGAAGACCGGGATCGTGGAAGTGGACCGCATGCTGGATAAGCAGATGACGCTCATGCTGGCGTATGAAGACTACTGCTCTGTCTCGAAAGGCTCTTGGTGTGATTCTGCGGGCTTGCGGGCTAAGCTGGGCGTATTGCTATCTGCCCAACGTTTTCTCATGGTAAATGCCAGCTCGATACTGGTACAGGGTATTTTTTAATGTCATTGATGTTGATAACTGCGTTGGTGTTGTAGTTTCCTCAAGACACACAGGGGCGGATAAGCGGGTATACCATTCTGGAGTATCTTCACCAATTGCAGTTGTCGCTGCGGGTAGCTCGATTCGTACTCGAGCGAGTCGCCCAGGAAGGAGCCGACAAGGACGATGAAACTCTATCGGAGAAGATGTATGTGTCCCTCATCACGGAGACTATTCAAGCCTCGAGCTATGAGCTTGCCCTGAATGAGGACAAGGATTTCCAGCAGTATTACGAGCTGATTTGCGCACGGATGCTGCTGCTACCCCATGGCATTCAGCAAGTTCGAACGCGCGGGCTGTCGATTCACCAAATCGTGACGTGCAACCGCTTTGCAGAATTCTTTCGCCTGATGGACAACTCGCTACGCGACAAATACGACCAACAATCGAATGCGTTTCACCCCACGCGGATTCGACTTGTGCATCGCCAATATCTCCAACTAGATCGCGACGGCAATGGCATGCTCAGCATGAGCGAGCTTGAGGACTACGGGAAGAAACGTGCCTTCAACCCAACAGGAAACGAACCGACTCATGACTTGACAGACGCCTTCATAACGCACGTGTTTGCCGAGGTTCCCACTTTCAATGGCGAAATGGATTATCATGCGTATCTCGACTTCACTCTACTTATGAACGACAAGGTTTCCACGGCTTCATTGCGGGTAAGCTTTGCTCAATCATGCATCTCGTGTTGTTTTTCTTCGTTTGGTGCATTGCCACTAACGCAATGTTCAGTTTTTTTGGAGAGTCCTCGACTTTCACAAGCAAGGGTTCTTGGACGCCTTCACATTAGACTTTTTCCTTCGCAGTCTGCTTGAAAAAATCTATGTTCGTGAAAGCAAGGACGATGCACCCACCATTCATCGTCTACGGGTATGACCATGACTCGAGGTGTGAGGAGAAACTTAACCAGAACTCACGCTCGTCCTGGTCACTCGATCTGCTTTAGACCCAAGTATTTGATGCTGTAGCGCCGGCACATCCAGACCGCATCACGTGGCAGGATCTTCAGCGGTGCAAGCTCGGCCACGACGTCGTTCGGTAAGCTAGCGATTTGAGTACTGACGGTGCCATCGGCTCACGTGCGCGTTCATCAATGTACTGCAGGCTTGTCACCGACTACGTGGCTTATCGCTCCTACGAAGACAGTGGGGGCCGCTTTTCCACATCGTGAGACTCCAACCACTTCACAACTGCTTGGACTGCACAATGGAACACAAGAGGAATGAGAGTGAGGCCAAACACCTGTTGATATCTATTAGTAAAGACGACTGCAGCTCAGCTCGGTTATGCGTAGCTTCGCGTCACTTGCGTGCTGGATTACGAGCATCGTCGTCTTACGCCGGCCCAGCACCAACAAAAAAAACAAGAGCGCAGTGAGCGTAGAGAATAGCAAAAAAGCATCTTACGCTCCGCGCTTAAGCCAGCAGGTTCTCGCCGTTGGTATGGAAGAGGAACACGCTGCCAGCGAACATGCCGACGCTAATGAGCACCTGCTGGTGCTTGGTGATGAAGGCGTTTGCACGCTCGCGAGAGCTCTGGAACCACGTCTTGCGCTGCACAGGCACACCGGCGCCGAAGCGGCCGCCAAGGAGGTTGGACTTGGGCTTGGAAACGCTGGAGGCGTTCAGCTGACGCTGGCTCGCGTTCAGACGCTCGTACTTGGTGCGCAGGCTGGCAGCCTCACGCTCCAGCACCTGCAGGGTGGCCTCGGCTTCCTGCTTCTTCTTGGACAGAGCCACCACCGAAATGCTCAGCTTCTCGGCCTCAGACAGGACGAAGTTCGCCTTCACGTGGAAACGGCTGACAGCCGGCTTGGGCTCCTCCTGCACTTGCTCGGCTTCCTCAACCTGCTCAGTCTCCTCGGACTTCTCGGCCTCCTCAGTCTTCTCAGACTCCTCAGCCTTCTCGGACTCTTCAACCTTCTCAGTCTCCTCGGCATTCTCGACCTTCTCAGCTTCCTCGGACTTCTCAGTCTCCTCGGTCTCCTCGGACTTCTCGGCCTCCTCAGTCTCCTCGGACTTCTCAGCTTCCTCGGTCTTCTCAACCTCCTCGGTCTCCTCAGTCTCCTCGGACTTCTCAGCTTCCTCGGCCTTTTCAGCCTCCACGGTCTCCTCGGCCTTCTTCGCCTCCTCAACCTTCTCAGCCTCCTCAGCAGCAACTTCCTCCTGAATCGCCTCCAGCACAGCCTCCTGCACCAGCTCCGTGATGGTCGTGGGCTCCTCATCCTCTTCCTCGTCCGTGGTGGTGTACCACTTGTCCAGCGCGCTGCCCTGGAACAGCGACGAAATCGGGAACTCGATCTCCTTGATCGGCTCCGGCTCCTCCTCGTTCGACGAGGCCGCGGCGGCGGGGGCGACCGTGATCGTCACAACCGCCTCGCGCGACTGCACAGGGTCGAAGACAAACGTGGCGGGGAACGTCAGCGCCGCAGCGTCCGACACCTCCTCGCCTTCCTCGCTCTTGGCAGCAGCCGTCCAGGCCACGGTGCGCACCACCGGCTCCTTCTCCTTCTTGACGCGCTTCTTGATGACCGTGCGCGTGATCTTGGTGGTGGTCTTGAGCTTGCGCGGCGTGCTCTCGCCGTCCTCCTCGGGCACCTGGCCGTCCTCCACAACGTGGCCGTGCTCGTCCGTCACCACGACGTCCTTCTTCTCCACGACCTCCTCCACGGTCTCGTACTCGTCGGCCTCGTACTCGGGGTCCAGGGTGACGGTGATGGTGGTGTTGGGCGCGGGCTCCTCACCCTCTACGCCGGCGAGCGTGACCTCCAGGCGGCCCACGCTCTTGGCGGCGGCCTTGGCCTCCTCAGAGAGCTCCTCCTCGCCCTCGGGGGCCTCGGACAGCGCCGAGATCTGCTGGAACACGGCGGCGATCTGCTCGTCCAGCAGCTTCACCTCGTCCACCTTGGCCGTGACGCTGCGGCGGCACTCGAGGTACGCCTGCGACACGCGCTGCACCATGGCTGACACTGCGGCCGAGGAAGATGCGGAAGCCATCGCGACGGGGGCTACAGGCACAAGAGACACAGGAGCCGCGGGATCTGCGGCTGCGGGGTCTCGGCGTAATGCGTGGCGAGGAGCGTCGCCGCAAAGAATGGTGTGCACTACACAAAGTAGTACTTATATGCGGTGATAGGGTACACCAACTTGTACACAAACCTGCATGATCAGGTTGCCGTTGCCGTTGCCGTTGCGGTCAGCACTCCTCTCGATTGCACGCAACAGCACTTGCATCCAACGTTTGGGTGGCATCTCAGAAGCCCACTTCGGTGGACACTCGCTGCCTTCATGTAAACCCGAACGGGCCCGTTATCACTGTCCTAGACATTCAGGCTTCGAGCTGCTGTAGCGCTGTCGTGTTGAAGTGCGGAGGTCGCAGCAAAAGCGAGCCGCTTTAGCGACGTCGTGAACGGAGCTGCTCAAGTTGACGACGAATAGTGGAGCTGGTTATATTGTAGCTTGCTCCGTGTTGAGAATGCATCGAGCGCTTGTTGCTCTTCTTCTCGGTGAGAGAACGAAATACAATTCGCTTCGCGACGCTGGAAGACTCGTGCATGTTTTTTACCCAGTAAAGGTGTTGACAACTTGATGGCGAGTGTCCCGATGAGACCGTCGCCCTCGAACCATCAAGGTGGCGATGGTATCCATGGAGCGCCATGGCATGCTCTCTGCTCAGCGCTAAGATTCCTTCAACTGGTCGCATCCCGCCAGTGGAATTCTCTAGCCGAAGGAAAGGTTTCCTCCACGCATCGAGAAGTCCTCATGCTGTTCGTCACTCATTATAATATTTAAGTTAATAGACCCGGCTGGCATGCACGGGGTATTTTTCCAAACAATCAATTCGCTGTCTAGCTGCCGAGGAAGGAGGAGGGCTGTCCAGTTATCTCCATCTTGTTCCATCCAAAATGGGCTGCCTTTCCTCCGCCTTGGCACTTCTCACGAGCACACACTCACCGCGACAACATGAAGGAGTCCTGCGTGGACACGGACGACGCATGGAGCCAGCCGTTGAGCTGCTCCAGCGCCTGCGCCTCGTCGTCCTCCTGGATACTCGGGGCGTACCCGCTCTCGATGAGGCGGCCCGTGTTGCCCAGCGCCGTCGGAGGGTTGAACGAGCCGAAGTTCGTCTCGAGGCTCACGCGGTCCGAGTACTGCGAGGCGCGCGTGGACGACACGGAGCTCGAGCCCATGATGAATGAGTCGTTGGTGCTGCTGCTGCTGCGCATGCTCATGCTTCTGCTCGACGACATGAGCGACGGAACGGGGGCGGGGGGAGCGGGGGCGCGGCCGTTTCCGCTGCGTCCGTAGAACTGGAACGAGACGCCGGGCTCCTCCTTGTACTGTGGGCGCGTTCCCATCTTGACGCTCTTGGGCTGGGAGCGCGACCGCCGCCGGTTGTGCGGCACGAGCTGCTGGCGGTGCGGGAGCGACACGGGGATGTTCTCCTCCGTGTACAGAATGTACTCGCCCGTCACGATCTCCTTAATGGGCGGCTGCACGTTCTTGTCGCCGGTGTGTCTCGCCTTGGACAGCATGCGGCCCGACTGTTTCCTGATGAGCGCGGCGGGGGCGACGTCCGCCGAAGCCGATACCTTGGAGTTCCTGTAGCTAGCGCTGCGTTGCCTCGTCTTCCGGCTGCGGCGCTCGGCGCGGAGCTGCATGTCCGTCTTCTTGTCCATGCGGGGCGTCAGGACCTCGTTGCCATTCTCGTCGGAGGTGGTCGAGGGCGCGATTGGGTAGTAGTAGTCGGTCGGGTTCACGTCGCTGTCCGCGAAGGACCCGGCGCCGCGCATGACGACCGTGGAGCCGCTGAGGTTGCTGGGCGGGCCGGCGCCCACCGTGTTGACCGTGCTGTTGGTGAACATGGTGCTGTTGGACGTCATCATGGTGTCGCTCACGTGGCTGAAGTTGCGCGCGCCGAACTTGTTCTTGCGCTCCTCGAGGAAGAAAATGTGCTCGAGCGCGAGCGACGGCCGCCGGCAGAGGCACTTGGAGCCGCGCACGCCGCACGTCTTACATCTCCGCAGCCAGCTGAACTTGAAGAGGCTGAACCACGCGATGACCATAGACCGCGCGCGCTCCCTGGCTCGGGGCTGCTTGGTGCTTGCTGCTCCACTGGCGGAAAAGCGACAATGAGCGCGGCCTGCGTCGCGGGCGGGCGGGTCGATCCTGTTTCGCTCTCTCTCCTGTGCTGCGCTCCCGTGGTAAGCTGCGCCTCTCCGCCTCAACCTCTTCCTCGGATGGGGTGGCGTGGCTGCGAGTGTGGAAATCGCCGACTGAGGGAGCCAGCATAGAGTCGGCAAGTCAGTGCGCGAGGTGACTCGGCTTTGGCGATCGCCCATCCTCCGAGCAAGCGACGGGCGAGCGGTCACGACTGAAAGAAAACATCAGCGGAAACTTGCCAGGCAACTTGCCGCGCCGCGCGCTGAAGCTGGAAGGTACCTAGCAGGCCGGCGCCGCCGCGTGCTGGGTCCTTCATGTACATACATGGCACTTGCTGGTTGCTACTGTAGTTGCAGGGGACAGTCTCCAGCCTGGAGAGCTCAATTTGGTCGTCATCGCACGTGCTTCCCGCCGCGCACTCGATTGAGAGATCGGGCAAACAGCTTGAAGCCGCATGAGCAGATGCACATGCAAACGGCAAGTGTGGAGACCTGCCGACAGCGTACGCTGTCCGCTGTCCGCTGCTGCGCCACGAACTCGGTTGCCAGCCGGGTGGAACAAGCAGCCCGCTGCATGGGTGCAGAATGCATTCGCTAGCTTTGCTTGGAAGCCGAAGGCGAAGGGATCCAGCGCGATACAATGTATCGGTGCTTGCTTGTGCACAAGATCCGTCAAAACCGTCCCGGCGTCAGGACGCTGCTGGCAAAACTGGCAAAGCCGAGGAGCGCTGCGAATGAAAGCGGCGGGCGCTCAAGAGCGGGAGGCCAAGCAGCGCTTGAACAGAAGTGACGTGGCCAGTCCTGGCACTCGCCGTGCAGCCATCAAGCACCGCGCGCTCGATGTGCAGGCCCAACATGGGACTTCAACGCCGTTGGCAACAGGCCGGGGGCCCACGGAGCAAGCCAGAGCGGACCAACGTCGCTGATAACGACAAAGAAGCGCTTGGCGGGTGGTTGCACCGAATATTATTCAACGGCCTCGAATCTCCTCACTCCACGAAGCAAGCCACCACGCGGGCAAATGTGGGCGCTGACCGGAGGGTCCACCCCAGCAGAAATTGGATGTGTCCTCATGGACCGCCGCCAAAGGGACCAACTTGCTGCTGCAGGCGTGCAACGTTACCTGTACTGTAGACAGTAGCTCGTGGTTCTTGCCATCTTATTCACATGCATGTACAGTAGAAGTTCACAGGAGCTCAACCGTGCTGCTTCAAATGTTGCTGGCTTGTGAGACAACTGCGTGGGCGCTGAGGAGTCTGTGGCTGAGCTGCTGTCGGCGGACACCAACGCTGCTGCTGTGCTCGCGGAGGCAGTCGCAAGTGACCATCTTGCGTCTCACTTACCCCCCTTGCGAACGCACAACTCAACGCCGGTCGCCCAACGTCCTGTCGTTCCGACGGTGACGACCCCAGAGCCACATCATCGCCAAGTTACCAACGCCCTGTAGCTGCCCGCTCGATTTCGGTGGAGCGTGCAAGTCTGCAACGCGCGACTTGCAACGTTGAACTAGGTTTTTTACTCCGTCCGAGCCGAAAGCTCACCGTACACCAAGGAACCAAACGACCGGCAAAAGATCGGGCCACAAGCCGAGCGGAGCCCCGCAAGCGGGGTTTTCTAAACAGGTTCAAGCCGAGCACGTGGGATCGCCCGAACCTCCTCGATATGCTCGGCGGGGAGGTTTTCCAAACTTCTGTAGCTATCGATGGGTTTCAAATCTGAACCTTCTAAGTGATACATGTAGTTATGTGTTTCAGATTTACACGTAAACGCTGACGGTGATCAATATCCAACGCATGCGAACCCGGGAAATTTGCTTAGGGTATACTCGCAGTTCGGGTGGGCATATGTAGCCGAATGGCCCTCGTATCTAGAAATCTAAAGATGCCAAACATACATCACGTCTTCAAGACGGCATTTTTTTTACCGTCTCATCGATTTCTATGCCAGATCTCGTAGTACCGGTATAGTGAATCTTGCCGACTGGCAGAAGCCTATCACTACGTAATTCCCAATTGCAACAAACTCTCAGTCGCCGATGATTTACGTTGAACTACAATGTAGATGGCGCTTATATTATTAATACATGTATTCATGCAAAAGAACGGGGGTAAATACGGCACCTGAAATGCATGGTCAGGTAGGCGCAGGCAACTCGAAAATCGCCAGCTGCGAGCTGAGTCACGCATCGAACCACTGGCTCAAAACCAAGCGCTCAATTAGAAAGTGTTACTGGTCCCACGAGGACCTGTCCTGGTCTGCGCTTGCCGACGACTGCGCCATCGCCGCGCATTAAACTTATTTGTGGACATATTGTATGCATATACGCGCTCTAATGCTGACCCGCCTGCAAAGCTGAACATACGTGCATTTTCCGTGCAGAGTTCTAAAAAAGAGATAAACAAAGAGTACGATCATTTTGCGATATGAACTGACAGTTCAAACCTGATTGGAAACAGTGGGCAGTGCAGCGAGACCGTGTCAGCCCTTCCAAATCTCTTCCAGTGGAACGTATCGACGCCATCACTCAGCGCCTCCGGTTCTCAGCCAAGTCGTTTGCGAGCACTGGGCACTGCCCCTGCTACTACAGTGCTTACAGTAATTAGTCTGACTCCAAATTTGCGTAAAACGTGCAATTTTCATACTTTGAAGGCTAGGCACGAAGTCAATTTTTATCCACAGACCCCTGTAATAGACGATTCTCATTGAGTAGAATTCGTTGAAAATGATAGTTTTTCGTCAAATAGGTGTAACATAGATACCCTAACCCTCCCATCAGGTCAGACTAATTATTGTAGGTACTGTACATAAACTGCACAGTAGGCAAATACTACTTTCTGTGCTATTTGGTGCAGTTTTGGGGGTATTCAATATATCCAGAGTAAACAAATCAGCGGGCAGCTGCGTACCGAATTACCTATGTTATGCCATACACTTCAGCGAACTCTATAGAGTCGACATTTCGGTGCCCTGCCTAGCCATGCAAACGCATAGAAAACGCGTTTCGATACAAATATCAAGTGAGTCACTATAAAAGGGCAGTGCACACCAGTCTTCCCGAAAGGCCTGTGATTGGTCAATCAGGGGGGTGTATGGCTTAACATATAGAAGGTGATACCATAGGTAATTCGGTAAGATAAACTTACCTTCGGACTGGCTGGTAAGATAAATTCGTTTTTAGAAAAAAATCAGTGGCCTCCTGTCGTCAGTCCAAAACCCTCCCTCCTCCCCCGCAGGCCGCAAGCGATCAGGTCCTGACCCCGTGGCATGGTGCGTACGCGTGAGTTAGTTCTACCAGCAACTAGGCTTTACACACACTGAAATACAAATTTGTACTAAATTTCAGAGCTTCGTGCAACGCACGACTTTGTTCGAGTAAGGACAAAGCTGTTTCGTTCTTTGATATAGCATGGAAATTATCCCCAATAGAAACCACAATTTTTCAACTTTTTTTAGGCTGATGCATATTACCCGACCGTAGACAGGAATACAACGTTTTTTTCGTCAAGCGTTAGTGCTGAGGTTGATACCAATACTCCATATTCTATTGGCTGGCCCTACAGCCCATGTTTCGGAATAGGGTTAGGGATAAAGGCATACTAAAACCAAGTAAGATCTCCAAACATGTAAAACATGCTGAAATCATGGACATCCATGTTTCGGTTTTCAGGACGGGTGTCATGGCACCCAAATCTATTGCAAATCCCTGGGAACTGGGTAATCGAGCTGCTAAATGTGGCTCTACCTGTCCTTAAAACCTTTAGAAGGCCGGCCCAGCGCTAGGCAGGGAACTGTAGACCTAAGCCTTGCTTCGCGGCTACGTTTGCGGGTTGTTCATGCTTCTCAAACGCCACTGATGCCGATTTGGTTTCTGCATCACGATAGATTTGCGGGCCATTTCACCCCCTCCAATCCGAAAACATGGGCTGTACATTTTCCGTATTTTATTCTCAATGTAATAGACTCTTATCAGATATGAGTTATCCAGTTGTCAGTTCAGCAAGCATACGCAATTCCATTTGCAGGTCTCCAAAACGCAAGTTCAACGAAAAAAACATAAAATGAGTCATAAGCAATTGAAGTATTTATCTCAATAGTAGCTCCAGCTTTATGGAATCGGCTACCTCTAACCAAAACTTCGGCAGCATTGCTATCATTTTCTAGTCTATTAAAATCGTGCTAAATAATATTTATTTGTAGTAAGTTTGTTCGGATCTACTACTTCAACTTGAAGTAAGTAATTTTAGATTACAATCCCCTTCACTTTTAGTAGTACAGTAACCCTGACTAATTATTTATTAATCCCCTTCACTTTTAGTAGTACAGTAACCCTGACTAATTATGGTAGAAAGTCGAAGTTTTGGTTCGCTCTTGTGAATACAATATTAATATTTGCTTTAGGCTAGAACCTAAGACCATGATTGGCTTCAGCTCATCGAGATCTGTTCAAATAATATTTGCATATTATGCTCTCTTTGCGTGATTTTGAGCTGTCGGGAAAATTTTGGTGAGCGAGGTGTCACGAAAACGTACAAAGGTATGACTTATCGTCATATTTTCGAAGCACGACTAATAATTAGAGTGTATTTGCTTCTATCCCAGTAGAAATAAAAATGGAAAATAAAGTACTAGATTTAGATTCTTCTATTTTCTTGTTACTCAAAATTCCTATCGTTTGCTTTTGGCCTTTGCGGAGATAGTTGAAACGTAAGCAAAAACTAAAGCACCAGGATCTTATTTATTTATTTATTTGTTGCGGTTTAGTCGGCTAACTACACCCGATACTGCGCTCTGCTGCAGCCTCGCCTACGGATCGCATGTTGGAACAACACGCGCCCACGCTAGTCGCCCATACATGACAGCACGGATCACAGTCGCAGAGACTGCCTCGCCAGTGCTGCCCAGGTCATATGCATATATGCAGTAAAGTAAAGATCTTGACACCAACCAAGCGAGGTCGTGCCGTCGGTACCAAGTTGGTGATTTCATTGCTCATGCCAGCGTTCGCCACGCTCACAAATCTGGTCTCTTCGTTCTTGAAGGCGGCGGGACAGTTGGCTTTGAGTTCGTTGAGCCCATTGCTGACGTCTCGTCTTGATTCCCAGGTTCACATCCCTCAAAAGCGTTTGGCAATATCGTTGAGATTGTTTATTAGCATCAATCGTGCAGCTGTACTCCCAGTACTCTCGGAGGGTAGGTAACCCAGGTACCCAAGAAAATCGACTCATGCAACACCTTTGCCTGCCCCATAGTGTAGGACACTGCCTCTGACCATACTTTGCTTCCTTTCGTCATAGTTGGGTACCGTTGCCATCCATTAGGGGCATCGTAGACGGCTAGCTGAAGGCGATCCAACTGCTGTCGAAAAGCACCAGGATCTTGTGTTGTAAGCCTAACGCCTTATAGTATAATTTGTGCAGACGTATAGGCGACGCGCACTTTAAAAGGTTAGGAAAGAGATAACCAAAGTGCATCAACTTCAGCATCCAACGCGAAGTGCTCGACACTAAAATCGTTCAAAACTACATTTGTAGCGACGCTTATTTCAGATGCAACACTATATCATTATTGGACCGCATGGTACGGTCCCTAGGCCATGGCGCGGTGCAGACCGCCGCATTCAAATCAAGCATCGGCATTAGCTGCATGATAGTTCGAGATAGCTAAGGCAGAGCGAATGACCAATGCATGCTCGGGCTCGAGATACTACAGTAGTAGTTGGCAGTGCATGTTTTCATGCTTCGAGCTTGCAAACCTAGGTGATGTATCGCTGTGACCCGAATAAAAACGAAACCACTAACTTAACTGCTGAAGTTTATGCGCCAACCGGCAGAACAGCTCTGCCTGGTTAGAATCAAACCTAAAATCATAACTAGCTACACGATAAAATCCAGAGCTTCTCCGTGCTTTAGCACTGTTTAGTACTAACGTTTACAAGTCCGTTAGGCTTATTAGAGGACTTTAGAAAGAGGAACGACCTTATCTGAGTGGATATCCATCCACTCAGATATCCCCAGGGCTTTCCAAAAACGGACTCACTCACTTTCGGAGGTTATGCGTGGACTATTTCTCGGCCTGGACTATAATTCGGCAGATGTGCTTCACTTGCTTGCTTCTTCGTTCCTATTGCACTGCATTGAGCTAGCTCGATGCGAATTACATGTACTCGTACCATCGCTTCCTAGATAAAATATTTTGAAATAAATTGTATACATTTAGTGAATGTCTAAGTCACGCTGTGGCCATCGTGCCGATTAAACCCAGTGCTGCCAGCAAAATCGAGGAGGAGAAGGGCTGCAGTAGGTCAAGGCTGGGTCTACTGCGTTGTAATGCACTTATGAATGGCTCTGGGAATTAGTTCTGCAACTGCTTATATTCTAGTTTTAGATCGTTTCAGATGCTTATTTTCACCTGTTACTTACTACTTGAAGTACTGTAGTACTTACGTTTTGACAAATCTGGGTAACCAACCTACTTAGCCAGTGTAATTCCTCACTGAAAGGCTTTAGCGCACTGAAAAGATAAGGCCGTCAAAAATATATGATTTTGTTTACCGCTTTACCACGATCGGCCGGGTCGTAGTCTCCACAACGTAGCGGCTTTCCAGTTTCGTCACTACCACAGCCTCCACTCGCCGCTTAGAAAATTCGAGCTCTTGCTGACGCTTCTGTCGCTGCTTCTCTTCAGCAGCAGTCTGCTCGTCCAGTTTGGCCGCGTTCAATCGCTCGGCACCGGACACTGCTTCCATGTACGTCCTCAACGCGACCTCCGAGTCTTCGGCGGCAGTCTCCTCGGATGTCTTCATTGCTTCCCACTCGTCCTTCAACACGTCCAGCAGTTTTTCAATGCTTGAAGGGAAGCAAAAGCCCAGCACCTCCGTCCGGAAAAGTGTAGCTGTTCGAGATGGCTGCTCTTCTGAGGATGGTCCAGTTGCAAGGCCGCTAACACGCCCGTACGACGTCACTTGCAGGCTTTGGATCGTGGCGTTGGCGAACGGATGCAAAGCGTAGAGTTCAGGAACATCCTGGTTTGACATGGCTGCAAAAACAATAGCAACAGTAGCAACGATGAGCTGACCGATCGTAGCAAAAGCAGCGGACAATGAAAAGCTACTTACGCGCTCGGTTGATGAGAAACTCATATACCCCGTGCACAGCGTCGTGGCCATGGAAGAGAAGCAGCGAGTCGGCACCGTGCATATTTTCCTGAGAGGGTGCTGCGCGAGTCACGGGCGCGACAAGACCACCACCACCACTTGCATTCTTGTTCCTCGATCTGCTCGCTTCCTGCTCCTCCTCCAAAAGGTGGAACTCCCCAGCCTCGCGCTCAGTCTGGTTCGCGTTGACGTAGGGCATCGAGTACTCCACGTTAAGATGATGCAATACCTTGCGAATTCTTGAGTTGGATTGAGACATCACTGCGTAGAGCTTGCACTTCTTCACTTTTTTGGTAGGCTTGGCTTCTTCCTCTGTTTCGTCGGACGACTCCGTGTCCATATCGTGCTGGCGGCAAAGACTGATTATCGATGAAGAAGTCTCTTTCTTCCTGGCGGCACCAACATCATACACAAAGCAAACCACGTAATCGCTTGATCGGAGGTAGAACGATCCATCAGTACTGGAACCTGTCGACTGCCGACGAAAGTTCATGTACAGGTCGCGAAATGCCTCTTGCCATGTGTTCCACCGTGCCGTGAAAAATGCCTTCTCTTCCCGCTTGCGCTCGCCTTTAGGTCCTCCCAACAAAGGCTCGCTGGTACTTGCAGCAGTAGCGCGGTTGAGTAAGATTGACGACGGCACCGAGGCTGCGGGGTGCACAAAATAATGCAAGGCTTCGTGCCATCGGACTGCCGCACTTTGCGAAGCAGAGTGGAGGGAACTGTCTTTTGCACCACTGGTGATGAAACGTTGGAGTGCTTGCTTTTTGATTTTTGAGCTGGTGATCATGCCCATTATAGTTAAGGTTAGCTGATAGCGGTTCACACACATAGCGCCCTTAGACCCACTTACTTGGAGCGCTGAAACGGATACGGAAATGCTGTAAGGATGGAAAGCTTCGTCTTGGGTACAATGTCTAGCGGTAGATCGGACACCTGGCGATCATACTTATACGTCAGCACAACGAAGCAATGCATTCACAATATCAGATCCACTCACATAGAAGGTATTTGGCACGTTTGCCCCCGCCGGACGACGTTTTCTCTGCTTGTTCAGCAAGGACGGCGCATAAAGGGACTGCAACCGATTCAAAGTAGTGGGGATCGCAGCCGCCGCAAGAAGCGAGCTCTTTTTTGTCTGCGCTGATGGCGACGTCTTCTTCGTTGCGGATGCTGACGACGACGGCGCAGTAGTCAATTTCTCCTCTTGAGCAACTTCATGGCTGTCAGGTTTTTGAGGAGAATCAACCTTGCCTTCCTCCGCTGGTTTACTAGGAGACCAACCCCAAAGCAACAAGTCAGACATTTCGCCCCGTGGCCCGATGATATCCCTCTGCTCAGCTGGTAGGCTACCTGGTAGTTTTCTGAGGAGTCTGCTGTGAAGTTGCTACTCCCAGCGCCACCTTTCTCTTCTTGTCAGCGGATAATTGGAGCTTAGCGGCCCGACGGCGTTTCTGAAGCAAAAAAGCATGGTGCACTTCCATCAGTCGATCTCCCAGCACCAAACACGATCAGCAAAGTACCGTTACGCACCCGCAGCTCCATGGGCAGCAGCCTCTTCGCCTTGCTCACATTGCGCGTGCCCGGGCTGGGTGTCCCATTCGTCGTGGGCTCCTTGTTGGGCTCGGGCGCGGCGCCAGCTCCTTCGGTCGCCATGATCTCAATGCAATGGAGCTCTTCGCGCGGTACAGTATGTGGTGCACACGAATGGAATAGGACCTTGATAAGGGTAAGTATGCCACCCCTTATTAAGGTACAAGTAAGCGCTAGTCGATTCGTACCCATTCGTCCAAGCGACACAAAGCAGGAAGCAATGGTGACAACCGACTCGGAGCCTGTGGGCCACGCCGTGATCCTCTTCTACAAGTATGTGGAGGTAGCGGCGCCGCTGGAGCTCAAGCAGGAGCAGGAGCAGCTGTGCGAGCGTCTGGGGCTTGTGGGTCGCATCCTCATCAGCGAGGAAGGCATCAACGCCACGCTCTCCAGCTCGTCGCGGGCCAAGATCGACGAGTACATCGCCTTCCTGTGCGCCCACGAGGTCTTCGCCATGCGCGCCGAGGACTTCAAGCACAGCTTCCATGCGCACGAGAACCCGCCGTTCGTGGGCCTCATCGTCAAGCACGTCAAGGAGATCGTGTCCACGGGCGGCGTCGTTGCTCGCCCGGACATGGCCGCGTCTGATGAGGAGCGGGGCTACCTGACTCCGCAGCAGTTCCATGAGGCAATGCGCCAGGCTGTTAAGGACAAGGAGGGCACGGTTGTCTTGGATGTTAGAGCGCACAAGGAGTACTTGATCGGCCATTTTGAGGACGCGGTGGATCCTAAGGTCAAGAACTTCTCCGAGTACTACACGTTCCTGCAAAACCGCGTGGACGAGATGAAGGATAAGAAGGTCCTGATGTACTGCACCGGCGGCATTCGTTGCGAGAAGGCGTCAAACTTCCTGCGCAGTCAGGGCGTGAACGACGTGCACCACCTCAAGGGCGGCATCCACAAGTACCTCGAGGCGTACCAGGACGGCGGCTTTTTCCGCGGCAAGAACTTCGTCTTCGACAAGCGGTGAGTTGACGTTTGGATTGATTTCTTACTATTGGGATTCCAGGCAACTGACTGGATGTGGCTCTGTTTTTTTAGTGTTTTGATGGGGGCTCAAAACAGCAACGAAGTCGTGGGCAAGTGCATCGAATGCCAGACGCCGCACGACGAGTTCAGCGGCCGGAAGGTGTGCACTGTGTGCCGAGACCTGGTGCTGGTTTGTGATAGCTGCTACTACGCTCGTCACGGCGAGGTGCACTGCACGGACCACCAGTACCTAAAGGACTGCTACGTCACGTTCCTGCAGTACCTGCCTCGCGCGGACTTGCTGGAGCACCAGAAGGCACTCGAGAAGATCCTGGCTGGGCTACTGGAGGACAAGAACAGCAGCAAGAACAAGCGCCGCTCTATCCGCAACCAACTGAACAAAATCGCAGCTCGCCTCGAGGCGATCGACGCCGACCCGGAGGCAGCAGCAGCGGTGCTGGCGCTGGACCCCCGCCCCATCCATTGCCGCACGTGCGGTCTGGACACGTGCATGGGCAACTGCTGGGGCTTCTGGAGCGACGAGGTGCTTCCTCCTCCGCAGAACTGAGCACGTAGGTGGTGAGTGCCGTAGATCATGCCATTGGATAGCTGTAAAACAAATGTAGCCATCTGATTAGCTATAGCCCCGATGTAGCCATCCATTTTGATTAGCAGATATTTTGCAACTTCAACTTGGTCTGTTGAGTGCGGAACCGCCATGAAGACCGCGCCGACGTGGAAGCGCGCGGCTCCTGCGCCCTCGGGGCCTAAGAAGAAGCAGACGGTGGCGGCGAAGCAGAAGCACGTGCGGGAGTTGGCGAAGGCAGGGCGATGGGCTGAGGTGCGTGGCGGTTGGCAGCGAGGCGGAGAAAAACCCATAAAACTAAGCGAGAATGTGTTACTGCAGATTGAGCGTCTGTATGGGAAGAAAATGGTGGCCAAGGCCAAGATCTGTATGCAATCAGAGCATCTACTGGTCTTCGAGCTCTGCCATAATTGTGTTCACTAACATAAAGTGGTTTAGACGCGGAGAAACATGGCGTCACGAAGACACCACAGGAGATTGCTCGTGAGATCTTGCTCAAGAATGGCTACACTCCAGTAGCCCCCCAAGCAGCAGTGAAACCTGCGCGTGTATCGAGGGCTAAGCCAAGATCAGAGCCCAGAGCTCGCGTGGACACGCCAGTGGTTGACCTCACAGAGCACGCAGAGCCCACCAAGTCACCCGAGACATTGACAAAGGAGCAGCAAGAACTTATTGAACGGAGAAGGCGGGACGCCCTGGAACGCCGCAGACGTGCTCAGAAACCTGCTCAGCCTCCACTTGCCAGTCCATTTCACCCGGTTGAGAACGTGCGCCGCCATTTGATGCCGTCAGTTGTTCCTATGCCGGAGCTTCCGCATCGGCACTGCTATCCTCCCCAAGAGGCCACGAGAATGAGCTCAAACAGACAGCCCGACCAGCCATCCAGCACAACGCATCGAGTCGTTACCCCTGACAACCTTCCAACGGCGAATCCTGTAGTCGAGGCAGAGCAGGCGCGGCCAGAGTACTTTTGGGATGACTTGGAGGCCGCAGCAGAGATTGTTCAGTGGGAAAATGAGCACATGGCTGAAGTGGCGCTAGAGCAGCCTTCAACTGGCGTTGCCCCGAAGAGTTGTCGAGGGGAGTTAGGCGCTCCACGCGGACAGGAACCACCGAAAGCCCCTCAAGTCCCATCGATTTCACAGGAACTGGCCGCTGCAGCAGAAATCATTCAATGGGAAAATGAGCACGAACACCACCCTGAGGTTCCAGGTAACCGATTATCTTCCTCGTCTTCCTCAATAGTCTGGTAGCTAGGAAACTAACGTCTTCTGTTTGCAGAGATTCACTGCGACGATCCTGCCAATACTTTAGGTGTCGATAACTCGGCCAGCGATCAAAGCGCTCCACAATTCCAGCTGCTACCGATTGATACTAGCGAAGTGGTCGAGCAACCAGTCTCCAGAGCGCGAATCAAAGCAAGTCAAAAGCAAATGGCGAAGCCCAACGCAAGACACAAACGCCCGCTGGAAGCAACATCGCTACCAGGTTTGCTTCATTCCGCGCGCGGATCATCTTCGTACTTCTACACAACTCACATGCTATCCTATCTTACCTAACTTGCTAACCTACTCTACCTGATTATGTTTACTAGCGATGCCCGGTAGCAATGCTGCTTCCAACAACACGGCACATGCCCTTGGTCCTCCTGCGTTGTCTCCACCTCGTGCGCCGTCTCCACCTCGCAACCAACGCGACCCAACGGCCGAATTCATGTACGTCAACCATGAGCAGATCGAGACCTTGTGAAGACTGACAAATCAATGCCCCCGGCGTCTTTTTCTTCAGTGACAAGCATCTCTTGGACGACAAACTGGAGCTTCCGGTACTCGAGTTTCTTGACGTGATGCTTGCATAAGACAAAGCACACTCATGGTTCGAACCGCGCGCACCGCACACTTGATCTGTTCGCCACCCTCCGCTCAAGGCGATTTTTAGCGATTTTCTGGAGCACGACACGCCTCTCAGTCGTATTTCCGGCAGACAGGGTCAGCATAGACCAAGTGGTTCGCCCACATAACCAAATCGTTTTCCTCGGAAGAAAAGGGAAGGATTAAGCCAATGCTGTTGAAGTTCTTGGCGCTGTCGTATTCCACATTGACGTACTTCTCCATTTGCTCCAAAAGCACGAACCACAAAGAGCGCGTGGGGGCGTCGGCCTCTTCTTGTTTGCGCTGCCGCTCGTTGTTGTAGAGAAAGTTGCCATACAGCCCCGAAAAAATGTGCTCATAGAGCGCCGAGAGCAGCGCTTCGTTGAACTCGAACGCCCAAGGCTGCTGACGCCAAATCTGCCACAGCGCATCTAGCCATTGGATGAACACGGGGGACTGCTCCTCGAGTTCCTGCTGACCTGGTCCTTCGCCTTGGCCATAGCGGTATCTAAACATGTGTCCAAAAGAGCACCACTCCTTTTCAATTAGGCACAGCAGGCCTCGGACTGTCCGGTAGTACGGATCCAACAGGAGCTGAACCATGGCTGTGAGCTGAGGGGTGCGATCCCATCCGTCACTGCAGTGAATCATGACGGAATCGCTCTGGCACAGATATCGGCAAATTTCCTGCGACGTGGAGAGGATGTTCGACAGATGCAGGAACCAAAAGGTGTTTCGTAGCTGGAACAGCCACCCACTACTTTCACGCTCTTGGCCCGGCTGGCATACCGACGCTAGCGAAGCGAACGACGAGCGAACGGCGTGGATGTTCGCGATATCGCAGAAGTGCAGCTCTGAGTTCGGGTAATTCCGCGGGTCTTCCGTTCCTTTGCCTTGCGCTGAGTTCGCCGCAGCTGCCATTTGGCTTCTCGCGTCGAAGAAGTGAAACTTCGCGTCGCCATAAGCACTCGTCGCGTGTTGAAGCGCCGATACCATTTTCTGATCAGCCTCCACGACGTATCCACTTAATCCAGTACAGGGCTGTGCGCATCGGCAGACAAGCGCGCCCGTGTGCGGGTGGCGCCACACTACCGCCGGAATACGACTTGCGCTGCGGTACGCGCTCAGCTCGCGAAGATCATCTTCATCCAGCACAGACGGGATCACAAAAGTCTCCGGGTATGACGGGAACATGGTGTAGTCCGAGTTGTCGTATAGCCGCATCCAGCTATCTTCATCCAGTAACTTAAGCCTCCGATAGTCTTCCTCTGCGTCATAGAACTGGTCATTCGGCGTCTCCAATCCTGTTCCAGTCACGGACTTCACCTCTTCCTTATGCCGCAGCGCCTGATAGTGCAAGTGCGCAAACAGAAAATGAGGTGGAGATCCACCGGTCGAGTACAGTTCCCAAATGCAGCTCAGGAACTCGGAGCACGTGTTCTCGTCTTGGAATGCCAAGGAGGCTCGCAGTAGGTGTTTGCCTTCGATGTTGGCGACGTGAGGCGCTGTCGTCGAGCTCTCAGCGGACAGGATGGAAGCCAGAGGAATCTCCATCGCATCTTTCGTGCTGAGCGCTTGCCAGATGATACGGTAGTTGGTAAGTATTAGCGTACCATCAATGCTGAAGTGCGGCGCAGTCCCCAACACCATTTCTCCAACAAGATGTGTCACCTGCCCGACTCCCCGGACCGCACCTTTCACGGTATGCGTTCCCAAACCCAGCATCCCCATGCCCAATCCTTTCGCGAATCCAAATACACCACCACTTGCCCCGCCTTGGTATGTTTTGTTTACCAGGCCGGCCGCACCCTTGAGGAAGGCACTACCAACGCTTGTAGATGCGCGAAACAGACCTCTGCCCAGCGACCGCGTTGGATGATTGTAATCTCGCGTGAAGCAGTTGTCGGTTTGCACTTTGTGACCAGCAGCACCAAGCGATGCGTACGATCGAGGTGGGGCTACTCTGCCAGAGCCCTCTTCGCTCCACTCGCCGCCATCGCCGTCATCCTCGGACGAAGAGGACAAACCCAGGATATCTTGCTTCGAGCTCTGCTCCTCGCCACTGTCATCGCCCTTGTAAAATATAATATAAGCAGCATGGTCGACTCGCTGCCGCACCACCTCACCAGAAACTGGATAAATATCTCCAATCAACGGCTGAGACTCATCCGCAGGTTGCGTCAGTTGAAAGGTAGGCGTAATGCGGCCTCCACTGTAGCCATAGTTGTCTAGGCGCAACACTGTGGGTGAATTAGCACTGCGTCCACTTCTCGCGGGGCTGTTCATGAAGGCACCAGGAATCTTGTCAATCGTGTCGTAGCTGCCATATCCACAACTACTCACACTCCCGTGCGTAAACCGAAAGGCGTCATTCTCGTAAATCGGGTAGAACGTGGTCGGCGTGCCCGCACTGCTGCCGCCTTCGACGCTACCAGCGCCTCCACCACTTACTGTGATCGCATCTGAGAACGAAAAGTCATCATAGTCCCCCAGATCGGAGAAACTGCTGGATGTCTGCCGGGTGACGCTGGGTGGGCCAATGCTCATCGCGCCATTCGTATCTGTCTCAAAGTCCAGCGCAATGGCGAGTTTAAACCGGTCCTGGTCTTTCTCCTCCACACCTCCAAGCCCTTTGCACTCTTCGTCATCTGTAACTTCCGCATCATCAGCCCCTCTCTTGTCCTCCGCGGCGCTCGTGGCGCGCACTACATGCTCCTTCTCCTTGTCTGCGTCGCTGCGACTCTCCTCCAGGTCCGAGTCGGTTTCCGTCGCCGTGGTGGACGTTGGCGCAGCTGCAGTCGACGCCCTCAAGACCTCAGCATTGTGCTTCATCTGGTGACTGGCACCCGTCGGATAGAACTCGGCAGCGGAGCCGTTGCTGCTGGAGGACGTGGGCGACATGACGTCCATCGACGGCCTCGGGTACAGCACGCTGGCGTAGTCTGCGTCGTCCTGCTCCATCAAGTGCCGCGCACTGGCGGTGCTCAGTCGCTCCTCCACGGCGTCGAAGCCGTCGCGACTGGCGTTCTTCGTCACGTTCACGTACAAGTCGCCGTCTCGCTCGCTGCTGGCCATCTCGCGCTTGAGTCTCTCTAACTTGATATAGTCCGGCAACGCTGCAAGAGGCAATGCAGACAGACACCCAACCTGCAAGTTAGCAACTCTCTATTCTGATTAGCGACAGCCAGCCGGCTGATCATTCTTCTTTGCAGGTACGTACGCACGCGAGGCTTAGACGACACGACGCAGCTACAGTGTCGTAGGGGGGAGGGAGCAAGTGGAGGGCTCTGTGGTCTATATCTAGCTGTCGCGCGCTTGGCTCTTGGTGCTTGGCGGAGGGCGGCCGGGAGCTCTCGAGCGGCGGAACCACGACGCTCCTTCTGTACCAAGTCGTAAGGGGAAAAATGGCCAATAATATGCGACGTTTGCCCCGTTTTGGTTTCGGGATGTGACGTGGATGCGTGATGGGTACACACTGGTACAAGTTGAAGTGAAGTTGAGTGACAAACATTCTTTCATTCCTCTTCCTGCTCCTCTGCGTCGTCGGCCTGCTGCAGCGAGGCCGGCACCTTGCTGAGCACCTCGTGCTGCATGTCGTAGGGCGTGAGCACGAGGCGGCTGCAGCGCAGCGTGTACTTCTGCTCCCAGTCGCCGTCGGGCTCCGGGATGACGAAGTAGTAGGCCATCAGCCGCTTCGGGTCCAGGTACCAGCCCGAGCGCCCCTGGATCGTGCCGGGCATCGCCCCCAGCACGCCGCAGCTCAGCGCGTCCTCGTACAGCGCGAGGCGGAACGCGATCCGCGCGCGATACCCGCGGTACAAAGACTGGATGTGCAGTACGTGCTTGGTCGTTCGGCCCTGGGGGTCATCAATATGCAAACAAACACAAGGAAGAGTGAGGAAGGCATCCGCTTGAGAAGGTCTGCTAATGATATGTCTGTCCGCACCATGGAGGACCGTGGTCGAGGCGATACGGTGCCTGGACTTGGTAACGCCTTCTGCCGTTCTTCCTCTGCAGCGGCAGCTTCCACCATGTCGACCAAGTCGAAGAGCGTTTCAGCCACATCCGTCTCCAGCTCGTCATCTTCATCCACGTCGGGATTCGGATCGAGATCCGCACCGGTACTTACATCAGGAAGGCTGTCTTCAGCGGCATGGTCGCCGTCCTCGCTGTACTCCGCGTCGGTGGTGGCGCCATCGTCGACGGGGTCAAGCGCGACTCGGCTATCGTCAGTTGGATGCTCTTCGTCATTAGTTTCTGCGTTGACTTCCCCTTCAGCAAGAATTTGCTGGTCGTGCGAGGCTTCAGCTCCAGCTCTAGCATCGATCACAGCGATTGTAGCACTCTGGACACTTGATTCTTCGTCTTTAGGAGGCACCTTGGGCTCGACGGCTAGACTATCGAGGAAAGCTTGTCGTGTGGATCGTGTGACTCGAGTCGAGTGCGGACGACGCGGCGAGGTGACCGATACCGGTACATCTTGACTCAACTTGTCAGCCAACGGAGGCGGAAGCATGGGGGGTAACTCCGGTCGAGATGGCGCTTTCTTGAGCTTCTCCTCTCCTTTCTTGAGCTTCTCCTCTCCTAGGTCATTGCCCTGCAAGCGCGGTGTCGTCTGCGTTGCAATTTCAGCGAGAACCTTATCGCACCTCGCTATCAGCTGATTGAATTCGCCTCCCATCGTCATTCGCTGCGCTTCTGAAAAACTGAGCGCTCCTTCAAACGCTACGGACGAGTCCTTAGGTTGTTGAGTGCCATCGTTAATATCAGACTCCACCACGTTTGACGGAGTTTCTGTATCTGTGGGGTTAGTCGGCAAGGTTGAGAGATGCGGGGCTCGTCGCGGCAGCGAATTGGTACGTGGCTGTGCCCTTCTCTTAGGAGAAGTCTCTGTGGGCCCCACCGCGTTAGCCGTGACGTCGTCCTTGGTGGACTTCGGCGATCCGAGCTGCTTTGGAGATTTCACACTACTTTTGAAACCTGCTGACCGTGAGGGACTTCGCTTCTTCCGAGTTGGTGACTCGCTAGTTTCTGTTTGAGCTTCTTGTACACTTGGAGGGGCTTTTCGACTTGAAGAAGACAGTTTAATCGAAGCCTCCATTTGCGCCCTAACGTCGGCCTTCTTGCCCGGTGAGCCATTGCATTCTGGAAGTTTAAACTTCTTGTGCGCGTGAGGCTTTGCCTTTGCATAACCTCCACTGACATCAGCCTTGCGGAACACACGATCTGGGGTAGGAACCCTGGCGCTGAGACCAGTGGTTTCTTGGTTGAGTTGTTGTCGAGGCGTAGTGGCAGCATTCTCTTCCGTCTCAAGCAGTTTGATATCGTGCTGTCGTTCAGAGTAAGAGTTCCCTAGCATCAACGCCTGGATCAACTCCCTCTCACGCTCGCGTTGCGCTTGGAACTTCTTGGTCAGAATTCGTCGATCCTTGATCGCCGCGCACCTCGCCAATCGTTCCTCGCGTTTATTCTCCGCCAAAATGCACTGCTCAATCACCTTCAGATGCTTAAGCGACGCTGTCGACTTTGACAGCTTCTTTTGCTGCGAATCGATCGCCGGGAGGAAGACATTGCCCACAAGGTGCGTATTAAGCTCAGCGCTGCGCTTCAAGTGCTCTCGCGACGCGTTAGCGAGCAGCGCCTTGTACGGATCGTAAGCCATCTAACCTGCCTATCTGGGCCCGGTGTCCACACACAAGTGCATGCACAAACTTCGTCGTATTAGAACACCAAGACAACATTCAGCCAAAATAGACAGGGTATGAAAAATAGACGAGAGCGAAGAATATACCTTGTGTGGAGTGCTCGATGACGATCCACTGCCATGGGATTGAGGCCAAGTCTGGAAATTGTTGATGAAAGTCCGTCTATCAAGCTGCTTTTTACTGTCCGCAGTCTAACCTCATTCCGACGACGCCTTGACACTGCTGCCAAATAGGGTCGCCGGGAGTTCCCGCTCTTCAATGTCAGGTTCCCCACCTGCAGTTTCCTGTTCCCCTTCATCGTCCTCATCTTCATCGTCCAGATCGATCTCCTCCTCATTTGCCACCTCGACGATCTGCTTTTGACGCACATTCCGCTCTGTTTCAGACTCCATCGTCTCGCCCTTCCTCTTCTTTGCTGCGTCCTCATCGCTGGCTGGGGGCACATCGAGTTGCGCCTCCAGTGCAGCCATCGCATCACCAGGGGCAGTCGGAGCTGGCGTTGATGCTGCAACCATGCCGGGGATCTTCGCTGTTTCTTCAGCCTGGGGAGCAATCTCGGACGCAACATAGTTCACCTGCGAGTACTGGGCTACCACGGAGCGCTTGATGCGTAGCATCTCGAGGAATGTGTGCTCGGAGCCGTGAGAAACCTCGAACTCGTGCCACACCTTCCAGAACGACTTCTCGTGTTGCCGAGGATCGCAGAACTGCGATGCGTGCGCGTAGATGGCTCGAGCACGGTCGAATTCTCCCAGCTTAGTTTCCATCTGTGCGAACTTGAGACACAAGTGCGGCACGCACTTGTCTGGCAGCTTGGTGATGCCACGCTGATACACATCTCGCACCTTTGCCACGCCAAAAAACTTCTGCGCCTTCTTGATGTACTTGTCGTAAATTGCTAGCTTGTCATCGTCAGGAACGGCGTCGGACGCGCGCTCATAAATAGTCATCACATTGCGCAGCATGCCGTGCTGCTCCTCAAACTCGGCGAACTTCTCGTAGAATGCACGAACAGACTTCGTCGGGGCAGCTCGAATAGCCTGTTCATAAAGATCGCGAGTGCGCTCCATCTTGGTGCCAGCATACCGCTGAACAAACTTGGCCAGATAGACTTGCCACAACTCCCCGGCGTGAGGAAACTTTGGGAAGAGCGCCAAACCGCGCTCGTAAACGCGGAAGGATTCTTCGAAGTATTTGTTCTCTTCCAGGTACGCGGCAAAGTTTAGTACCATTTGCGGCGTGATCATCTTCAGCTCAAACACCTCGTCATACGCAGCACGCGTTGATTCGAGGTCGCCCAAACTTTCCTCCAGATCAAGGCGCAGTGTCCAAAGTTTGACACTGAGGTGAACATTGTCCTTTGCGGTCAGCGACTGCTGTTTGCGAAGACGAATCGTACGGGACGCCGGGATCGAACAAGCACCCCGCACAATTTCGAGCGCCTCGTCGAAATTCTCGTGACGAAGCTCCAACTCCGCCCATTCGCAATACACAGCTGCAAGTTCCTGTGGATTGCGGTACTCGACCTCCACCGCCTTCTTGAAAATTGCGCGCACGTTGTTCAGGTCGCCATGTTCATCGTAAAACTTCGCGAAATGAATCCAGAGTGTGGGCAATCGGCCGCCCGACTTGACTGGGTCCACTGTTTTCACAGCCTCGGCGTATGTACGGATGACCTTTTGCAGATCGGACTTCACAAGCTCCACGCGCTTTTCCCACTCCTGCACATTGTGGGGGTTCTGTCGGAGCAACACCGAGTTAAGCAACAGAGGGCGCCGCTCCGCTACATCCTCGTACACCTTCAGCAGGCGGTCAACCTGCGCTTGGTGATCCACCTCATCTTCTTCTTCGTCATCCTCCTCGTCGTCTCCACCAGCTGCCAGATCCATCTCGGCCGTGAGCATAGCCTCGATAAACTTCACGTACGCGTCGAAGATCATACTAAAGTCACGCACTGTGACCACTGTGCGAATGCCCTCCTCGTACACATCGCGTGCGGACTCGAACATGCCGAGACGCACAAAGTACGTGGCGAGCGAGCACCACAGCCGTCCCACCTCGTCGCTGAACCTGGTCATGCCGCTTCGCAGGATCGCTTCCACGTCCAGCGACTTGGCCACCTTGGTCGGGTGTTGCGACACCATATCGCACAGCTGCATCCACATACTGTGCGGCGTGCGGTCCGAGCTGCTCTGCTTGTCCTCAGCGGCCTCGATGAGCTTCACCAGCTGCACACTCGCCTCGTCGTAGTGCTCCACAGACACCAAATAGTCCACGAACTCGCCTCGTTTCGACGGCTCTAGCATCAGGTATCTCCTGTACACGCGCACGGCCGTGCGAGGTACGCCGATCTGCTTGACAAAGGCCAAGTACGGCGTCCAGATGCGGTGGTGCTGGGTAATGGGCAGCGCCCGCAGCGCGCGGTCGAACACGTGGCGCCGCGCGGTCACCACGCGCATCTCCCGCAACACATTGAGGTAGTCCAGCCACAGCCTCGGCATCGTGGACAGCTGCGCAAGCGCGCGCTCGTACAGCGCCACGAGCTGCGTGAAGGCGGGCGAGTCCACGCGCTTCCCGCGCGCGTCGCTCTCGTACACGTTGTCCAGGTACAGTTTCCAGAGCTTGTAACTGCGCGGGAGGGCGCGCAACCCGCGCTCGTAGACGGCGTAGCGCGTGGCGCTGGGGGCGTCGGACAGCGCGCGGATATAACTCGTCCATGTCTGCACGGCGTATGGCTGGCGCGTCGCCTCCTCCTCGAACTCGAATAGGGCTCCGTCGGACTGTGAGTGTGCGCGTGCAAAGATAGGTAGTGAGCGTGGGGTTAAGAGGAGCGGGGAGGGGTGTGAGGTCCTTACCATGGTCACGTCGGAGGCAGTCGGCGGCAGCGTCGCCATCATATCGGAGCTTTTGGCTTGGGTGGGGGACACGAGTGGCGCGTAACCTGCGTAACCGGGTTATTGTAGTGTGGGGCACACTAGATGTACGTAAGAAGTACACAATATTGGCGCTTTGAATGACTTGTCTTTTGTATGGGGAAACTTGAAGTGCAATTTTTGTCGACGCCCTTGTATGCGTCGTTGTATGGCTAAAGTTACACCATGTCCAAGTACGGCCCAGAATATCACTCTCGCCATTTGGTCACGAATAGCGATCGCGACGGTGACGACGAAACCCCTCCACCACATTTCGTGCGCCTCTCCGCCGTCAAGCTCAATTACGGCGACTGCAGCGCCGCAGATCGCAGCCTTCTGCTCGACTCGCGCAGTCCGAGCGCTATGGCAACCGCAGCCGGAAATTTCCGCAAAGTTCACCTCAATAACGACGCCGAAAATGAGCGGCTGCGGCGCGAAGGCAAGTACACCGACAACTACGTGACAACGTCCAAGTACACGATCATGAGCTTCGTGCCCAAGATGCTCTTTGAGTTTTTCAGGGTTATCGCCAACTGCTATTTCCTGGTGATATCAATTCTCCAAGTGGCGACGACGTGGTCGCCGACCAACAAGTACACGACGGCCGGCCCTTTGGTGATCGTGCTGCTGGTCTCCATGATCAAGCAGGGCATCGAGGACAAAAAGCGCCACGATGCCGACAATGTACAGAACTCGAGACATTGCAAGGTGCTGGGTCGTCACGGGGAAATCGTGACCAAGGAGTGGCAGGAGGTGCTGGTCGGCGACGTTTTACGTCTCGGCGACGGCGACGAAGCCCCCGCAGACGTGTTCATTCTCGCAACCTCTGAAGAGGAAGGTCGCTGCTTCGTCGAGACGTGCAACCTAGACGGTGAAACAAACTTGAAGCGACGATCCGCTATTGAGCAGGTGACGCAGCACATCGGCTACAGGAAACTGAACGACCCGGCGCTGCCAGAAGCCGAGCACAGCAAGCAAATGATGCAGTTCAGTGGCACGATGGAGTACGAACAGCCCAACAACCGGCTGTACAATTTCACGGGCAGGATTGAATTCGGGCCTAACAATGAGGCCGCCCCCATTGGGCCGTCCAACACTATTCTGCGTGGCTGCAGCGTTCGCGGCTGTGCTTACATTTACGGCGTCGTCATCTTTACTGGCTCCGAGACGAAGTTGATGCAGAATGCCCGCGCAACGCCGTCGAAGCAGAGCAACGTGTACAAAGTGGTCAACCGCTGCATTCTGCTGATCTTTATCACGCAATTCGTGCTGTGCATCATCAGCACCATTTGCAATACGATCTGGATGGATAAGTACGAGGAAAATCTGTGGTACTTTAGCTCGGCCATTACACGGACGTCGTCTGGATCCAACCTGGTGAGCTTCTTCACCTTCCTCATCCTGTACAACAACCTCGTTCCCATCTCGTTGTACGTCTCCCTCGACATGGTCAAAGTTGTCCAGGCGAAGAACATCTCTAGTGACCCGGAAATGTGTCACGAAGGAACCTACGCCAATGCGCGGACGTCCGATTTGAATGAAGAGCTGGGCCAGGTACATCACATCTTCAGCGACAAGACGGGTACTCTCACGTGCAACATCATGGAGTTTCGCAAGTGCTTCATTGCTGGTGTGTCCTATGGTTTCGGCACAACCGAAATCGGCCGTGCAGTGGCAGAGCTGGCGAAGAAAAATGCAGCTGCAAAGGGCGAGTCAAGCAGTTCAATCGACAAAGGGGGCGACGACAAACACCATGATCCTCGAGACGCGCAAGTGGAGTTTAACCCCTTCATTCATTTCGACGACCCGCGCTTAGTAAATGCACTAGCTGCGAATGCTCCAGAGGCCGCAGCAATTGACGAGTTCCTCACCGTGCTTTCCGTTTGCCACACGGTGATCCCCGAGACGAACGCGAAAACAGGTCAAATTGACTATCGTGCCTCCTCTCCAGATGAAGAAGCGCTGGTAAAAGCTGCCAAGTGCTTGGGATACAACTTCATCACCCCAGCCCCGCTCCTGGAAGTGAAGGTGACTACGAAGAGGGGAACCTCGGCCGTGCGCAAGTACACAATCCTCAACGTGAACGAGTTCAACAGCACGAGAAAGCGGATGTCGGTGACGCTCCGAACCGAAGACGGTCGCTACTTTTTGTATTGCAAGGGCGCGGACAATGTCATGATGCCTCGGAGCAAGATTGACGAACACACGGCAAAAATGGACGAGGAGCTGAAGCGGTTTGCTAGTGAAGGCCTTCGGACCTTGGTCATATGCAGTAAAGAGCTGACAGAGGAAGAGTACTTGGCATGGGACGTCAAGTACCAGGAAGCTGTGACGTCTCTAACGAATCGTGATGAACTTCTGGACGAAGTCGCCGAGTTGATCGAAACGGAGATGAAAATTGTTGGTGCAACTGCAATCGAAGACAAACTGCAAAAAGGTGTTCCGACTGCGATAGCGAACCTTGCCCAAGCTGGGATTAAGATCTGGATGCTTACAGGCGATAAAGAAGAAACCGCGATCAACATCGGACACGCGTGCCAGTTGATCAACGATGGCATGCGGCTTCTCATTGTCAACTGTGAAGATCTCGATGATTTGGGCAGACAAGTTGACAAGATCTACAAGCTCGATGACGTACAGTCTCATATCAACGCCAACAAGGTGTCCGCTCATCTCGCGCTTGTTTGCGACGGGAAAGCCATGGTGCATGTTTTCCCACCGAAGAACACCTCGTCGGAGCGAGCTTTACATGCAGCAAAGGTGCTATCTCAAATGATTTTGGAAATCTCCAGCGTTTGCCAAGCTGTTATCGCGTGCCGTGTGTCTCCTGCCCAGAAGGCAGACATCGTCAACCTCATTCGGTACAACTCGCCGCAAAAGCCGATCACGTTGGCCATTGGAGATGGAGCAAATGATGTGAACATGATTCAGTCGGCCCATGTGGGGGTTGGCGTGTCAGGCCAGGAAGGCGTCCAAGCTGTGAACGCCAGCGACTATGCGATCGCGCAGTTCCGCTTCCTGGAGAGGCTTCTCCTAGTCCACGGTCGCTACAACTACCAGCGGATCTCCAAAGTCATTCTGTATTCCTTCTACAAAAACGTCGCTCTTGTCATTGCGCTCTTCCTCTTTAACTTTTACAACGGGCAGTCCGGCACGAGTGTGTTCGAGAGTTTCATCATGGCGGGGTGGAACTTCTTCCTGGCGTTGCCGATCATTGCGATTGGCGTTTTTGACGAGGATGTCGCGCCCGAACAAGTCCTCCGCAACCCAGTGCTGTATGTGCCTGGGCAACGGAACGAAGGGATCAACATGAAGCGCTTCTCGACGTGGCTATTCAACGCTATCATCCAGGCGTTCATTTGTTTTATGTTGGCCATGTACGGGACGATCAACGTCAGCGGATTCAGCGCGGGGCTCTATCTCCAGGGCAGTGTCATCTACTCTGTGCTACTGATGTCCGCCAACCTGAAAGTCATCCTGGAGACCTTGTCGTGGACGAAATTCAATCGGCTCGTGCTCGCGTTCAGTCTGTGGCTATTCTTTTCCTTCCTCCTCGTGTTCCCCTTCATGGGGTCGCTAGGACGGGATCTGTACGGAGTCTCGCTTCGATTGCTTTCAAGGTTTGTATTAAATTATCGGATACTTTGCTTCGAGGGAAGGTGGTGACTGGTTAGTTGTGGATACTGTGTGATTGCAGCGGTGTATACTGGTTGTATCTCCTGTTGGTGCCGCTCACTGCCAACCTGATCGACATTTGCATCAAGTAGTACGTTTTGAAGACCCATGATTGATTTTGTGGACGCTCACAGCTTAACTTTGTGTGTGTGTGTTTTGTGGTGTTGTGTAGTATTCAGAACATTTACTTCCCCACACTCGCGAACGTCCTAAGGGAGAAATGTGTGCTATCAGCGAACTCGGCTCAAGTGGCCTGCGACCCCCTTGGTGAGCAGAAATCTGCGTCGCTTACAGTCCCATTCTATGAGCTGTGTAAGAAAGAAAACGCTTACAAAGTCGCCTGCTCGGAGACTGGCGACTGACGTTTGCCGCCAGGCCCCGAGCAGTGACCGACAAGCCATGATCAATATCAAGAAATGCAGATTATTCACACATGTCCGTGTTGTTGTCTCTGCCTTTGCTTCTCCATGTAGACAAAGGCTTCGTGTTCAGCTCCGCTGAGACGGACGGGGGCGACAAGGACGACCGCGATTCACGGGAGCTCGCGTCGCTCAAGGTCCTCGAATTCCACCGGGAAGCTGTAGCATCCTTCACCAAAGAGAGACCCGCGTCCTTCAGCACTTCAGGCGGAATTGTTCCTGGGCCGTCCACCACTTCTAGTGCCCATCTTAGCGGCCACTTCAGCAGCGGCCATCTCAGTGCTCGCCACTCGCAACGCGGCACCTGAAGCAAAGAGACCACGGCACCCACGCTGGAAGTACTGGCATCCGACAGCTCTGCACGCCATACAATATCTTCCTAGCGAGCTCCAGTCGAACCGAGTGACTCTGCTATCTACACGCCACACGCATGTGTTTCGACTCGGTATCTTACCGACGTGTCCAAGAGTGAACTTGGCGGACAGATCGAAAGCTGGTGATACCATTTACTTCACACCAACCTGAACACTACGGTGTCCACAAGTGTGAATCGCAGATCAACTCGGTAATTTACACCTTGTTGCTGTCGGTGCATTTGGTTTCCAGGGTTGGAGTGCTGCAAGTGTGTAGACCAGCGGATGCAATCGATGATGCATGGGTGCGGGCGTGAGTTGCTCGGGCATGAACTCCGGATACTGCTCTGTTGCAGCGTGCCTTCGTGCCATTAGCGCCCCCAGCATTTCAGAGCACAGTTGCAGCGCTAGCGTCGCGTTGCCGGCATTGCAAACGCCCCCGCATCCAGTCGCTTGACATGCATGGCGATCTTCGTGCACTGACGTCAGCGCTCAGCGCTACGTTGTCAATGTTCCGACCCTGCGTTGAAGGTGTCCTGTCCTATCCACCGATTTCATTCCGGCGCGACGACAGGACATTGCCACGTCGCGTTTGACGCGCAATTCGGTGCGCGTGCACCGACGACGCCGCCGCAAGTCCGCCCTTCGTAAGCAGGCGGGTCAGCGCATGCACGCAGGCTTTGCTGGTCTAAAGGAACTGCACGAATGGTTGGAGGTGGTCGCTCAAATTGATAGGATTGATAGTTGAGTTATGTACAGCGCTACAGCGACGAGGAATTCACGGCGATCGGTGCGCAGCATGAGCCGCGCACCTCTGGCGAAGGCGCCTGCGTCGTCGCTGAGAGAAGTAGGAACAAACACGAATATGTGCACAATACAGGAGTTGTGGGGTCCGCGCGAGCTTAAATATGGACGTCCGAGTAGGTCTCGGCGGCCACGGGCGCCTCCGCCTTGGACAGGTGGTCGGCGCCGCTGCTGCCAGTGGGGGACTGGGTCGACGCCGTGGACTTGGTGGCGCCAATGGCGTCGTTCTTGTCCAGGCCGAACGAGTCGCGCGACTCGAACATGCTGGCGGGGGTCTGCGCGGCGTACAGCAGCTTGGGCGGCAGCGGCGTCTCGAGCTCCGTGGCGCTCTGGGCCACGATCTTCTCCAGCTCCTTGGAGTTACGCAGCTGCAGCTGCGCGAACTCGAGAAAGAGCTTCTTGAGCTCCACGGCCTTCTGGCCGCGGAAGCGCTCCACCTCGCGCATCACGCGCGCGTGCACGCGCTCGAACTCGTCCTTGGCCGCGACGAGGGCGTTGCTGAGCCTGGTGGCGGACGGCGAGTCCGGGCCGTCGCCGTTCACGGCCTTGCGGTGCGCCGCGAGCTGCGCCTGGTACAGGTAGCGGCGGTCCTCGCGCACGTCCAGCGCGTTCTGCACGGCCTTGACCCAGCGGGCGATGTCGTCCACGCTGGCGGAGAAGGCCTCGAGCTCGGCGTCCATCTGGCGCGCGCGCGTGTCCAGCATGGCCAGCAGCGCGCTGTAGTAGGACGTGGGCATCTCGGCGTTCTCCTCCTCGGCGTCGGCCACCCAGTTGAGGCACTCGATGAGGTCGCAGTGGGCCCCGGCCGCCAGTTTGTTCTGGTGGCTGGCGGCGCGCACCTTAGTCTTGAGCGACTGGATCTGCGCGTACAGCTTGGCCACGTACTTGGCCACCTTGGTGAACTCGGGGTCTTCGATCACGCCACTGGTCTCGCCGTCCTCGGCGTTGCCGCGCGAGCCGAAGATGTTGAGCGTGTCGTTCTCCACCATGCGCTGGTAGGTCTTGCCCCACCAGTTGTTGAGCATCTGTGTGCGCTGCACGACGGACGACATGGACGTGGCGTTGACCGAGTTGGCGCGCTGGGCCTCGGCCTTGAGCGCCGTGAGCTCCACGATGGAGCACTCGAGGAAGCTGCGGAAGAAGTTGGAGTTGCGCAGTTCGTCGTGGTTCACCACCTTGCGCAGGAAGCGCTCGAGGCCCGCGCGCCGGTGCTCGAGGAACTCGGGCCCCTGCAGCAGGCCCACGACCTTGGCCGGCAGCGGCGGGATCACGTAGCCCGCGCACTGCTTGGAGAGCTGGTGGTGCAGCCACAGGAAGTCCGAGTAGCGGCGCTCCACCACCACGTCCTCGGCCGACGTGACCTTGTACACGTAGTACGAGTTGACGCCCTCGCCGACCTTGCCGGCGGCGCCCACGGTGATGTCGGCCGCGCGGCTGCTGGTGCTCAGGTCCGACTCGCTCATGCTCGCTCGAGGGGAATTGGAGGGGCTGCTGCTGGGAGAGGAGACTGGAGGAACGGCTGCTGCTGCTCTCGCGGCGGATTCGGTAATGAAAGAGCGAGCAGCTGGGCGACGGCGACGGGGTCAGAAACGGACGGCGGCCCGGACGACGCGAAAGGCCGCGCCGCACAAGTTGTGCGGCACAACAACCAGACAATCAACGACGCGACGGACGGACGGCGCGGGGACTTTTGCTGCTGGATCTCCGACGAGAGATCGCCTCGGCAGATTTTGCCATGGCGCTGCTGTGGATGCAGCATTATCGTCGTGGATTCTTGCCATCAGTTGTGATGGTCTTCATTCATTAAACCGGCGTTTGCATTCGTTTATTTGGACTGCTTGTTTACAAGCGTTTTTTGCGGTGATGAAGGATACCGTCAGCGCCATTCAAGTACATGACATGAGGCTAACCGAGCCGCTCGCACTTCACTACAGTACGATACGCGCGCGAAGAGGAAACTGCGGTTGCAGCTTGTGTTGGGCCTGGCACGCGCTCACTACGGCCCTGTCAACGCCGGGCATGGAGGCTCAAGGTACTTGAGGGCCGTTTTGGGCGGTTGTTGCCGTTCGTGTTCATGTGGCGGAGCTCTTGAAATCAGGGCAACAAACAAACAAACACATCCTGCCGAAATTCATTGCCCGCAGCCTGATCCCCCACAGCTGCGTTGATCAATCTAGAACGCGCACTTCTTCTTGTGGCCTTGGTCGGACTCGGAGTGGAGGAGACGCACCTTGGTCGCCTCCGAGCTCCTCGGCCCGCTGTGAGGCAGGCTAGGCTGCTCGTGTGCAACGCGATGCAGCGTGGCGCCACGAACATTGCACACGCGGAGAGGGGAGCTGCTGTCGGAGCTGCCGCCACGCTGCCAGCGGCGCAGCTACCGCGTGCCCTACCCGGTCGGCCTGTCTATTGAGGCCAAGTGGTGGGTTTGCTCGAGCCCTTGACCTGCTTTGCTGACGGCCCGTCTTGTTGAAGCAGGACTCCTGCTTGCTGGGGCGCTGCAAGAGCAGCGCGCTGCGCCGCCCGCCTTTCATTCGGCGACGCCCGTTGCCAGTGGCTTCGAGCCTGTCTTGGTGGCATCCGTTTTCATATCAGGCCGAGCTCCGTTACAGGATCCGTTCCGGCGCCGCCTTCTTCGCCGCTGCTGCAGGCCAAATTCTGCGACCTCAGCCAGCAGCACTTCGCCGGCCAATATCGACGGGGCCTCTCTCCGCGGTCCTGGTCGAGCTTGAGACAGCGGAGAGGATCGGCGCACCGAAACAAGCTCTTGAGTCTTGTAAACAGGTCGCACGAACACTGCAGTTACGAGCTCCGCAAGCTGTAGCAACGGTTTGTCGTAGTGGCGGCAACTTTAAGCACTCGGATCGATACACGGCACGCTACATTATTAGACTTACACGCATCCTACAGACAACAACATACTGCTACCGCTGCCTCGCTCTATTGCACGGACGAGACCTTATGCACAGACTTCCTCCTCGGCGTCGGCGAAGTCGAGCACCCAGTAGTGCCTGTACCGCTTGGACGCGTCGTACTTGTAGCCCGGGCCGACGAACGGGAGGTCGCTGTAGATGAAGGAGTCCGAGTCCTCGGACCATATCGCGACCACCGTCTCGACGGAGCTGTAGCCCGCAGCCACGACCTCGGCCGATGCAGACACATTCAAGCTCTGCGCTGTGGCCCGGTCGGCGAGCTTGGATCCGTCGGAGCCAGTGGTGTCGACGAAGTTGTTCTGGGCCATGTCGTCAGCCAGCACTTGCGCCGCTCTCATGAGCTTCTCGTTGATGCAGACTGCGATGAGGCCCTTTTCGGCGCGCTTGCTGTTGACGGCCTCGAGTAGCTTTGCGCTGAAATCGGCCACCTGCAGCTCACGCTCGGCGGGGGCGCTGGCATTTGCTAGTCCGACGAATGCGAGAGCGAGAAGGGTTTTGGCACTGCTGATCATCATGTTGCTGCATGGTGCGAGACTGCAGCCGTTGGTTGGTGGGCGCTGGGTGAGCTGAGAAGGCAAATTGAAAGTGAGCCGTCATGAGCTCGACGATCAGGGGCTCCACAGGTGTCCGTCCAAGCAGGCCGGACGTATATTTCAGACACCAGTCGGAACGAGATAGGCCATGACCGCACGTGGCATTCGTGTGGCTCTAGGATCGTCGAGCCATATAGAGTTGGTCTTATGCATGGGTCGGTCCACAAAGCCAGCAGCTAGCGCTTCTACCGCGGCGGCTATCGAAGTTGAAGTCGACCTCGTTTGCGAGCCAATGAAAATGGCGAGATGTCAGTGTGGCTTACATGTTAGTTGCAACCCCGAAGGATCTACCCGGTACGCTCCACCGAAGGAGGAACCAAAGCTTCATGGACGCTTGAACGTCAAAATTTGACAACAGCAAAGAGGGTTGCTACAACAGATACTTCAAGGATTGGGTCCATCCAGCCCACCCGCTCCAATACGAAGTGAAGTGAAATATGATTGAAGATATGACCCGAGCCTTCGAGGAGCTTGTCGATAACGTGCTTGCAAAGCGCTGCAGGGAAGGATCATTCCGAGCACCAGAAGCACAAATCGTCAATGTACGGAACATCGAACGCGATACTCTTTGACTTCAACTTCGATAGCCAATCACTGATCAGATACCCGTATGCGCCGCGGTAAGAAGCGCTAGCTGCTGGCTTTGTGGACCGACCCATGCATAAGACCAACTCTATATGGCTCGACGATCCTAGAGCCACACGAATGCCACGTGCGGTCATGGCCTATCTCGTTCCGACTGGTGTCTGAAATATACGTCCGGCCTGCTTGGACGGACACCTGTGGAGCCCCTGACCGTCGAGCTCATGACGGCTCACTTTCAATTTGCCTTCTCAGCTCACCCAGCGCCCACCAACCAACGGCTGCAGTCTCGCACCATGCAGCAACATGATGATCAGCAGTGCCAAAACCCTTCTCGCTCTCGCATTCGTCGGACTAGCAAATGCCAGCGCCCCCGCCGAGCGTGAGCTGCAGGTGGCCGATTTCAGCGCAAAGCTACTCGAGGCCGTCAACAGCAAGCGCGCCGAAAAGGGCCTCATCGCAGTCTGCATCAACGAGAAGCTCATGAGAGCGGCGCAAGTGCTGGCTGACGACATGGCCCAGAACAACTTCGTCGACACCACTGGCTCCGACGGATCCAAGCTCGCCGACCGGGCCACAGCGCAGAGCTTGAATGTGTCTGCATCGGCCGAGGTCGTGGCTGCGGGCTACAGCTCCGTCGAGACGGTGGTCGCGATATGGTCCGAGGACTCGGACTCCTTCATCTACAGCGACCTCCCGTTCGTCGGCCCGGGCTACAAGTACGACGCGTCCAAGCGGTACAGGCACTACTGGGTGCTCGACTTCGCCGACGCCGAGGAGGAAGTCTGTGCATAAGGTCTCGTCCGTGCAATAGAGCGAGGCAGCGGTAGCAGTATGTTGTTGTCTGTAGGATGCGTGTAAGTCTAATAATGTAGCATCGATCCGCAATTCTACATGATACGCTTTTTTTGTGGTCAAAGCAGGGAAATGCCATAATACGTCTTCTCCGATATCTAAGCCAGCAGAACGTTTGCTGGTGCAGGAGCGCAGCATGAATAAGCAAAAGTTGCACATCACTATGCTTTGTACTTGACACTTCCAACAGACTCAGCACAACAAGGCTCAGTCTGCGTTAATCAAGGCCAAGCTCATGAAAGCTACGAACACGAGCACGTTAGATGCAAACAGCCAGCCGAGCTGAGAGCTGTTAATCTACTTGCCGGCAACAGCAGAAAACAAGAGATTAGCTGCGCGCTTTCTCGATCCCCCACGTCCAACGTGTTGGAAATCCCAACACACATCAAACCAACGTACCGCATCAACTCGGTACAGGATGGAGGGGATGGCGAACGCAGTGATCCAGAGGAAGGCCTCGAAGAAACACCCGAAGCTCGTCCACGCACTGCGTAGACACCCCCGCACACACCAAACGACTAAGTTCCTTCCAAATATCCACACCACAGCCGCAATTTGCGCCCACCTGAGGTCGTCTCCTCCCGACAAGGTCGAGAAAATCGCCGCCGTCATCGGCAGCAACACGTACGGGAACACTACCCAATCATACCAAGACGACGCAACACTAAATATCCATACCGCCCAACGCCGCGCACCACAAATTCAGCGCAAGGTATCCGCTGGCCACTCACGAACAAATAGTCCCCATGGCGTCGAGTACGCAGCCGACGCCACGATCACGCCCACGAGCGCCAGCAACAGCAGCGAGCCCGCCACAGTCAGTTGAACCTCTGCAGAAACACAACCATAGCAGTCCGTCAGCAGCAGCAACAGCAACAACATACGCCGCCGCCTCCGCCGCCGCCTTCGAATCTCGCTACTCACTTCGCTTCATGTCAGTAGATCGAGTGAGTAACAGATATGAGGGTACAAAATCGAAGAGATGATTGGTGCAATTACTGACCTATTATGAGGTCTCATTGGTCAATAACAATCTAGAGCCACTCTGGTCTATCTTGCAACGGCCATCCGAAGTCCGCGCCAATTTCGCTCTCGCCCCGCCTAATCCAAGACGACAATGGCCGACGCCTCCGAGCACCTCGAGACCGCTGCTGCTGCTCCGCCCGCGCCCGCCCCCACCACGGCAGTTGACCCCGCGGCCGCCAATGACGCTGCCATGCAGGAGAAGCTCATCAACGAGGAGTACAAGATCTGGAAGAAGAACACGCCGTTCCTGTACGACCTGGTGATGACGCACGCGCTCGAGTGGCCGTCGCTCAGCGTGCAGTGGCTGCCCAACTCGCACACGTAAGACCCATCCGCTCCTTGTTATTTGCAACCTTTTGGTGGTTGTTCGAGTCATTTTGGCCGGGAATTGACAATGTTATGCCGCTCTTTAACGTTTTTTGCAGCTCGGCTGGCGACGACTTCTCCGTGCACAAGCTGCTGCTGGGCACGCACACGTCGGGCGCCGAGCAGAACCACCTGATGGTGGCGGAGGTGCGTCTGCCGCTGGAGGACACGGAGATCGACGCGCGCAAGTACGACGAGGAGAGCCAGGAGCTGGGCGGCTTCGGCGGCGTCTCCGGCAAAGTGGACATCAAGATCCGCATCAACCACGACGGCGAGGTGAACCGCGCGCGCTACATGCCGTCGGATGAGATGATCGTGGCCACCAAGACGCCGCACGCTGAGGTGCACGTGTTTGACATCTCGAAGCGGCCGTCGCAGCCCGAGGAGAACTCGGGCTCGGACCCGGACTTCCGTCTGCTGGGCCACACCAAGGAGGGCTACGGCCTGTGCTGGGACCCGCACGAGGCCTTCCATCTGATCTCGGGCTCGGACGACGCCATCATCTGCGAGTGGGACATCCGCAACGCCGGCAAGACGGTGCAGCCGCTGCACAAGTACAGCGGCCACAGCGATGTGATCGAGGACGTGGCGTGGCACATGCACCACACCAAGATATTTGGCTCTGTTGGCGACGACAAGAAGCTGCTCATGTACGTTGACTGGGTGCGACTTGGTGTGACGTCCGTGCGTGTGCTGATTGACTTTGTTCTGTTGGTTGCAGCTGGGATATGCGCACGGAGAGCTACGACAAGCCCGCGACGACGGTGTACGCCCACACGGCCGAGGTCAACTGCCTTGCCTTCAGCCCGTTCAGCGAGTACCTCGTGGCGACGGGCTCGGCCGACAAGCACGTGAACCTGTGGGACATGCGTAACATGAAGGCGAAGCTGCACTCGTTCGAGGGCCACAACGACGAGGTCTACCAGATCCAGTGGTCTCCTCACAACGAGACCATCCTGGGCTCGTGCTCAGCTGACCGCCGCATGCACGTGTGGGACCTCAGCAAGGTAAGACGCGCGCATTATTATTGATATCCGTACTCGTTCTCTTGCTAACTATTTGCTTTATGAACAACAACAGATCGGTGACGAGCAATCGCCCGAAGACGCTGAGGACGGTCCTCCTGAGCTGCTGTTCATCCACGGCGGCCACACTTCCAAGATCTCGGACTTCTCGTGGAACCCCAACGACGCGTGGGTCGTGGCCTCCGTGGCCGAGGACAACGTCCTGCAGATCTGGCAGATGGCCGAGAACATTTACAACGAGGAAGACGAGGAGACGGAGCAGGCCGAGGTCGCCGAGGAAGACCTCGAGTAATCTGGCCACCTAGGGCCACGCAGCTATTGATACAGCACAGCCGCTAGTATTTAACGCGGCTCGTCACTGATTAATGAATTTACCACTAGACCGAAGCATTGTTCGCTCTACTGCAGTTGTGTAGCCTACAGTCAAAGCAGAAGAGTTCTGCTTCCACGTCGTGGGTAGAACTCAACAATCGACAACCAACTGCCAATCACCGAGTCAATTTAGCCAACGAATAGCCGTGTCCAGCGTATCCCGCAGCCATCCAAACGCCATGTCCCGCTCGCCCCCGTCCGCGGTGACGGACGTCGCTGAGCACGAGCACGAGGACCCCGTTCCGATGGAGGAGGACGAGACGCCCGCCGCCCCCACCGACGCAGAGAACGCTGAAGGCGAGGAAGAGGAGCCCGACACGCGGCTGGAGAGCGACGAGTACAGGGCCTGGAAGAAAAACACGCCGTTCCTGTACGACGTCGTGATAACCCACTCGCTCGACTGGCCGTCGCTTACTGTGCAGTGGCTGTCCTCGACGTACGTTGCTGTTACCTGGTTAAATTGCTGTCATTGCTACAGTTCTCGTAGTGATGATGATCCAATGGGGATTTTTTAATTGGTGTTATGCATTGGACAGCACGACGGAGTCCGACTTCTCCGTGTATGAACTGCTCTTGGGCACGAACACATCGGGGGCTGAGCAGAACCAGCTCTTGAAGGCGAAAGTGGGGTTACCACTTGATAAGAAGCGCGATACACCCAAGTTGAACGAGGATACCCAAGGTGACTGACGAAGGACAAATGTCTGCTACAGTGTAGCTCAGTTGCTAACTGTTCTTGTTGTGGGGTTGATTAGAGCTGGGTGACTACAATAATGCCGCTAAACGCAAGATCAAGACTTCCCTGCGCATTAACCACGACGGAGAGGTGAATCGAGCTCGCTGCATGCCCTCGGACGAGTTTATCGTAGCCACCAAGACGCCCCAAGCTGAGGTGCACGTGTTTGACATTTCCAAACGAAAGTCCGACCCCGAAGATTCGAGCTGTGACCCGGACTTTTGTCTGTTGGGTCATGACAAGGAAGGGTACGGTCTCTGCTGGGATCCGCACGAGGCCTTCCACCTCGTGTCGGGCTCGGACGACGCTATCATCTGCGAGTGGGATATTCGCAACGCCGGCAAGAACGTGCAGCCGCTGCACAAGTACACAGGCCACACCGATGTGATTGAAGACGTGGCGTGGCACAGGCATCACCCCAAGATCTTCGGATCCGTAGGCGACGACAATAACATGCTGCTGTACGTTGTCTGCTTGGGTTGGACCTTGGAGCTATGTACGTACCCGTGCTAAGTGTGTGTTTGTTTTGATCGATCGATACAGTTGGGACACGCGATCGGAGAGCTACGACAAGCCCGCCGCGACCGTCCAGGCCCACTCGGCAGAGGTTAACTGCCTCGCCTTCAGTCCGTCCAGTGAGTACCTCGTGGCGACAGGCTCGTCGGATAAAGTGGTGAATCTGTGGGACCTGCGCAGGCTGAAGACCAAGCTGCACTCTCTGGAAGGCCACGGAGACGAGATCTACCAGCTCCAGTGGTCTCCTCACCACGACGGTGTCCTCGGTTCGTGCTCCGCCGACCGCCGACTGCACATCTGGGACCTCGCCAAGGTAAGCATGGGCTTCAGTTGACTGCCTGCATGAAGAAACACCTAGGCAACTAACTCGTTGCCCGTTGGTGCTTTGCTGTAGATTGGCGAAGAGCAGACCCCCGATGACTCGCAGGACGGCCCTTCGGAGTTGCTGTTCATCCACGCCGGCCACACCTCCAAGGTCTTGGACTTCTCGTGGCACCCGACCGAGCCGTGGGTCGTGGCCTCCGTTGCCGAAGACAACATCCTGCATGTCTGGCAGATGGCCGAGCACATTTACAACGTTGAAGAGGAGACCGAGCGGCAGGAGGTCGCCGAGGACGAGCTCGAGTGATCTCGCTTGATTTCGTCGCAGCCTCACCTAGCAAGCTCGTGGTGATGGATAATAGGCCTTATCAATGCTCACGCAGCCTAGCAGCAGCAACATCAAAAGCCGAATCTTGTCCGTCCACCAAAATGGCTACAAAACCGAAATGCAACCATCATTCCCACCTTACACTTGGTTTTTGTATTGCTGCATAATCGCGACTTGCGACTCGAAACGTATCGACAACTTCAGAAACGGTCACCCGCTGCAGTACCGTGCAGTACGTCACTCCGCGTTTAGCAGTCTCACAAGCACACACCTGCAGCCATGACCAGCGCCAGCGCCGCAGCGCCCAAGCCCGCCGTGCGCGGCGCCATCTTCGACATGGACGGCACGCTGCTGGACACGGAGGAGCTCAGCCGCGTGGCCATCGACGGCGTCGTGCGCCAGTTCGGCAAGGAGTTCACCATGGCCATGCACAAGGCCATCCTGGGCCGCCCCGCCGTCGAGTGGACCAGCATGGCCATCACCGCCGCCGGTCTCACCGAGGCGGACATCACGCCCAACGAGATGTTCGAGCAGTGGGCCGAGCGCATGCGGGACATGTCGGACCGCGTCGAGGAGCTCCCAGGCGGCGTCGAGGTGCTCAGCACCCTGCACGCGCGGGGCGTCCCCATCGCGCTGGCCACGTCCAACAGCCGCAGCGTCGTGGACGCCAAGATCAAGCACCATCCCAAGCTCTTCTCGTACTTCTCCACCATCGTGTGCGGCGACGACCCCGCGGTGAAGCGCGGCAAGCCCGCGCCCGACATTTTCCGCACCGCTAGCCAGCGCCTCTTTGGCCTCAAGGAGGGCGAGGACGGCGACCAGGCGCCGCACTGCATCGTGTTCGAGGACTCGGTGAACGGTTACACGGCTGCGAACGCGGCGGGCATGCACAGCATCGCGATCCCCGACGTGCGCATCCACACGGATGAGGCCCAGAGGGTCGAACTCTTTGGCAAGGCGGACGAGGTCATCACGTCGCTCACGCAGTTCCAAATTGACAACTACGACTGGCTGCTGTAATAGCTATAGAGCTACAGTAGCAAGCTAGATGGAGGTGGTAGGGCCATTACTGCCGATTGCTCTCATCAATACGAACGCTCGGCTTGCATTTCATCGAGACTTTAGCATGAACATCCCATGCCTCCTGTAAAAATAGTGTGTTTTTGCGAATGCCACGACTGGAGATAGCTATAGTGCGTTCCTCATGACGGCGGCTACCCGAGCGAGCGCCAAGCTCCAGAGTGACGAGCTGAAGGACGCGTATCGGGTGTGGCTCAAGGATCTGTACGATGATAAACCCGAGAAGTTGTTGCGAAAGCTCGGCAGTAAGAAGAACACCGGCGGTGGACGAGCGCGACGAGCTCAACGATTGCGACACGCTCAGCAACATACTGCAGCTAGTGCTCTCAAAGACGTCGCGCTGAAAAAGGTGACGGAGATGTTACTGTTTCGCAGACTGTGCAGTTAAGACGCTAATTATCGGTTGTGTAGGCTGAACGAGCTAAACTTCCAGCGTTGTCGTCGCAGCGATACACCCCAGTTGATAAGCAAGTCCTTCACGACTCGCAGAGTCGGCGACACCAAACGCTCGTGGATGAAGCTAATTTCTCTTCGTTTCAGTACGCACAGCATCCCTCATGGCGACCTGGCCTTGCTTTCTTCCAGCAACTTGTGCGCTTCATTCTCCAGAAAGTACCACAAGGACCGAATAGCTCCGACGGTGTTGTTTCAGCTGAATTAGCCGGTTTTCCCATACAAGTGGCCCCAACTCTACTTCGCGTTCCGGTCCGACGCAATCGTTTGGGTGTCGCTCTGTTGTTTTGCCAGGAGCAAAACCAAAATCAGGAGCAAGGACTCGAAGTCGTGGATGAAACAGCGTCATTCGTCTTACATTGTCGGTTGTACTCGAGGGCCTCTGACTGGCAAGAGCATCGAGACACGCTGCTTGATATCGTGTCGAATTCATCAGCTGAAGTTTGTGCAGTGACGAAATGTGCCGAGGACTTTGAGTCTCGAAGCAACGAGATTAGAATTTTACGTTCTCGACAGGAAGTCGGGGAAGCAATGGACGAGCTTTGGGTAAAATACTCAGATGCCGATGACGCGAGCCCGAATGTAGACACGGATTTATTCGCTATCCAAAAGTATATTCCGTTCAAAGGAGCATCAAGCAGTGCATCCGCCACAAACACTGCTCCCCCGGTAGAACGGAAAGCTTGGATAACACGCTGTGCTTCTCGCAAGCGCGATAAAAACTCGTCAACTATTTGGATCATTACAGGTGGAGATTCTACTGACTGTTCTTCAGCAGTCACATATTCAGGTAGTACGGACTGCCAGCTTGTCAAGTGCAACATCGATCAGGCGTGGCCCGAGCCCCGACTTCTGGCTTCGATGTGTGCGATATCATTGGAGAAGGCTGTGCGACTTCGGTTTAATGAACTGGTGCTAGATCTGCTGCAAGATACTACTGGCAATTGGTGGTTACTACAGGTGAAGGCCTTCACACTTGCTTCTGTTCGTCCTGCATCTGCCACACCGTTGCCGTCTAAAGCTACTCCGAGAGGTCTCTCGCGAACTTTATCAGCACCAACTCAGTTTGGAGCCGGCATGGCTCCTACTCCACAGTGGAAAAAATGGCGCTGTGCTGGACGCTACTGCTCCAAGAGCTGTGGAAAAGGCCTGTCAGAGCCTGTGAACCAATTATATGATGAAGACATCGACGACGATAAGGAACCGAGCGGATATCTAACTAAGAAGGTCTTGCGGAGCTGCGAGTTCTACGACGACTTTGTTCGCCAGCAGGATATGAGTTTAGCTGGAGGCTTCACGGAATTCCACTCCGCCTTGTCCTTTCACTTACAGCACCGCCTTCCGAAAAGGGATCGTAGTCAGCTGTACGAGTCTCAACCACTTTGTAGTGCATGCCTCCGGCGATATCATACGCTTCGGCAGCAATGGATAGAGACAGTGGAAGCACCGAAAGCAACACCAACTCCTGTCCGGCATTTGAGGAAGCCTACCCTTTCCGAGGCTTCGAATCACGAGCATACCGACCAAATCATGCTACATCCTCGAAAGCTCCCTTCTCTCAACCGTGACTTTAGAATACCGTCGGTATCGAATCTAACTACCTCAACTTCTGTTTATGAAGCTTCAACTCCCGATGCTCAAGAGAAGAGTCCGAGCAAGCGCACAGAGGACCATGAACCTATCACGAAAACACCAAGTTACGTCAAGGAGATCGCTGCGATGGAAGAAATGCTAGCTGAGCACGCTCCATCTTCCCTTTCGACCAAAGCGACAAGCAAAGCTCAATTTCCTGAAAGCTACCAGGCAGCGACGGCGGCCTCGTTCGGCTCAAAACATGATGATATTTTTCCTGAATGGAATGGGGTTAACCGAATTGAAGCAATGTGGCAAAACTTGACGCTCAAACCTCTTGAACGCCAGCTTAATGACACCATCCTCGAACAACATGAAAATTCTGCTACCACCAAACAGGGGTACAACTCGATTTCACTTCAGCAAGAGCTGGCAAAGGTGGCCGAAAGGAGCGACAGCAATGATGAAAGTGCAGAGCAATCTCCCATTGAACCTCAAGTTGAAAGACGTTCTTCACCTGTCGTAAAAGCTCTGGTAAAGTCGGTGGATCTTCCTCACGCAGTTCATGTTGAGTACTGTCGTCGGGTATTCGAAGATGAAATCTATCGGGAAGGGCTTGTGAATGATGCCATAAGCGCCCTTCGCTCGGGAAATTCAAACGTTTGCTTCGTCGTGGCTGCGCGTAGTGGCAAGAAAGATCTCACTGGAGGAGACGAAGACGAACTGGCTGAGATGGCACTGCGATCACTCTACATTGACGTCAAACAAGCCGTAGCAGCTTCGTCCGAGGAATTCGTGTTCGGCTTGTCGCTCGCTTCCTGGCCGATGCGCCCGAAACTGTGCCGAGAAGCTAGCGGGTGCACCACGGTAAAACTCGGTCCGGCGTAGTGTAAGCTTAAGAACCGCTTTGAAACCAGTGTTAGGGTCGTACAAATGTGTTGAACGTTATTGCGAACGGATGATGGTACGAATGGTGGTACGAAGCTGTTTGTGTTTTGATGCGGAATCTGTCTAGTGTGCTTCGGTGTAGTAGTCAGGGTACTTTGCCACGTGCTCCAGCATCTCGCGCTCTTGCTCCTGTTGTGTTTGTCAAACAATTCCTATGAGTTCCTCTATCCAAAACACCCTCGGCAAACAAGCAAGTTGAATCATACCAGCAGGTGCGGCGTCTTGACATCGTAAACGTCTTCGAACATCGTCTCGAGCGATGGCCGCTCCTTGGTTTCGGCCTGCTGCAGCGCAGCAAGCACGTTTGTCCGCTCGTTGTCTTGCATGTGACGGTCCTGCTCCTCACTCAGCCATCCGCGTTTCTGTAAAGATATCCAAAGGTTTTGTTAGAAGTAGGAACTCCGACACACACAACATCACCAATCACTTACCAGCAGATAGCGCTTGGTGCGCTCAATCGGGTCGCAGGTCTCCTTCCAGTGCTTGATCTCCGCCACCGGACGGTACTGGGTGGAGTCGTCCGACGTCGAGTGGTGGCCTTGGCGATAGGACATGGCCTCAATCAGCACGGGTCGATTCTCCCTCAGAATGAACTCACGCGCACGACGAGTGGCCTCGTGGACAGCGAGGAAGTCATTGCCATCCACGCGCATGATGGGAATGCCGTATCCACTGCCTCGCGACGCGATGCCGTCTCCCCGGAACTGCTCAGCCGTGGGGGTACTGATGGCAAAGCCGTTGTTGCGCACGAAGAAGAGAATGGGGCAGTCCTTCGTAGCCGCAAAATTCAATGCAGCGTGGAAGTCGCCCTCGCTAGCGGCGCCCTCACCGAAGTAGCAGACGGAGATACGGTCCTCTTTGGCCAACTTGAACGCGTACGCAGCACCCGCAGCCTGCACAAATCCAGATGAACTGTCAGTATTAACGTGGCAGATGTGCTTTTGAGAATAACTTACCTGGGGCAGCTGCGTGGCCAAGGGGGACGAGATGGTCTGGTGGTTGAGGTTCTTGGAGCCGTAGTGCACGGGCATCTGCCGGCCCTTGCCGTGTCCGTCCTTGTTGCTGAAGCACTGGTCGGCGAAGTTCTGCAGCGTGAAGCCGCGCCACATGAGCACTCCGGGCTCACGGTACTGCGCGAAGACCATGTCACTGAGCCGCAGCGCCGACGCACTGCCGAACGAGATGGCTTCCTCGCCGTACGACGTCATGTAGAAGGAGATGCGGCCCTGGCGCTGCGCGTCGTAGAAAATGTTGTCCATGGTCTGCACCAAAGAACATCGTTACCGTCAGCCCCCTAAAGGTTAGCGTGGACTTCTCTCTAAAACTTCGAGCAATTCGTACGTTGAGGCGGATCATTTGGCTGTAGATCTGCGTGCAGAGGCTCTGGCTCAGCTGCGGGTCCGTGGCTCCCTCCACGACGTCTCCATCTTCGTTTAGGACTGCAGCAGTAAGCAGCAAAGTTGCGTTAGAATTGGGGCAACTACGCAGAGTTGCGTCCTCTGACGTACTGCGGAAGCACGGGATCGGGTCGTCGTCCCGAGGGTCGCGGAAGACCACGTCGGGCACGAAGGGCATCTCCGTGCCCGGGAAATAGCCGAGCGAGGATGAGAGGCGGCGCGAGCTGCTCTTGGCGCTGGTGGCCACGCGGCGGGCGAGCGAGAACATGGCGGAGAGGAGGAAGCTTGGCAAATGGCAGCTTGGTAGTGGTGCTGGTGTTGAACTTTGAGCCTCAGCTCGAAGCAGCCGTTTCGCCTTCATCTAATCATTTGGTTTTGATGCAGCAACATAAGGGATATGACGTTTGGTAGTGGCAGAGGTTGCCTGGGTGTTGCTGCTGGGCTTTGAGCTCATAAAGAACACGCATGATAAATAAATACTTGCGATGCTAATTGTCCGTCGATGCGTTTATCCTTCCTGATGGTTCTAGGCAAGAAACCCCCCAGGAACTGGCAGAGGCTGGCACTTCAATAAGATTCTCATACCGTCACAACTTCAAGACAAATACAGCAATTCATGCCGGACTTTGCACTCGAGCTTGATGCTAGATGAATATTAATATGCTTGAGCCTGCTTAGATAGAGTGTGCAATGCATCAGGGCACTCGCAGTACTCGCTGCTGCAGCAGCAGCAACCTGTGCTTGAAGCTCGACCCTCACACGTCGCAGACTCGTAGTTATTAACCAATCAAATCCATTATCATTCTCCAATATCGTCCAATCCGATTCTGCTCCGGGTTGATTGGCCACTGGCACCAAAGCGCTTGGGCTCTGCTGCCTCTGCACTCACCGTCGAAGTTGCCCCGAGTTGCCGCACCCCCGTCACCAGCTCCACGCTCGCACGACCAGCACGATGGCCAAGAGTCTGCGCTCCAAGATCAAGCGAAAGTTCCGCACGGAGCTGCGCAAGCGCATCGGCGTGCCGCACCAGGCCGTGCAGGAGGCCAAGATCCAGGAGAACCTCAAGAAGGCCATCGCCGCGCAGGGCACGGGCAAGTCGGTAGCCAGTCTCAAGAAGCTCATGGGCGCCTCGGTGCCCGTGGCCAGCAGCGAGATCACGGGCGTGGTCAAGGAGCAGACGCCCGCCGAGGCCGAGGCCGCGCTGCTGAACCAGGAGGCCGACGCCAACATGGCCGACGCCGCCAAGAAGGCCAAGAAGGACAAGAAGAAGCCCAAGAAGCGGAAGTCCAAGTTCGTGCACTTCCACCAGCTGCGCAAGAAGGGCGTGTAAGCCCCCGGAACAGCCTGGAGAACGAAGCGACCGAATGGCGGCCGATGGACAGCGCTAGTGTGGACTAGGAGGCTTCGTGTCCTGACCGCTGTTACTCTGTAATCTGCTATTATCCAGTTTATTTTAATGACTGTTATGCAAGAAGCGTGGTGTGTGTGTGGTTCTTACTTTCTTGTCAGTCGTCCCAGTCGGAAGCTTCTGTCGCTGCCTGGAAATCGACCTGCTTGTCGTATTGGTAGCCCTCCTGGTCGGGACGGATGATGTTCTGCTCGAAGACCAGGTCCATCTTCTGCTTCACTTGCTTGAGCTGCGTCTCGGAGACGCGGTTGTAGTCGGCTTGTGGTAGCTTTGCTGGGGCTGGCGAAGCGACCTCTGCTGGTGTGCGCTGGTGATCGACTAACTTTCGCACCAAGCGGACAAGCTGCAACGAGAAGATGTAAGTCGTCTTGAGTGAGCTACGACAGTAGACTCGCTCTACTGTACCTGCGTCGACGAAACCTTGCTGCCTCCTATAACCTCATCGTGCTGCTTGATGATGTCGTGGACGAGTCCTTCGATACGATATTCCTAGTGGCATCGTGAAAGTATTCATGCAGACAAAAATTACAACACAAACGATGGATTTGTTGTTGTGGTATGGTGCCTGCTTACACTTAACCTGCCCGAGCTTAGCGACAGTTCCGCTTTTAAGTCAATTTCATGGTGGTAGAGCTGCCTTCCCGCGTTGCTCTGGTAGACGTACTCCACAATAATTCCCGGGGGCTCGTATCGCAGCGCCAGTCGCCGAGGCTCGACTCCACGGACAGCACCCATTGTGACGAGTCGCTCACAGCGATGGCGAAAGATGCCGCCTTCAACCGCTAAATTTAGTGGTCATCTACTCGACTACCTTGACGATGTATCCATCTCAACTGGAAATCATTTGTCGTCGACAGGGACCATGACGCGCTTGCTTCCGCAGCAAGAGGACCTGGCAGCAGCTCCATCTTTCCACTCCACGTTCTCCTTCCACACTCTCGTGTCCCCTTCGTACTGTTCACTCTTCCAAATGGGGACCGTGGCCTTGAGTGTATCAATCGCAAAGGCGCAAGCTTCCAGCGCTTCTCGTCGATGCGGCGAGCTCACAGCCACGATGACACTGGCCTCCGCCACCTCCACAACGCCCAGCCGATGGAACAGAGCGACCCCCACAACCTCAGGCCACTTCTCGCGGATCGTGACGCAGATCTTGCGCAGCTCCGACACCGCCATCGGCGTGTAACCCTCATACTCCAGCCGCACCACCTTCTTCCCTGCAACATCAACATCATCAGCTCTTGCCATCACGATAGTATTGTACAGTGCAATGCAATGCAATGCAATGACCCTTGTAACAAACCTTGGAAGTTGTCGCGCGTAGTGCCCACGAACGTCGAGATGGCGCCAGCACTCGGGTGCATCACCAGCTCCACAGCTCTCTGGTTGTCCAGCGGCGCATACCCGACCTCCACAAAGTCGCCGCGTCCTGGCTCCTCACTGGAATGGGACGTCACCGTCTTCGAGTCCGCCATAACGCAACGACACAATGTAGCCATATCTCTGATAACGTACCCATTTCGTGTGCGTTTTCATTCGTCAAAATTACCGTTGTTGTTTCATCCAATCACATCTCCCCAATCACGAGCAGCTCACATCAACGGGAGCTCCGCGACCAGCGCACCATGGCGACGCCCGATGCCGAGCGCTGGCTGTACCTGGACGCCGCCACAGGCCAGCAGAAGGGCCCCGTGGCCGCGCCGATCCTCAAGCGACTGCTGCGCAAGGGCATCGTGCAGCCGCAGCAGCTGGCGTGGACCCAGAGCCTCTCGGAGTGGACGGCGCTGGCCGACGTCGAGCCGTTCGCCGCCTACTGCCGCGTCTGGGCGGCCGCGTGGTTCTACATGGCGGAGAACGTGGCAGAACCGAGCCAACCAGCGACCAGGACGGGCCCCTTGACCACGCAGCAGCTTGTGGCGCTCTTCGTGGACGGAGGAGTGGACGGCATGACGCTCGTCTGGAGCCAGGAGCTGGACGGATGGAAGCCCATCGGTCAGTCGTCAATGCAATTCAATTTTGTTGTAGAATGTTGTAGTAAATATGGGGTTTTATGTGGTGTTTTACAGGTGAGGTGCCGTCGCTGAAGGAGTTTTTGCAGGAAGCCAATGACGACATGGATCGGGAGGCGGAGCTGCAAGAGCAGACCACGGAGGTTCCTGCTGAGCATCAAGTTTTTGAGAAAGAGTACGTGGATGTGGGTCATTTTGTGGGGATTTATGAAGAAGATATTTATTTGTCTGCGTTTTTGTGTTTCCTAAGGGCTACGGAGGCGTTGGTCGCGGAGGATGGCAAACAGTATGTGTTTGACGCTGAGTCGAAGACGTACGTGACGCCCGAGGACAAGATTGAGGAAGAGCTGGCGTCGCTTCAGGAAGCTGCGATGGCGGAAAGCGAGAAGACACAAGGAGAAGATTCACCAGTTGGCAAAGAGAATAGTGCGATAAGTGAGAATGGTGATGAAAGTGCTGGCAAGAACGAAGTGCCGTCCGCGAGGCCGGCGGCAACGGAAGCGAAGCCTGCAGACCAGACAGAGGTAGATGCAGACGCTGCTAAGAAGCGAAAGAAGAAGAAAAAGAAGAAGAGCGACAAGTGGAAGAAGAGCAAAGTGAATACGTGGGTCTACGTAAACGGCCTGCCGCTAGACATCACGGTGCAGGAAGTTCACGACCACTTTGCCAAGTGCGGCGTGATCCAGTCCGATATTGCAACCGGCGAGCCTCGTATCAAGATGTACCAGAACAAGGAAAGCGGCGGACTCAACGTAAGACTCGGTCCTGTTGGCATAATCTTTTCTTGTGGTTGCAATGCTGACGCGTCGATCTATTGTGCAATGTTTGCCAACAGGGCGATTGTTCAGTTTGCTACATGAAGGAGGCCTCAGTAGAGCTCGCCGTTCAACTTCTTGACAAGTCACAGATCCGACCAGAGTAAGCGCCTCAGCCTGTGATTGTTTTGTATCTCCCCGTTGCTGACGTGTGTTGCTGAATGCCGATATTCTGTAGGTGGCCTATCGATGTATCACCCGCTGAGTTTAAACAAAAAGGACAAGATTTTGTGAAGCGGAAGAAACCAAAGATTGACACCCGCGCCAAGATCAAAATGTTTGAAAAAGAAAAGGTATGCAAGTGTAATGGGACTGATGTGAATACTGCATTCAAACGTGGTTGCTCTAACTTTTCTTTGTTTTTTTTGCTAGGCATTATCTTGGAATGAAGGCGAAGTCAGCGAGCCTGCTGGCTTGCGTATTGTGGTGATCAAGCACATGTTTACCCCTGCGGAAATCGAAGGTGCGCTTCGTATCCATCTCTATCAATCACCACTGTAATACACGACTAAAAGAGTGTGTTCCCTTTACAGATGAAGAGTATGAAAAGGAATTGCAGGAAGACATCCACGACGAGTGCTCGAAGATCGGAGAGGTTTCGAAAATAACTCTGTTCGCTAAGCACGTGGATGGCGTCGTTGTGATCAAGTTCGCTTCAAGTGGCAGCGCTGCTCGGTGCGTAGAGGTCATGAACGGACGATTCTTCGCTGGTCGCAAGCTCGAGTGCGGATTCTGGGACGGCACGGACTACACTCATCGTGAAAGCAAGACGGAGGAGAAAGAACGCGCTGAGAAGTTCCAAGAGTGGCTGGAAGAGGGATCTTCCTCGTCTGAGAGCGAAGCCGAGGAGGAAGAGAAAAAGACGGAAGAGAGCGCACAAGGTAGTACAGGCCAGGAAGTCCACGCTGGACGTGAGTTGCCTCCTCTTGGGGAGGACAGTGACGATAGTGATGTGGAAAGCAACGGTGAGGACGACGCCAGCTCCGTGGTGCCTGGTAACGAGGTGCATGCTGGTCGAGTTATGCCCGATCTTGACGATCTCGGTGATGAGGATGGGGACAAGTAATACCATCGATCTTTTCTGGTTGTTGTTTCAACGGATCCGCGGCAGTTCGTAATGTGAGATTGTTCCCCGTTGCATTCTCGCGCTCGAGTTCTGATCTTGAACCGGAAAGCCTATCAAGTCGCTGCCAACAGCTATTTTCAATGCGATAGGCCTGGTCAGTTTCCTCGGTAAGTTTGGATGTGTTTTATATGTACATTGCTTTGAGTGAGCAGGTCACCGACGCAGCCTCATTTACCGGACAAGTCTATAATGTGAGTGATTAAGCTTCTTGCCCTTATCGCTGAGGCTGCTGTCGATGAGCTTTTCTTGGCTGTACATATGTGTGCTTTTCCTCGTTCTTTCTTTAGTGGCAGCGATATAGCTTGCTGAAAGCTTTGACAAGGTGTGCACTGCTATCTTTGATCGTTTGGTTGCATTCCCTCGCCATTGCTGCTAATAGCCTGTAGTTGAATCTTTTTGTAGCTCGTTGGACTTGGCCTTGCGGCAGACAACTTGGTGGGAGCTAGCCTCTTTTCTCTCTATAATTGTTGTTGCGGCCTGCTGCTCTCGGCAGGTGCTACCAGCTCCTTTCTTCGTCCCTTGTTTGTCCAGCACTTGTAGCCAAACAGCTTCGTGAACCTCGACAGCATGCCTGACATCATGGATGGATGGACGCAAAAGCCCTGGAGCGTGACGGAAGAAATGTGGAAGCGGAAGGCCAAGGGTCTGGAAGACCAGTACCAACGTCTGCTATCCGACCACCAGGACTTGCGTCTGGAAAAGGCCAAGATGATGGGCGAGCTGCGAGTTCTTCAGCGCTACAAGGAGACTGCCGAAGACACCATCACCCGTGAAGTCGCCAGTCGAAAGTACGTCAGTGTACTAACTGCAGTCTGTATTAGAAATTGGTTGCTAACTTACGCTTCATCGCCAGGATTGAGCACAAAGACAAAGTGTCGGCCACTACGAAGCTGGAACAGTACATCAAAAAGTATGAGCGCGAATGTGAACGAGCATTTGCGCTAGAACGCGAGAACGCCTTCCTCATGGAACAGGTCTCCAACATTAAAGGGGAAACCGAGAAGCGCTTGGATTTGCTGAAGGAGTTGGAGGACTCGCAAAAGCGCAACGCTCGACAGAAGGAAAAGCTTCGAGAGTGAGTTGGCGGCAAGGTATTGATTCTTGCGAGTGTATTGCTAACTATTTCTGCGTGGTGTCTGTAGGATGGAAGTTGTGGGCATCGAGCACGAGAACACCATCCTTGAGCTGAAGGAAAAGAACCAGAAGCTCAAGCGGAAGCTGTCTGCTGCTGAGGAAGATGCCGCTGACAAAGCAGAAGAGGCGAAGAATCTTGCTGTCCGACTAGCGGTTCGCCCCCATTATTTTGTTGCTTTCCTCAATTCTCTGGTGGTGTTGGCTAATTATCTAAATAATTCGTTTGTTTGGGCATCTTAAGGCTGTTGAATCTGCGTGGGAAGCAGCTCGTGGCCAAAACAAGACTGCTTTGCACGAGCTCAAAAAGAAGTACGTTATTTAGTTAACCACGGTTGTATTTGCCGTACTGATATGATAGGTTGTCAATCTGACTATAGGAAGTCGCTTTCAAAGGAACTTGAAAATGTGAAATCTGAAACCAAGGTACGCAACGAATACTGTAGCATTGCTCGAGTAAACCTGCTGGCTCATTTCACCTCTTTATTCTTTTTGTTGCCTTACAGCAAGCAAGCTATCGCATCCACGCTTTGGATGTGGAAGTTGAGAATGCTCAGAGTAAGCTGCGACAAAAGGACCGCACAATTGAGGAGCTTCGTGAGAAGAACGCACTGCTCAAGAAAGAGATCACGCGTCTCAGTGCACACATGGAGGACCTCTCTGCTAGTCTCGCTGCTACTCGTGAAGTCATCGAAGAAAAGGACTCCGAGATCGAGTGCAAGACTGAGCAGCTCCGCAACAAGAAGACCGAAGTCAAGACACTCGAACGTATCGACGACTCATCGAAGGAGCGTATTGAAGACCTCGTGTGCCAAGTGAGCGAGCTACAGCAGCAGCTGCTTGACACGCAGAAGGAGTATCTCCGCAAGGTGAAGAAGGACGAGCTCACGCGAGAGAAGCAGCGCGCGCGTGACCGAGCTGAAATCTCCAAGGAGCTGGAGACGATGCACAAGCCGCGCCGGTGCAAGAACTGCAACGAGACGTTCACCAACAAGTCCAACACGTCTCTCTCGTGCTCGTTCCACCCGGGCCGCTTCGTGGCGCGCAAGTACCCCCTCGAAGGCTACCAGTGGAGTTGCTGCCAGAAGCGCGAGCTATCTTCAAGACCCTGCAAATTCGCTGGCCGACACATCGAGTCCAAGTTGCTGGACTGAACTTACTGACCCTCAGACGGATGCGATGAAGGTGCGCAAAATAACAACAATAAACTCATCGGTCGTTAGCTATTCCTTCTTTTGCGTCGGTTCACAGTTCAGGTTCGGTGAGTATGCGCGTTAATGTCAAGGTGCACGGATTGCAGTTCGTGGTCCCCTGTGGTGAAGGTTCGCAGACCTGTCTATGGCTCGGACTAGCTGTTGCGCAGCGATATGCACTAGCAGCACCCCACGGACGCTGTCGTACTCGTGAAGACGCACACATTAAGCAGGGATTTTTCCTGCCTGCTGCTATCGTCAAGTCGAATGGCCAAGTGCTTCGTCCCGAAAAGCGAATCGCCGAGACTTGCAAGGACAACGAGACGTTAACGGTCCAGCTCCAGGTAAGCTCATTCATGAGGCTTTTGAGAGAGACTTTCTCACTCTAATCGTTCAACGTGTTTGAATACCAGCAAGAAGTGCCGGTGAACGAGATCGGAACGCCTCAATTCACAGCGTGGACTGCGAGTGCGTTCTTTCCGTCGCAGAAGCGTGTTGATATCCCCGATCATGCCTCGGATGCTAAGGCGGACTCAAAGTCGACCGCAGTCTCTAGTGGATCAGCAAAACAGTCGCAGCAGCAACAAGCAGCTACGACTGAAGACCAGGTCGGTGATGCGGAGGCCAAGGGAGACTCGGCCGCGGAGGAGCTGAAGCAATACGCCCACGCCGAGATGCTGCAGCAAGTCAACTCGGGCCAGTTCTTGACCGACATGGAGGTTGAGGCCGCCTTCCTCTACGACTGGAGCCGCATCCGTGCCGAGGATATTGAAAAGGACCCTCGCGAGCGCGACCTCCTTCAAGAACTGCTGCTGTCTCGGTTCTCGGAGCTGAACGCTGGGTACATGCACTACGCAACAGGCAGCAGCGAGCTCACCTACGGCATGAACGGTGCCGAGTTTTCACACTTCTTACACGAATGCGAGCTCATCAGATTCCACGACGCCAACGACCAGAAAGTCGTGGAGAAGGTGGTCTCCCAGACGTTGCGCCACGACGGACTGGTTGCAATGAGTGATCGAGGCACGCTGTCTCGGGTCGGGTTCCTGCATGTCTTGCTGCGGGTGGTGCAGGCTGTGTCAACCTCCAAGGCCCCACTCAGCGAGACTTTCGACAGCGTACTCAAAGCGCAGATCTTGCCTACCATCACTCGACTTACCAGTGGCCCATTCCGAGACCACTCGCACCATGATGTACGTTGTGTTGCTTCATCCTTATACGTAGCTGCGATAGGGTTTCTAATGTGCGTGCGATGCAAAACTGTTAGAAAATGGTGGCGATCTTCCAGGAAGCCAAGCCGAAGCTCCTCAAGCTGTACGCCAAGTACGCTCAAGATCATGCGCCGAAGCCGTCGATCCGAAAGAAAACCGACAACCCCGAGGCGGAAGATGGATCAGCCACAGCTCCGTCGACGAGTCCACCGGTATCGTCCACCTGGCCGCTGTTGCTGTCTGCGGTGGGGTTGAAGAGCATGTTGTACGACTGCGGCATCTTCTGCTCTGGCACACCGGAGGAGCAGGAAGTGATGTTCGATCGCGCAGTGGACCAGAGCTTCTCCGGCATGTGCGAGGTGGAGCGAGCCGAGGACAGGATGCTCGTCTTCAGCGAGTTCCTCGAGGTCACTGCTCGGGTTGCATTGGCCGTGCTGGAGAACGAAAACGAGCTGCCTCCACGAGACGCGATCAAGCTCGCGCTGGAGGCGGTGCGGAGTCTGCCGCTCAAACAGGAAGCGCCCAAAGCGCGCAAGTAGGCTGCAGCAATCATGTGCATGTCTATTGAACCTCCCCACCATAGTGCAAAGTGTTCATGCAAGATGCCTCATCTTGCCTAGCTGACCCGGAATAAGATGCAGGTATCCTACAACTTCAAGATCACTTGATATCAGGTCGGCAAGCTTGGTGCAACCAGGATGTGCAGCTCCAATAACTGCACTGCTGGCAGCAGTCTGCTGCGCAGCGGAGCTCCAACTTGGAGTTTAAGAACACGGCAACAACACTGCAGATCAACTTAAAAAAACAACTAAATATTTTCCTTCCTCCGTCACTATGAACCGCGAAAGCAAAGCTCTTCAGCCGGACCTTGACTCCGTGGTCCTAATACCCTAAGACTGACGCCACAGCCACAATTTTGCACAGAACTCACTGCTTGAACGAGAAGTTCAAGCACTCGTACCAGCACCTCGAGTCGGCCAGCGAGTCGCAGTTCACCTTGAGCTTGTTGCCATTGGCAAGCGTGAACACCATGCCGCACTCCAGGTCGCGCGTCGAGCCCACGTCCACGACCGTGCCGAGGCGCTCGAGCTGGTTGTCGACATCGTTGGCAACTCCCAGCGTCGAGCCGTCGATCACGTAGAATCGACGCAGACGAGAGCCCTTATTCACCTCCGTCAACCACCCGCCGAACACTGGCCGTAGTTTCTTGCGACGCCGGCTGTTCAGGTACTTCTTTAGGTTGAATGTCTCTGCGTGCCGGCACGCGCTGCTGATGACGGAGCGCCACCGCTTGGCTGTCTCGTACGACTCGGCGTGGACCTTCCAGACGCGCCCGCTGATCAGCCGAATCAACAGCCCGTTCGCGTGGCCCTCCCATTCCTCCACCGAATGTGCCTTATCGCAAAGCACGGTCTCCGAGTTTGTGTCCTTCGCGTACGCCAACTCCACACCATGGAGCGTGAAGTACAGGCGCTTCCAGCCCTTAAATAATCCAGCCTGCTTATAGAGCCACCCTGCGTAGTTCGACAGTGCTGTTTGAACATAGCAGCTCTTGACAGATGTCTTGGGCTGCGCCGTCTTGCCGTTCGCGCTGGCAGCGGCGGATATCGCGCCGTACCAAAGCATCTGCTCATCGTACGAATCAGCGTAGCACACCATCGATGTATCTGTGCTGAGCTGGATCGCAAGTCCATTCGCGTGGCAGTCCGCAAACGACACGGCCTTGATATATCCAGAATACTTGCGGTCAGCCGGTCCATGCTCATGATCACGGCACTCAATGTAGCCGTCGATACGCACAACGAAGAAGCACCGCTTCCACGCCTTGTTCTTCTCCTGCTTGAACAAATATCCTTCGTGCTGCTCCGATGCCGTCAGCGTGTACGACGTCTTGGACTGCGTGTTAATAGTCTGGTTGCGCTCGATGGTCTTCTCCATGAACTCCAGCCACTGTTCATACTCGGTCTCACTGGGGCAGCGAATCTGCAACGTACCGCCATCACCAAACTCAAGCAAGATCCCATATCGCAGATCCTCCATCCGCTTCACCGCACTCAGCAGACCAAATCCCTTCGGCGACTGGCCTACGCCCTTGCTGTACTTAAACTCGGTCCCGGACAGCACTGCGTAGTACCGCTTCCACGTCTTGAACGCGCCATGTCGGATAAACACCCAACCAGCGTGAGGGACGAACGCCGCATTCGATGCGCGGCGGTTGTCGAAGCAGGACGGGAGCCGGTCGTCGTTCTTGCTGCTGTTGTTGTTGTTGTTGCTAGGAGCCGTAGTGAACGAGTCCGGAGGGGACCTTCCACGCCGAGAGGACGACAGATACGGGTCGCTCACGCGGGGCTCCTTCTCCGGCGCCAAGTTGCTGTATCCTCGGTTGCGGTGGCCCGCCTGCTTGAGTCCAGAGCCCTGTTCTCCTGCCAGATACGCCACGTAGTTCCCTGTACTTATGGGGAGTCCCATCACGGCGTCGTCCTCTCCGACATCGCCGACCACAGCCACGGGCTGACTCTGCTGAGACCTCAGCTCTTCCTCGTCCTCCTTGGCACGCTGAGAGATGGGCATTTGGGGCATCGTCGCGACCGTCGCGCGTCTGTTCAGCAGGTTGAAGGTGCCGGGGTCCGAGCGAATGGGGCGACTGCCGCTCACGATGGCCTCGTAGTTCCTCGTGTCCACGGGGAGTCCCACGACCGTGCGGTCGTCCACTGCCTCAGCTGCCTCCTCCTTCTCGTGCTCCTGCTCCTGCTGCTCTTCCCGGTCGGCGGCCACCGTCTGCGCGAGCTTCTTGTCCCTCTCCAGCTGCTGCTGGTTGTCAACGTGCTGCTGGTACACTGTACCCATGGCGAGCGTTTGTCGGCGATACCCGCCGTCGCCGCCGCTCGAGACGGACGAGGCGCCCGAGCCCGCGCGCCGCCTGCGCGCCAGGTTGTCGATCAGCGCCTGGTAGTTGCGCGTGTTCACGGCGAGCCCGAGCGGCGCCGCGTCGTCGCTGAGGTCCTCGTCGTCCATCAGCGCCTCGGCCTGCTCCACGGCGAGCGGGGACCCGGCGAGCGCCGCCTTGCCCGCGGCGTGGTACGCGCCCGCGGCGTCGGGTCGTATGGGCGCCACGCGCTGCGTGACCATCGCGAAGCTGAGCTCTTGGGGGTTGTATGCGGCGGTCGGGAGTGTTGGTCCTTGCTGCGCCGGGTATTATTAGGCAAGTGCGGGGTGCAGTACTGTACTGTATGCGGCCGATCGCCAATCACGCGCACCCTTCCACGCTGCAGCCCGCGTTTCCAGGAATGAAAGAGTGAGTGTTGGACAGAAGGCGGCTGGCAATTTCTCAGCGACCTGCGGGGATTGATCCCCCTGCGGCCCGGCTCTGGCCGCGATACTGAAGTGAGAGGGAGCGCCACCTGTGAAACCCAGTGATTCGAGATCTGGACCGGGAGTGCGCAATGCGCGCCGGTCCACAGTGGCGAGTCCTCAGCCTCCGGCGGGGCGAGTCGAGCGTGAAGCTTCTGCGCAGGCAGTGAAGGTGCTGCAGCGTTGGAGGCAGCTTTGGGTGCAGCAATATCAATCGCCGAGCTGGAGTTGAGCTGACATGAGATTCCAGTCGCCGCTGTAACTTGCTCTCGGCTCTGCCGGGTAAGGCGCGATGGGTACACATCGCTCGATTCCCGCCGCCCTCGGCTCGCGGCAGGATTCTTTAGGGGGTGGCAGCGCCGATGACGTTCTGCTGATCTCCGGAGCGGAGACGCCTGCCTTGACGCTAGAGCTGAGGGGCTGGTACAGTAGTGCAATGGTAGCTGCTAGACGAGCACGTACGCGTCCTGTAGCAGGTGTCGCCAGGCTTCTCGAAGTAGCCATGACATGATGGCTACCTAACGGAGACCTGGTGGCCGAGAGCACATGTCGGCGCGAAAGCGAGCCACCTGGACGCCGATGACAAGGTGTTCGTGCGGATCTGAGCGCACACGTTGCGTGGCCGGCGGCCTATCACGCCATTGCAGTTGCAAGCATTGCGCGAAGCAGCTGCAACGAGATGCAGGTGGCCGGCAACATGTGTGCGTGTGCTAACAGTCACCTTAGCATGCCGGCCGGGACCAGCATGTTCATCTTCACTTCACTTTGGCATTGGACCTACAGATTCGATCCATCCGCCGCTGCTGCGAGGACAACCGCACAACCGGCGCAATGGTGGACACGTTGAAGTGCTAATCGCTGTTCATTCTCAAAAAATCCTGAGCACGAACACATCGTTTCGTGTTCCTGCTGGCACCTCACTATCACGCGCAAATTTTGCTACATACACCTCCGACACTAGGCTGGCTGTGAGCCTAATCCCCGCCTCCCTTCTTCACCCGCGCTTGACTGTGGCCGCTTGACTGTGGCCGCCGTGGAACTTACCTCGCCGGTTGGTTCTGGGCTTCGCGACCATGAGCTTTACAGAGCCCTCGCAAGTACGCCGACTTCTTGCAGCCTTCCTCGCGACACAAGTGCTTTCCACCATGCACCGAGCAGCGCCCTCGCACCCGCGCTTTCTTGGTGCATCCGTCCACTAGACATTCCTTCGTGGCGTGGCGGCAGCAGAAGCCCCGAGTGCCTTTGCGTGCCAAATTCCCACAACCATCTTCCTTACACCGTTTGCGGTTTGCATGATTCTCGCAGAACCCGTCCGACAGCACAGGCATCTTGCAGCGTCTGACCGTGCATACATATTCCTCGGACTCGACAATAGGCGAGCGGGACACCTTCCGAGTTGCAACTTTACTGTTAGCTCTTTTGTCGTGCTCCACGACGCCCATTTCAACTTTCTCCCGCTTCAAGTTCGCCACGCTCTCCTCGGCTTCACGTACACGCTTGTGGCCTGCGTTGCGAAAGAGATTGGGTAAATCGGACGAGTTCCAGGCGTCATTGTTGGAAGGCTCGGAGGGCTTCTTCGTCGTCTGCAACTTCGGACGCTTCTTGGTTGTTTGGATCGAAGGCTCCTTGGTCTTGGGAGCAGCACTATCGGAGACTGCGACAGACTTGTTGAGCTCCGACTTCGTGCGCTTGGTCGCTACCAGTTCGGCTTTGGTGCTCGTACACTTGTCGTCCCCAATATTCGTCCCTAGTCTGCCGCCTCCATGGGCCTGGCATAAACCTTGGGTGTACGAGTAGTTCGTGCAATCTTCCTTCTGGCACTGGTCTCGACCTCCGTGCCCTGGACACAAACCTCGCTTGTACGCTGCCCTGTAGCACCCTCCCACCTTGCATTTCTTCTGCCCGTTGCAGAGCATCGGGATTCCGTCCGAAGTGCCATCAGTACGCAATGCACTTGTAGTGTCTTTCACAGGTCTTTTCTCTTCGGCTCGCGCTTCCTTCTTGGTATCACAGCGGTCACTTGGCTGCGTAGCCGTGTTTATCTGTCCCCCAGGAACTTCGGATCTTGTTTCACTTTTTGAGAGTGGTGAAGTGCCATTCGTGCCGCTCGTAGGCTTGATGGTAATGTTGGTGCTGGTCTTGTTGTTCAAGACGAGTACGCGCCCTTGAGTCTTCGGCATACTTTTAACTTTGGTGGGTGGCGCACGCTTCACTTCAGCGTATTCTTTCTTCGCATCAGGCTTAGCATCACCGACTTGTTTCTGTCGTGTAGCACCGTTAGCGCGTGGAGAGGGATCCCTTTTGCGATGTTCTCCACCATTTGGAGGACGGTCGGCGTGGTGGGGAGTAGCAGGTTTCAAACCCGAGCAATCGGGAGGAAGCGATCGCTCTTTTGAGCGCTTTAAGAAATCCTCAGTCAATTTATTGCTCATTCGAGCTGGACGACGTGTAGATTTTGTCTGCTTGCGGTTTCCCTCGACGTCACCTCTGCCTGTCGACGTGCTGCTCAAGTGCTTTCTCGGATTCTCCTTTAAGCACTTAGCGGATCGCGATAGCTGGACCCGGTCGAGCTTTTTCTTGGCTGCCAGCTTCCATTTGCCATCTTCACCCTTAACGAGCCAGCGCCCAACCATGGTGGAGAACGCACTTTCAATTTCAGAGTTAGCTGTTGCGCCACGACGCCTTTCATGCGTTTTCTTCTCCATCCCTGGTTCTCACTGAATGCTGCACCCCCTTTGTGCGACAAGGCGCTAAGGGTGACATCCTTTATCGAAAACATATCTTCGTGCGATAATACACTAAACGCTGAAATCGTATTAGTCACTTGAATTGAAAATTGGGCACTAGCTAACACTCTACTCGACAGCGACACTAGTCTGAGAGCTGGTGAGTTTTTGATTTTGCTGCTGCTGTCGCTGACGCAGCTGCTGTTCCTGTCGGGTCAGTGACAGGATACGCAAACGCTGCAGCTCTTCCTCAAGCATGAAGCTTTGCTTGCGCTCATCGATGTAGCGTGATTCAAGTTGCCCGCAGCGGTGACGCAGTTCGTCGTTCTCTTCCGACAAACACTCAATTTCCAAAGTGCGGTGGCGCGCCTCACGTTCCGCTGCATTGAGCAACGAATGCAGAGATTCGTTGGACTGGGTCAGCTTGTCCACCTGCATGTACAGCTCTCGCTGTGTCGACAAAAAGAAAAACAAGCAGTAATAATGGTTAGTGGATGATGCTGCTACAGCCCGCGTACACAACATTTTAGCGCACCAATTCTTCTTCTCGAGTCTCCCCGTTGCTGCTGAATTCAAGGTACGCAAACCCATAAAGAAATGTCAGATACTCAAAATATGTATACACAGCAGCGTCAACAGATCGAAAGGATGCAGAAACGTACAGTCCTGCTCGTTGACGCTTGAGCTCATTGATCTGCGATGGGATCGTCATGAGTTGCTGCTGTTGCTCCTGAAGCACGCTGATAATCTGCTTCAGATCGTGCTGCTGTCGGATAAGCGATGCAATCGTCTGCTGCTGCTGCAGAAATTGAGCGGCCGAGATGGTGACCGAAGTTTGCGGGAGGGTGACGACACTACCGGTAGTTTCTCCAACTTGCATGAGCTGTGTAGGCGGCGTGACGGGCCTTACAGCATTCGGAGCGATTGTGACAGTACTTGCAGCGATAGCACCAGTTACAGCGCTTGGGGCAACTGTGACGGTACTATGAGCGATAGTACCAGTAGATCTACTGTCGGGAATAGCTACACTTCCCATCGAGGTGGCCATGCTCGTGCTCGCCGTTACCACAGTCGCAGCAGATGCCGCCATCGCGGTCGTTAGGGCAACGTTGGCCAGTGCATCCGCGCCCTCCACTGCTGGCAGAGCCTGGAGTTTAGCATACGCCGCAGCTTCTTGCTGCTGTTGTTGATTTCCACTAGGGTCCACCATGTCAGTGGATTCGATAAACTCGCGGTCCGGACTCTCACTGCGTCGCCGTGATCGCCGAATGGCTGCAGTTTGTCGCAGTCGAGGCATGGATCGAGTGACACGCTTCGGTTTGGGGCGACGCTCCATGCTGTCGAAGCTGCGGCTGAGCTGGCCCAGCTGAGGGGCACTTTCAACTGAGCTCCCTCCGATCGACGTCGTGGTCACGAAGCGATGGTCGTACAACTAAATAAACGACAAACACAAGAAAGTTAGAAGCGACCTCTCCTCCGTATCGTACAGCACCTCTGGTCGTACGTCGTCGGCGTTCTTTCTCGATGTGGGGGAGTCCGACGCAAGTTCAATAATGGTGAAGCGGCCTCTGCGCTTAACCCTTTGAAAAAATCAAGGGCGAGCAAAGCCACACGGAGGTCATATGAGCCAAAAAATCTGCAAGGAGCGTTCCGCGCGTTGACGCGAAGCGACCACACAAGTCAGCGAGGAAACGCACCGGCGAGCGCGCTGCGTGCTTTTCTTGGGCGACGAGTACTTCCTCGACGGCGAGCCGGGCGCCGCACTACCAGTAATGATAGTGCTAGCAGCCCTGGGCGTCGACACCTCGCAGATCGTGTCCACAACAACCGAGGAAGGTTCCGTCTGCACGTATTCCATGTCAGTATCATGGCACCCTTCGACGGCGCCCCCTCTACCATACAGCGGACAAATACAATAGGCACAATGCTACGTACTTGGGGGACGATTGTGAGCGTCGTCTCTATCGGTGCAGGAGGCACCGAGACAGCTTCGGGCGGCTGCGTGTGGGTCTCGGGCGGCTCCTCCATCTTCAGCGGCGGGGGCTGCACAGCTCCGATCGAGGCGGGCTTCTCCAGCTCGTCAAGGTGCAGGTCAACGCCCTGCACCGGTTGGGGCGCGATCGTGGCGACCTCGCTGCAGCTTCCGTTGGACGCGGGCGCGTCGCTCACGACAGCGGCGGGGAAGTCCGCGACCGACACTTCGTCGTCCTGGAACGTGGGCGACGACAGCCGCGGCGAGTAGGGCGAGCCGGGGATGATCTCGGTGATGGTAAAGCGGCCCTTTTGTTCCACCCGCGTGCGCCGCGACTCCATCGCTGCTGCCTGCCTGCCTGCCTGCCCTGGGCCTGCTTGCCTGGCCACTTCGTTCAGATTCCCAACTGCTCGAGGTCCAAGGTGACGCTAGCCGGAGCAGAAACGGGTCGGATAGGTACACTGTACCGAATCATGCTGTTCGCCCGCCGATGGTACACTGTACCTCGATGCAAAGTGTTGCTTGCAACTGCTTGCAACTGCAAAGAGCTGGAAGACCTGTATTCGTCAACCGCAAATACTTCACAAGGGGGATAACGTTAAGAAAAATGGACCGGATGCTGTAGAGCGCGGGTGAGACCTGAGTGACGAACACCTTGCAGAGTTTCCCAGGAGTCGTCTGCACAACTTATTTCGAAGTTCACCTTTCGGGTAGCTTCACGCATCCCGTAACCGCGCGTCTCGAATCGCGATGCAGTCGAGCGCGAATCCTGGCCACCACTCAAACTCGATAGGTGCCAGTGGAGCAAAGTACGGCCGCTGGTGTTGATTGTAGATCCAGACCCGATCACGTTTTGTGTCGACAATAACTCCTTCACGACACCCAGCGTCAATAAATCTCGTCACCTGCGCTTGCAAGTCTTTGATGCTGTCCGTCCCCAGCATGAGTTCGACGACAACAATCGGCACACAGGGTTTGTAAGCCTTCTCTTGGTCTGCATCAGAGAGGCGGGGCCAAGTCGCCGCGTCGATATAGGACATGTCCGGGATGAACTGCGTGTGATAACTAAACGCATATAGAGTTTGCGACTGGTCGAATTGATAGCCTGTGCGGTCATACCCAACTTTGCCTCCAGCAGCTCGTCTTCCATTGCTGGGCTTGGGCAATCGCGTTTCCTTTCTCCTCCTCCGAGCTAAGTGCAATCTCTCGCACAAGGAGAAATGGGTACTCATGCTCGAGGAAGAACCGGTCTTCTTCCACCTCATTCAGATCTAGAGGCTGTGTAATCTTGTACTTCCCAGGGCTAGCAGGAACGCGATCTCCACCTGGTAGCACCCTCCGCTCGGACCCAGCGTACCAATTCGACGGTACAGTGTACCGTAACGGTACAAGTGAATTGGTCTCCTGATCAACGGGCAGTCTTGACGCCGAATGTCCGAGGACAAGTCCGACGCCGTTGTTGCTGTTGCTGCGGCGACCACGATCGTGGCGGAGGCACCCGCCGCTCCGCCGGCTGCTGGCTCGCAGCGCAAGTTCGGGCCAAAGTGGGAGATCAAGTATGCGGTGGCCGTCACGGAACGCGACGCGCTGACGCAGCTGCCCACGAAGGCCGTGTGCCTGCTGTGCCAGGCCTTCGAGCGGGAGGAGATCGTCGGTGCCAAGCGGAAGAAGACCAATCGTGTCCGCACCTTCACGGAGCCGTGGCGACCCGACAACATGAAGCGTCACATGGAGCAGCAGCACCCGCAGCGTTGGGAGGAGTACCAGAACCTCGGGGACGGCGAGAAGCGCGCGTACTTCTCCAGCGGCCGGGCGGCCCGCGAAGATCTGATGATGCCAGTGGCTAGCGGAGACGTGGCTGTGGCCCCGATGGTCAGTGATCCGAACCCGAGCGTCGAGGCTCATGCAGCCGCTGCTCAGTCTCGCACGTACCTTATTGACAGAGACATCGTGGAGGAGCTTATTGCTGGCGTCCTGTTTCAGACCACAAACAACGAGTATCGCAATGCGTGGAATGTGCCGGTGATGTTCTCACTACTGGAAGGAGCAGATGCAGGGTCTGGAGAAATTGACATGAACGAGTCGCGTTATGTGGCGCGGGTGGACTCGCTTCTGAAGTTTAACATGTGCTTGAAATACGTGGGTATGGGGATAGCGCTCAACCAAGTTGTGCCGCTTTTTCAGAAGACGGCGGAGGAAACAGGAATGGATAAGAGTCTCGGAGGATCGAGCTTTACGGAGCAGCAGTTGGCGTGCTTGTGTCGTGTGGCTTGTGCCGTCAACTTGCAGACACTGAAGGACTCGCTACGCGCAGTGTGGGCGTTTGCGATTGCAATTGAAAAGGGGAAAAATGCTGGCTCGCCGTATTTGGACGTTCACGTACGGTTTGAACGCAATGGACAACTCCACGATTTTCACTTGGTCTCGGTCCCTGTTCGAGAGGACTCATCTCAGATCATCGCTCACCAGTGCGACGCGATTATCAAATGTTTCGATGTTGTGGCGCCAGGGTGGAGGACGCAACTGATAGGCGTCTCTACCAGCGAGCCGTTAGCAAAAATGCCTTCGAGCGCACGAGCTCTGATGGGTAGTTTGTCCCGCGAGTGCGTGGCCCCCTTTTATTCTGAGTGGGAAGTCGTGCAGCAGCTCGAGCGAACAATTCAGGAAACGTTCGATGGCCTCTGCAATGAGCGCTTCGTGGCTGCTCTGACGGTGTTGACTGGGCACTTTCGACGACAGCGCGCTCTTATTCGTGAAATGAATGGAGAAATGTGCCCAAAATTTGAGGAAGGCAGGTGGCGATCGATAGCGAAGGTATTGAAATGGTTTGCGGAACATCGTGCGCGTTTAACCAAGTTTGTCCAAGACGCTCAGTTACCAGGGGCTCCTGGGAAAGAATGGTGGGTCACAATCTTGGCTGCGAGCAGTGTTGTGGACCGTGTAAATGTGGCTTTGAATTCATTGTGCGAGCCGGCTACTGCGCTGAGTTTCTCCCGACGCGAGTGTCTGGGTAAGCTTGTGACAGATGTCGCTTTGATGAGCGGCGCATTAGGGCCATTATCTGCTCCACAGCGACTTTCGATGGCTCAAAGTAATAATTTCGAAGTGGGTGACTTTGCGCTGAGTCGAGAGGCAACCTTCTCATTTCTGAAAGAGCAAGGCAGCTTCGCGATAGAAGCGGTAGATGAACTGGAGGAAAACTTTTCAACGTGCTGTCAAGCTGCTGTGGAGACTACTGCCATTTTCGTGCTTTCTCTTATTAGTAAAGTGCACCAAATGGCTCCCCATTGTAGCCAGAACGGTAGCCTCACGTCAAACTCCAGTGCTAGCCTCCCCCCGTTCCTCCCAGCGACGTTGTGTAAGTCACGGAGTCAAGACTTTGTGGTCCAGTTGCAGATTCAAAGTGTGCGTCTGCAGCAGCATTTTTCGGCGGATCAGATTGAGCAGATTGAAGACCAACACCGTGTTCTGCGAACGGCCTACCGACTAGACGAGAGCGTGAGCCAGCAGATTAGTGTGCTGTCCAAAGCCAGTTCTTTCAGAGAGGCATGGAGCGATGGCCGTTTCGGAGGCAACGATTGCCGCCTTCTTCGCAAGTTTTGTGGGGCAATTGCGTGTGCTGCTACAGACCCCATCGTGGTGAAAAGTTCGACCGAGTTTTCCCTGATCAATTGGCGAAGGAGCCCCTTTGGCCTCTCGCTTGTGGACTTTTTGCTGGAAGCTGCGTTACATGCCCGGCAGTATAGTGATCTCTCGCGCTTGCGTGAGTGATGAGGACATAATGAGTAATACTGAAGTATGCTTGAGGTGGCTTCGAGCACGTAAGCGAACCAGTTAAGTAAATGGACAGCAAGTTCGTGCGGATGATGGCACGCAATCGATACAAATCGCAGCTCGGGTTGATTGTTTGCCATCATTACTAGCTAGTGCAGACGATAAGAAGTGTGATCACGGTGGCAAGGAAAGTAAGCGAGCATATCGTAGCGAATACTGGGAACTTGTGCCTTCGGTCGGTCACCTTGACAAGCTGCTCCGGCGGCTCTGCTCCGTTGGTGGGCACTCGAGGGTCAACTTCGAAGAGCACGCCAACGTGCGGCTCCTGTCAGTTGGCATGCAGCAACTCATCAAACGCCACTCCAAACCAATTGTTATTAGCTGTAAGCGCGTCGTACCCAGTAGTCAGGTAGAATATCTGCATCGATCGCTGTCGGGTCGTCTTCACGATGCGTCTGACTCCAGCCTAACGACTTGGCCACTTCAACATGGTCATCTTTTCGACGGACCAGTGGCTTCTGATGAGTAAATCCTGCAGTCTCCGTCGCAAGCAGCACGCACCCAACCAATACTAGCAACGACGCTTGCATGCATCGCCTTCCCATTGTCCTCTCCACGTGTTTTGCAGCGCTAAAGCAGCATCAGCAGCAAACAGCAACAAACAAACACCCGTAACGACCGATACATGGCTACACTCTTGTCCCATATGCCGAAAAGCGCCACCTTTTGGTCCAATGGATGCCTTTGGCGCGCTTTTGCTCCACAGCCGTTGGCGACCAACGGTCTCATTCCGCATTGTGACGTCAGGAGTAACAACGGACTCGAGAGTGATGGTCGCCAGTGCCTTCCCGGACGACGCCGCGGCCCAGCGCGCCATGCCCGACCTGGCAGCGATGGAGGCGATCGAGGAGCAGGCGCGCAAGGAGCGCGAGGCCTCCGCTGCCAAGCGAGCCCCCACCCCGGCGGAGACCGCCGAGGACACAGGCGAGAAGATCGCCAAGCTGGACTCGCTGCTGGAGAAGGCCAGTCTGTACTCGAGCTTCCTGTTCTCCAACATGGAGAGCGCTGCCACCGTCAACGACACCGTTGTGGCGCAGGATGCGGAGGACGATGAGGCGGAAGAGCAGACCGCTAAGGGTAAGCGCAAGCGCGGCAAGAAGGCGTCGGCTAACGCCAACAAGAAAACCAAGAAAGGCGTGGACAAGCTGCGCGAGGTGCAGGGCGACACGTCTCTAGACACGCGCCAGCAGCCTAAGAAGGTGGCGTTCAAGCAACCCAAGCTCATGGTTGGCGGCACGCTGCGCGACTATCAGCTGGAGGGCATCCGATGGCTCTGCAATTTGTTTGAGAACGGCCTGAACGGCATTCTGGCAGACGAGATGGGTCTGGGTAAGACCATCCAGGTGATCGGTCTTCTGGCTCACCTCAAGGCGCTCGGAGTGCGAGGACCGCACCTTATCGTGGCGCCGCTGTCGACGCTCATGAACTGGGCCACCGAGTTCCGCAAGTGGGCTCCTAGCATGCCGGTGATTATTTATCACGGCACCAGGGCTGAACGTAGCAAAATGAGGAAGAACGAGCTCAACCGAAAGAAGAAAAACGACGCTGACTTCCCGGTCATCATTTCGTCGTATGAGATGATGCTCCAAGATTCCAGGGCTTTTGCGAGCTCGGGCTTCGTGTGGAAGTACATGGTGATCGACGAAGGTCACCGACTGAAGAACATGGACTGCTTGCTGGTACGTGAGCTTAAGCGTGGTCGATCGGAGAACCGCCTGCTGCTGACCGGCACCCCGCTGCAGAACAATTTGACCGAGCTGTGGTCTCTGCTCAACTTTATCTTGCCGGATGTATTTGACGACCTTGAACTTTTCGAGAGCTGGTTCTCATTCACACCTGACGCTATTGCCACGGCTGCTGCGGCGAATGAGTCCGTGGCTGCGCAAGATGTCCTGCACGGCGAAAAGAAGGTCGAAGTGATCACAAAACTACACGAAATTCTTCGACCGTTCCTGCTTCGTCGCTTGAAGGTGGACGTGGTGGAGGAGATGGTTTCGAAGACAGAGATTTTCGTTTACTGTGCCATGACCTTGAGGCAGCGCGAGTACTATCAGATGATTCGCGATGGTACGCTCGCAGAGGCTATGGAGCAAAAGTACGGTAAGTATCAAGCCCAGAACGCGTTCAAGACGACCACCTTGAGAAACAAAATGGTTCAATGCCGCAAGTGCTGCCTACACCCTTACTTGTTCGACGAGCCGTTGACGGCAAGCGGTGGTGTTATCACGGATGAAAATCTCGTCCAAACATCCGGCAAACTGCGTGTATTGGACCAGATGCTGCCAGCACTCAAGCGCAAGGGACACAAGGTGCTTCTCTTCAGTCAAATGACACGGATGCTGGATATCTTGGAGGACTATTTCATCATGCGAGATTACAGCTACTGCCGTCTCGATGGCAGTACAAAGCTGATGGATCGTGTCGACCAGATGGAGAAATTCAACAAGGTGTCTGCAGGGGCGAAGTCTGCGTCGGATGAGGACAACGTTTTCATTTTCATGCTGTCAACGCGCGCTGGTGGTCTCGGTATCAATCTAATTGCAGCTGATACGGTTATCTTCTACGACTCGGATTGGAACCCTCAGCAGGACAATCAGGCGATGGATCGTTGCCACAGAATCGGCCAGAAAAACGAAATCATCGTGTACCGTCTTGTGACTGAGAACTCTTTTGAGGACCGCATGACCCAGCGCGCGTTCGAGAAGCGTAAGCTTGAGCGCGTCGTCATCCAGCGAGGTGGATTCAAAGAGAGGGAGACTCCAGCAGAAAACGCTAAGCTCACAAATAGCGAGTTGGAGCTTCTTCTGAAGGATGACGTGGAGATTCGCACGGGTGTTGAAAGCGGGGGTATTAGTGAGAAGGAGCTTCAGCAGATTTTGGATCGCGAAATGGTCGTCAACAGTTTCGTGAAGCACACGAGGGAGGAAAACGAGGCAAAGCTTGCGTCGGGGAAAAACGTGATTCCATTCAAGGGCAAAGGTTATGAAGTGGTTGAGAACGCGCCTTCGTCCATGGAGAGCTTTGCATAGAACTTGGTTAGCGATGCCTGCCACCATGTCAATACTATTGTCCAGCCTTATTTTTTCTTGCACAAGTGAAGCGTTGGTGAGTTTATTGCGAATCAGAGTTCCTCGTGCATGTTTAACACCATTCAAGATGGCCTGACTCACTGCCACTGCCACGGTGCAGTGATCTGGCCCAACTTCCTAGCTCCGGTAAAGTCTAGCCGATGATGGGCGTGGTGATAGATTCTTGTTTGAGAAAATACTAAGTTAGTACTGTACAAATTGTGCACCAAGTAAACCCTCTATCGGATGAAAACCCTGCCGCTGTATCTTCGTCTGTACCCTGCCTTCCTGGGTTGCAGTGCACTTGTAAAATGCCCTTGATACTGACAGGCTTGTACATTTTCCATGCGAGGTCTCACATCAACGATGGTCGTGTTTCGGCAGGGAGGCGCTGGCTTCTGTCAATGGTACCATGCTACCGATGTACGTATCACTCGGTGTTGCTGCGTATGACCGTACACTGGAGAATCACAGTATGCATGCTGCACCACAGCTCCAGAGCCGCGAGCTGTACCACGAAATGTCGCTCATGTTCCTGCTGACGGCCATTCCTCAGCTCCTAGCAGCGCTGCTGCTGCTCTACTACGCGTGTACCTTCTCACAAGCATCTAGTGCTTTCGTGCATCGCATGCTGGTAGATTCGTGCTTGCATGAGGGCGTCGTAGGTCTCATGCTTGCTTCGCTCCTGTTCTCGGCATTCCACCTTGCACTAAGTGTATGCTGCTGCTTTCCCGCTTTCTGGTAGGAGACTCTCGGTTCCATCGCGTTGATTCACTACACTAACTGAGCTTCACCTGCGTGTTGCAGTCCTGTTGACCCGATACGCTGCCAGCTCAGTCGAATCGTGGCGTGCCCAGAATCGGTAGCATACCTCCGGCACTACAACTTGTACCCTCGACTAGCCCACACCTGCGCAACTTCCACAATGCTGTTCGCATTGTCCACCATCGAGACTGCACACATCATCAAGGACCAGCATGCGCGCGTACGCCGTGCCAACTTCGTCACCTTCTCCAGACACGAACCCGTCTACGAGGCGTCCGCCGCAGTCGTCTTCTGAAGTCTACAGCAACCTAGACCTGCATCAACTGCAGAGACAATAACCTCGACAAACCAAGTCCACCACAATATTTTCTTGTCCAAGCTTCATTTGATACCTTACTACGCCTGTACCTGCAGACAATCAATCAATTACCTCACCAACTGCGCCCACGGATCTTCAAGGAACGACGGCTGAAAGAACACTCGTCCAGGTCCGTCCTCGGTCCGATACTGCTGCACTTGACGTGGTCGCATCTCCTCTCTCTGCTGGTGGTCATTGCTGTGCTGGGAAGGTTCAGGTCCTCCATTGCCTCGCTCCAGCTGCTTCCACGGGTCCTCCAGGAACGACGGCATGAAGAATCTCGAGCCGTCGCGTACGTCGTCACTGGGGCCTCTCTTGCGCTTGTACTGGGGCTGGTTATAGTTGCGGTTCTGCCTGAACTGTTGGTTTTGCTGCTGCTGCTGGAAGCCGCCGCGCCCGCGTCCTCCTCGCCCTCGACCTCTTCCGCGGCCTCCACGGCCACCACGGAACCCTCCGCGACCTCCTTGGTGCTGCTGGTAGGGAGCTGGAGGCTGCGTCTGCGGCTGCTGCTGGAACTTGGGCTGGCGCTGCTGCATCTGACGCATCATGGCCTGCAGCTGCGGAGGCATTGGCGGCGGCAGACCTGAAGCGGGGCCGGTCCCAGGCGGCGGCGGAGGTGGCGGCATCGGAGTCATCCTTGGCCAATACGATACTGTAGCCATGTCCGTCATTTCACGTGGTGTACACGAAATCGGCGTCTTAGAAAAAAAATTACGCGCTAACTTTGTCACATGCGTACCAATTTGAAGTCACTATTCGAACATAAAGGTTCTCTGTTTAACACAGGTAGTAGATAAACCAAGCTAAAATACGGATCCCCTCACCTAAAACATAAGATTATATCAACGGATTAGACAGAGTAAAACCTCTCTTGGGTGAAAAGTTGCAGGGTAGCTTCCACACGCCAGTCTTATTCGTGGTGATCGCAGCCAGCAGAGTGAAGCGGGTCAAGACGGACCAGCCCCGCCCCGAGTGAGTACTAGCCAACGGTCTGGAGAGGAGAGCAGCCCCCGCTTGCCAGCCCAGTCCCCAGCCAGCACCCCTCGCACTCCCTCAAGCGCAGGCGACAGACTTCTGAAGGCGTGTGTCTGTCTCTCTGTGCCTGTTAGTGAACACTCCGCCATGAGCCACTACGGCCCGTCGTCCAACGGCAACGGCGGCGCGTACCCGCGCGGCGGTCCGCCGCCATTCCGAGGGCCCCCACAGCAGCCCGCCAACTTCCCGCGCGGCGGGCCGCCCCCCTTCTGTCCGCCGTTTGCTGCGCGCGGACCGACGCCCCCGTTCGCGTTCCGAGGGCCCCCTCCAGCCTTCCGGGGGCCTCCGCCCGGACTGCGGCCGCCTATGGGGCTCAACATCCCGCCGCCGATGGCGTTCCAAGCTCCACCGTCGCCTGCCAATGCCGGACCCATGCTGCCGCCTGGATGGAGCGAACACAGGACCCCACAGGGAGCCACGTACTACTACAACGCCGCCACGGGGGTCAGCACGTACGACGTGCCGACTGCAGCGGAGCCCAGCACGCCCAAGTGGGTGGAGTACAAGGACGACGCCACGGGCGCCTTCTACTACTTTAACACAGTGACGAAGACGACGGTGTGGGACCAGCCCGAGGAGTTCCGCATGCAGAAGGCCAGGGAACAAGTGGCCAAGATGACGAGCGACGCGTTGCACGCCGCGTCGGCGGCGTCGCCTATGGCGGCGCAGGTGCCGCATCATTATCAGAGCCAGAATCTGGTCCAGGCGCCCGAGCACGGCAGCTCCGCGTCGACGGAGAAGGAGGACGAGGACGATGAAGAGGAAGTAAAGCGACAGGAGGCGCAGGAACAGGCGCGCAGGAAGCGCAAGGAGGAGCAGGAACGGGAACAGGCCGCACAGTTCACGGACATGCCGCGCGCAGAGCGGCTGGCCGCGTTCAAGCAGTTTCTGGAGGACAAGCAGATCACGCCGACGCTCAAGTGGGGCGACGCCCAGCGGACAATCAGCAAGGACGCGTCGATGCACAACGACCCGCGCTGGAAGTTCGCGTTGAACACGGTTGGAGAGAAGAAGCAGGCGTACGCCGAGTATTGCACGCAGGCGAAGAACCGCGCGACTATTGAAAAGCGTCGACTGGTGAAGAAGTCGAGGGAGGAGTTTATCGAGCTGCTCGGACTCTTCGAGTCGACTTTGGCTCCAGCTTCGCGCCGCCGGCCGGTCTCGTGGGATGAAGTGACGGAGAGCAACAATTTCTACGCACTGCGCAAGGATGCGCGATGGTGCGCTATTGAAGAGACTCGCGAGAAGCAGCAGCTTTTCGCTACGTTCATGCAGGATCTGGAGCGTAACCAGAAGGCTCGCCTGGCAAAGCGGCGGGAAGTGCTCCAGACTGCGTTCATGGATTTGGTGCGGAAGCGTGTCGAAGCCAAGGAGTTGGAGTTGAACGGTGGTCGTTCTGGCAAGCGTCTGGATAGTGATACCAAGCGTCGAGTCCTGGATTTGCTGGAGGAAGTGGAGCTCCCTGACAGTGGAGGCAAGATTGGCGAAGAAGCGCTCCGGGTCGTGGATAAGCATGACGTTTATGATTGGGTGGAGGGATTCCTGCGTGAACAACGCGAGCTGGAGCATGCGAAGCGCAAGCGTGAACGTGCCGAGCGTGCTGAGCGAGAAGAGAAGTTGGGGCGTGAGCTCAATGAGCAATTAAAAGAATTGGCCGCTAGCGGAAAACTTACTGTGGGAAGCACGTGGAATGAATTTTCGGCTGAGCACCTAAAGCATGCTAGCGAGCAGCAGGCTAAAGAATCCAAGAGCGAAGCAGAAGGCGATGCTGATGAGGACGAAGATGACGTCGAACATGAAGACGGAGATAGCGAACATTTGCACTGGAAGAACCAGCGCCGTATATTCGACAAGTTCGTGCGTAGGCTTCGTCGAGACCTGGAGCCTGCAGCCACAGCGATGCGCGAGCACCTGGATCACAGTGGGGAACCACCGTTACGAGTGACTGAAGCGACGACGTATGTAGTTTTTGTGGATGCACTTGAAAGTGGTGTCGGCGTTGCTTTGGATAACAATGCCCCCGAAGAGGGTGAAGAAGAGGTTGTGGAAGAGATGGATGTTGTGACGGCGTCTGGCGAGTCTGAAAAGGATGGCGGTGAGACGGCTGATGGCGAGGGTGCGGACACTAAAAAGCTGACAGCCGAAGAGGCTAATACTGTGTTGGAGGCTGTAGTGAAGGCGCAGCGCGCGAAGCAGGGCGATGCCACACCCATCGAGTTTCCTGCGTTCGTGCGTCAGGTGTACGACATGTGGGTCGCAATGGCTAAGGAGGACAGCAGCCGGGAAGAGGAGAAGAAGACCAAGCATCGCAAACGGAGTCGCAAGGAAAGTCGCGATCTAGCTCCCGAAGACGAAGATGACGAGGACCGACCACGCCGTTCGCGCCGTCGGCCCTCTGCTGCAGACGAGCTCGAAGACGATAAAACTCACAGGAAGCGCCGCCACAGAGGATCTCGGAAGCGTCGTCGCAGTCATGGCTCGCCGTCCGTCTCACGCTCCAGATCTCGCTCTCGCTCCGAGTCTCGGCGCGAATCAAGGCGCAGTCGCCCGAACCGCAGTCGCAGCCGTAGTCGCAACCGTTCGCGCTCGCGCTCTCGAGACCGTGTTGGCACGTTGCCTCCTAGCTTAGCCGCTGTCAACGTGAAGCCTGTGGTCGAAATGGTGTCGACGGAACCGTACTCACCTATCCGAAACCCGACCAAGGTGTTGACTGAGGCAGAAGAAGCCGCGAAGGCGGAGGAGATCATTCGTCAGGCTCGGTTAAAGCTGCAAGGGAAGAGTAAGAGCAATTCCGACGACAGTGAACTCGAAGAGGGCGAGGAGCTGGAGGAGGGTGAAGAGGCCGAGGACTAAATAGATAACTAGACAAGGTGTCCGCGTTAAGCTAAGTCAATGCAGCATCGTGGTTGAAAGGAGCCGCACCCACGAGACTTTGAGATTCGTAGGCCAGCACTGAATTTACACGCAAGGAATGGGATTTACTCGACATCAATACACGGCATGCCTTCTTGACCTCTCGACACACCTCTTTCTTGTTCTTCAGGCGATCGTCGCTCAACGTTGCAGAATTTTGGTGAGCGCCTCCTGTTCTTGGAGGAACGTCGTGATGAATGCCGGGGGGAAGCGCATGGTCGACATCAAGAAGACAAGCTGTCGTGCAGCCTCGAGATACTGAGGCTGATGACGCTGCTTATTGTTTTCCTCGTGGAGCACCTTCAGTAGCATCTCTTCGATGAGGCTGTAACATCAAAGACGCACATCAATAAACATACAACGCAACCAAGGAATGTGCTAGTAAGCAAAAACTTACGTGGCGTCGACGCGCCGTGGTGTCCCTGCGATCGGCACACGATGGTGCACCCACTGCCAAAGCTGGGCTCTTGAGATTTCGGCAGTTGCTGAATCCTCAATGCATCCATTCACGACGACTGTACCATGGTCATACAGCCAGTGAATGACATACAAAAGTGCCACTCGTACATTCATCTCCACCGATTTCAACGTCACATCTCCGCGTGGCAGTGTAAGCAGTTTTTCGGTCAGTAGCGCCTCGTCGAAGGTAAGTGGAGAGCGATCAGCCTCGTTGATCTTTCCGCGAGTCTCCGTGAACACTTTGGCCACCGGCTCAACAAGCGCCAGGTCGTACACAAGTGCTCCGTCAGACCCGGCTAGAGCTTCCATGCCCTTGCCCGATGTAGCCTTTTCAACTGCCTCTGCTTGTGACATCCCCGACGGCAACTCCGACAAAACAAACGGCACCATGCCGGTAGTGGCCGGGGCGTGACGACGTTTGCACGTGAGAATCAGCAAGTCCATGTAGTATCTGCATAAAAGAACAGTGTTAACCAGAAGGATCCTACAACTTTCCAGGAAGTATTGTAAACGTACCTGAGAAAGTCAGACTTCATCGACACATACTGTTGACGATCGGGCAGCGAAAATTCGGGTTTCAGGCGAAAATTGACCACGATAGACGCCGTGTAGTCCCACATGCCACAGTTCAAACCGGAGGAGTGGTGACGGAGCTCATATAGAATCTCGTCCATCTCAAACGCTGCAAAAATGTTCTCGATCAGCACCGTCGCCTTGATACATCCCTGTAGCATAACAGAACAGAGGTCTTCGTTCAACTTCGGACGATTCAACCACAACACATTACTAACCAGCGAGCGACTTACGTGTGGAAGGCCGAGCTTCTTTTCAGTGTACTCGAAGGTTTTCCTCCACAGTGTAGCTTCTGTGTATCCTTCCAGCTACATCGCGCACGAGGTCAAGTTCATAAGACTATGCTGGGATTTTTGCGCTAAACAGAAAGTTAAGCTCACCTTTGGAAGATACAGAAATGGACCCCTTTCAGTCTTCAAAAGATGCTTGCCGCTGCAGAACACGATCGACACTTCAGTACACTTTTGCGAAAGTATTGCAAATCGAAACCCAAACTTACTTGTGGAACAAATGCATCGCAAAGTCAAACAGTGCGCCTGGTACAACACGCCCATTCACCAGCATGTGCTGCAAATGCCAAGCCCGTCAGTAAGACTGCAACATTACCCGCGACAACAATCCAACATGCAAGTGACACACCGATTCATCCATGTTCCATGCTCGTGGACGGATGACAAGAAGTGCTGGGTTCTCCACGATCCGTTGGCCCGAAACCTCCAGTAGCCCTCGAGCAGCTTGCAGCACATTGAAGTGCCCCTGGATCGTGTTGTTCCACGTGGGGCAATGCCCGTCGTCGAAGTCCACTTGCACACCCTGCACCGCAGAACAAACACATCGTGAATTAAACATGCAACCACTGGAAATATGACCTCCGCTTCAGCCCGTTCGTACCTGAGCCCCCGAGTTCAATGCACACAGCAAGAACTCACGGTTCGCAGGAGACACGTCTCCAATATCCACGCGTCGATCTTCCAGCGCGCGCGGCTGGGGGTCAACTCTCCACGTCGGATCTTCACGGATCGCCCGCGTCTCCTCCAAGAAGTGCGGCATCGCGCCTTGCTGCTCCGTCGCCAGGCGACGGGCTTGGCGCCGCGCGTGCAGCTGAAGATGCAATATTACCAGTCAAGGCTATAATAGTTATACTGCTACTACTGCGATGCTTACCTGATCCACTTGCGGCTGGAACACAGCAGCCAACTCCGCCACAAACTCGAGCGCGACAGGCGAGAGCACCGCGTCGTAGACGTGCTGGGGGCATGAGGCGTCTCTGGGCGACACAAACACGCCCACAGATCCGCCTGTAGGAGGCGCAGATGTCGTCGAAGCGCCGATCTGCGCGCGCAAACGGTTGATGCGCTCCATGGGCCCTTTAGTGCGGCGGAGGAGGTCTTGGAATGGAGAGGTCCCAGATACAGGTCGACTTGTTGCGTTCAACTTCATCTTGGGTGAGATGCGGGGCATCCCATTGGCTGAAATACGTTTTGACCAATGAGAATATTGGACAGTCGCTCCATCAATTGCAGCCGATCATAGAGATGGACGTCCGAGTGCGCCTGGTATTCGCGGACGAGCTGGGGCGCCACGTGCTGCGCCGACGCGGGTTCTCGTCGTGCTGGTATCTCGTGCCAACGGACGCGAAGCTCGTGGGGGACTTGGCGCACGCGCTGCTGCGGGAGTTTGAGCTGCGCCGGAGATGTCCCAAGGGGCTGGAGCTGCGGCTGCAAGAGCTGCCACTGCTGGCCACGCAGAGCATCCGCCTCGTGCGGGACGACGACACCATTGTCGTCCAATGTCCGCCTCTGGAGGACGATGTTAGTGACAGTGAGAAGGCGTCGTCCTCCGAGAGCGAGGAAGAGACGGCGAAGCTCAAATCCACGCAACGGAAGCGGAAACTGAAGCTGAAGCAGCAGAAGAAGCCCGAGAGAAAAATCAAGAAGGCTCGTCACGCTCCGAAGGACACTAAGGAACAAATTAGTGCAGAGAGCAAGCCGCGGGAGAACGGTGCGGGGAAAGGTGCTGCTGCTGCCGCAAAAAAGGTGGAAAGCTCGAGTTCGAGCTCCAGCTCAAGCTCCAGCAGTGAGAGCTCCAACTCAAGCTCTAGTGAGAGTGAGAGTAGCAGTGAGTCGGAAGATGAGGATGCCGCACAACAAAACCGAAAAGTTGTGGCAACGCCTGCCACCGCCCGTCGTGCTAAACCAAAGGAAGCAGCGTCAGCCAAGAGCTCGACATCGTATGGAGTCGTCGGCAATACAGATGCACCAGCGCAGACCGCGAAGGAACCGCGTAGAAGACGGCGTCGGTTGAGACAACGGAACGGAAGACGCCAAAGAAACGGCGACCAAGCTAATGCGGCGGCAAGCCAAGCCTCGTCGTCCGGTAGCAACGCTACGACTTCGCAGGTGCACGGACGAACGGTAGGTCAGTCGAAGGAAGCATCAGCGACACGCGTGAGTGGTAGCAATACAGGGCTTCGCGCTTATCCTCGCGCGATGGCGCATGTCCTCTTTGATGAAGTGACTGGGGACCAGGTGGCAGTTCAGCACGACGACAACTTACTTAACGAAGGCACTCGGACTGCAGCACCGGACCTGTCGAAGTATGGTCCATCACCTGCGGAGAATCGCCGGCCTTCGCAAGACAGCCAAGTTCGGTCTTCCGCTTCACCCGATTGGCTGCGTAATGAAGAGAGTAACGGTAATGCCGATGCACCGAAGCAAAAGCGGAAAGGCAAATATGAAGAAATGTGGAAGCGGCCATACGAAATTGTGGCGACTGTACTCGATAGCACTACCGGACAATCAGACTCGTCGGCCGAGGTACGTTCGCAGTCTTGGGCGATGCATGGATAAAACGTGGTGCTAACTATTCTTTCGGTGTGAACAGGGTCTAACCAAGTCGTTGGATTCGTATCCAACTGCGGCAGCTGGTTCATGTGGTTTCAAGCCGAAGGATGTTCTTGCTTACAAGACGTTGACGCTGTGCCTTGAGACGTGGCAGCCTGTTCTTAGCGATTGGCAGTGTGGACAAGTGCAGTCTGTCGATGCAACGGGTAACAGCGTCGAGCTATCGAGGTGGACTCTTGAGACCAGTGGCGATTCTGTGAGCTTCAACAAGGCACCAGGCGAGGAACAGTGCAGTGTCCAGACGAGTGAGATCAGTGAGCTACGGTTCTTGAGTGGGCCCAGCTATTCGTCACTACAGCAAACAGATAGACACACATAGCGAACTGAATGCACAGTGGTTCTTAGACGCGTTGGAGCAGTGTACTCTGCTCTACCACCATATGTACATCAATATAAAATTGGTAAGTTGCAGACTGCAACTTGCTTTGGGCAACTTGTGTAAATATCCGAGTGCATTCGAAGAGCACTCAGAGACGCGCAAAACGCCACACTGCCTAGAAATGCACGACTCCGTCCTTCTCCTCGTACTCGTCCGCGCTCTCCTCCTTCTCCTCCTCGTCCTTCTCCTCGTCCTCTTGGTCCTCACGTTGTGCCGCCGCCTTCTTCTCCCAACACCTCGCTCTCGCCTTCTGGCGGACTTGTTTGAGGCACTCCGCACAGCAGGAGGGCGGGTGTCGTGGTTGGTAGCTGCTCGTCAAGCGTTGGTAGTTGTGGCTGGGCATCTGCTGAATTTGGCTGCCGCTCGGGGGGCGCAACGGAAGGCGCGGTGGCTGGTTGGTGCTCAGCGGGCGTGGCGACAGTCGATCCTTGCGCGAGTTGGTACTCGGTGACCGTACCGGTGGGGCTGGTGTTGAGGTCGGGCAACCGGCGCTCGCGAGCACTGCAATAAGGGCTTTATTGCCCATCCCGAACATCTTCGGGGAGCCGCCGCTGGGGCGTGGGGACACTCCGTTGCCACTCGCGGCTAGCGGGATGGAGATGGCGGGTGGGGCTTGAGGTGGCGAAGGAGGTCGAGCTTCGACTGAACTGGGAGGGGCGAAGCGCGGGGAAGTGGGTCGGAGCGCCGACACGAGGGCCCTGCGGCCAGCGTCGCCGAGACGGGCTCGAGGTGACGCATCTCCGGAGGATGGCGCATGTTGGGGAGCTGGCATCGCTCCCCCTGCCGAGGAAGTTTGGCGAATGGCACACCTAGACCATGAAAATCTGAGAGCATTTTGTTGCCGCACCGCCAGCGTCGACAGATATCCTGCTCCTGTTTGTCAAGTTGAAGCGCGCCGCAACGGCCAGTGACTGGCGTCCTCTATGCGTCGCGGTGGACCACGGCGCCCGCGGCGGACGACGGTGCGCGCCCGCATTCCGGCCTTTTGCCACGGGCACACCGCCGGGTTCGGCAGTAGAGGTCGGAAATTTCTTGCTTGGTTTTTCAAGAGTACCGCGGCCGAGCGTGGACCGCGGTGGACGCGCAGTACCGTGGCGGCTGTTTTACTAAAAAGGTCGGAAATTTGTACGGTACTCATTTATCTATGTTTTTGTATGGTAAAAACAATACTAAATGAAATAGAACGAAATAGAGCAAAATACCAAATGAAATGAAAACACGATTAGAAATTTAAACAATTTTATAATTGATTACATAAATTTGAAAATTTTATTATTATAAAATTTTATTTTTTAGAAGTTTTTTATAATGAATTAAAAAAAGAGTTACGAAAGCAAATTTTGATGGGATAATTTTTAAATTAATTGTTTTTAAAAAAGGGACAAAATGTTTATTAATTTTTCAGGAAATAGCTTTTTTAACTAAAAATGATACAATTTTAATTTCAGCAAAACAATTACTGAATTAGACATAGCTACACCAGTAACACCACCCATTACAAATAATACAATAAATCCTAAAAATCAATTTTAAAAAATTCATACACGTAATTACGCCCCCTTTTTACGTAAAAAAACTGCCGGCCAGCTTATTAGTGATGCAGCTTAAAAAGCCACGGCGACTGTATTTTCGGAAGGCCTGCGCTTCGCCCCGGTGGGCTTTTAGAATTTCCCAAGTATAGATCAAATAGAGTAATTATACAGTAATTATAAAAAGTATACACTGACAAAATGTATATTTGTGTTAACTAAGAAGTTATGTCTTGGAAAATCTCTCGGTACACAATGTTCTTTGTATGCACGCTTCCATCTACGCCGATAGCTTCTGGGTCGACCGCAATTTTGATCGCTTTTCTTGATGTTACCCTGGAGAGCGCCACATAAAGCTGACCGTGGGCGAACACGGGAGTTTCGGGTAGATTCCCACATAGTGAATTGACTGTCCTTGAGCCTTGTTAATCGTCATAGCAAAGGCTGGTACCACAGGAAACTGCTTACGTCGTAGCTTGAACGGGAACTCTTTGTCGTCATCCTCAGAGTAGAATTTTTATACGTGGGACAAAGACTTTCTTACCCTTGAAAGGGCCCGTCATGATGATTGCCTCGATACTCTTGATGATTGCCTCGATACTCCTCTCTCGCAGCGAAATAACCCGAAGACGTGTTCCATTACACAGGCCTGAGTTGCTGTTCAGGTTTCTAATTATAATGATCGGCGTCCCAACCTTCAAAACTAATCTATGCGGCGAAATACCAGAGAAGTTAAGCGAGTTCAGGAATTCGGGCTCAAAAATGTTCGCGTCCGCAACCCCCTCAAGACTGTCAACAGACAGATATTCCCTCGTCGCTCCCGCTAGACGCTCCGCTACCATGTCATTAATACGTCTAACGCTTGCGTTGTTCGGGGCTAAAATTGCGTGCTCCATGAAGTACTCGTCCCGTAAATCATGAACATCAATTCCCGGGTACACGGCATCAATCAGTGCGTTAACATTGCGCTTCCGGCGGTCATCGTTGGTTTCGGTCGGGTCAACACGGCTAGTATTCTCAATGAGAGGGAGAAGCTTGAAGTTAGAAAACTCTTCCATGTCTTCGGCCTCGCCAGGTTCCCCTGCACTCGCCTGTTCTGAGCGCCGGTCGTCGGGGATAATGCACATGTCACTTGGAAGACAAATATCATTCTCGCTGATCTCTGTGTTGACGGGATACCTACCCTCGCCTATCTGAAGCAAGAACTTTGAAAATTCAGCCAACGCTTCAGCGCTTTCTGGGTAAGGGACAGTGCGCACGCGCATATTCTCGGTAAGACGTACTTGACGCAAATGCCCCAGAGCGGAGAGGATTTAAAACACGCTTTTAATGTTTCCGCTCGTGCAGCATCCTTCAGGACAGGTAGAATTTGACGGTGATCACCACTGACTACCATAATTTTTCCTCCGAAAGGCTCCTGATCGTGTGTCATGATGTCTCAGAAAGATCTATTGGCGGTCTCAAAGCACGCACGATGCATCATCGGAGCTTCATCCCAGATTATCAAACTCGCGCTTCGTATAAGCCCTGCTTTCTGGCTTTGCCAGGAAAGTTGCAAGTCGAGAATTCCATGGGCTTGAGCGGGATACGGAACGTTGAATGAGCTGTGTGACCTCCTGTCAAAAGTGTCGCTGCAATACCACTGGAAGCAACAGCTATGGCAACCTTTCGTTGCAGTTGGACATGCGCTAGTATTTACTTTAGTAAGAAGACTTTCCAGTACCACCCAGTCCATCCACGAAGAATAGTTTGTCTCCGCACATCGGGCTTCATGGCATGGATAACTTGCTCTGATTGTCATTGAGGCGGTCTTCCAGTGCAGCCACATGCTCCAGTTCGTTTTGGGGATATGCATTGATCTCTTGTTGGACAATGTTCACAGATGCCGACCCTGCTTCTAAGCTAGGAAGGCCATACAGTTCCAGCGTCTTTCCATTTGAATCCAGATATTGCGCCATTTTTTTTAAACGTTTTATACCCCGCCACCCGCATTCGTACTCCATCTTCGCGTTGTACGCCATTACGGTAGTCGTTGATTACTATTTCACGAACAAAACGGTCTGACATGTCTTGCTTAAAACGGTTCCAGAGATCGGCAGGGTGCCCAGGCATCGAATATACCAGTATAATCCCGAAACGTTGCGTAAGCGCATCCGGCATCTTAAACGTTGCGGCCTCTGTCAGACAATCTCTACACCCTCCATCGTCCTCTAAATACCCAGCTGCAAGTGCAGCTTCCTGGAACGTAGGGTATTCTGCACCGTGCACCAGGCGGAGATCCACAAATGACTTCGGCGATCGACGATAACATAGTAGAAGACACAGGTAAAAACGATCAGGATCTTGAGGGGACACATGAATGAATCGACCCAATGAGGCCACATAGTTTTTGTAGGGCACCCAAATCTTGTTGTTCTTGTCCCACCCGTATTGCTTAGGGACGTCTTTATACAGCAGACCAGCAGTTTCGACTGGGTTTCGCTCGCAGAGCCTGAAAAATGCCGTAAGCATGGAACAATCACCTCGGCGAACCAAGTTGTGAAGTTGCAGCGTGGTGACATGTTCCTGATACGCGGCCAGGCTCATACCTACTAGATGAAGTGGAAGGCTCACCACAGAGTGTGTAGAAGCTTGGATCGGATGTCCAAACAGTCGCATGCATGCCTCCACAGGAGAAATGTAACGTCTCAACAGGTACTGCAAAATTTGATTAGCGTCGATGTCCTCGCCGTCGATTGTAATCGCCAACATGTCCGATGTAGACGTATTTGTAGATGTACTTCACGGCTTTGTTGGTGGAACACACTTCTAAGTTGATGTGGCAGTTGTACTTTTGGGAAAGAAACGCATTGTAATCCACTGATTGATTGTTACGTTGTCCCATAGTTTTCCTTTGTGACATAGAATTCACTCGGGGCGACGTCGACGTCTGTATGCCGGGTACTTATCAGGCGCCACAACAGTTTCTTCCGAAAGCGACTTGGGAAACTTCTTCGAACACTTGCCGTTCTTCATGCAGGGAAAATTGGGATGTTCTCGCCCGCAAGGACCGTGTAGCATACTGGACATGACCGTCTCGTAAAGTTCCGCGTGCGTCTCCTTATTAGGAAGTCCCGCGGACACGGACCGATCGACTTCTTCCGCACACGTCGGCCTATCTTCTGGACGCAAAATCACCAGGATATGGGCATGAGGTAGTCCCCGCTTTTGATAATCGACCACTTGGACCCTGGCAGCTTGAATACCCAGAATTCCCTCGTCGAGATCTTTGTCTAGAGGTTTTAGCTTCTGCACAAACACACGGGCCACCAATTCAGGTCGATCTGGCGCTTTCTGTCCTGATTTCAAATTCTCTTTGATTTTAGGCCAGCTAGGGTTGCAGGTCATGGTGATGAATAGGTTAGGAGCACCGGTCTCTCGTACAATTACCATTGCATCCGAGAAGCGCTGGTACATGTAGCGGGGTCCTCCAGTGAACTTGGGAGGTATAATAACCCGACGACCGAGGTTACCAGCTTCTGGGTCGGTCCCAGTAGCGGTTGTTACATCCGTCTGGCAGTTGTTGCGCCTAGATGCACCCTGTGCAACTACTTCATCAGCCGCTAACCGATGGATCTCTACCGATTCGCTCCGTAACGCGTCTGTGATACCCTGAAGCGTCTTCAACCGGTACTCAAGCTGGTTCTTCTCAATATAGCGTAGTCTTTCTTGCTCCGCCTTAGCCCACTGGTCCACACAGTACTGTTGGGTTAAGCCCCCCTGAAGAACCAGAGAATCGCTCGACGTTCTGTCGTAAAGCAGATACGCCTCAAATTCCCGTAGGGACATTGTCAGCCCCCCTTGGAATTAACCGGGTTGCCGACGTACGGAAGATCATAAGTCCATCCGCTCTCCCCGTACGGAAAGAGAAGTGGGTATTGAAGAGGGGCATACATTTCGCTGGGCTCGTAGATGCGTCTGAACCCTCCCTATCGTGAACATCCCGAGAGGTTTTCTCCTCCTCAATCCCATTCTTTCCGTGGGCAAGCAAGCTCGTGCTCCTGCGTTCTCGTGTCTGGTCCTCCTCGGCCCTCGACACTACGTGCCCGGAAGCACTACTGTCCTACTGCGTAAGCCCTCAGGTTATGAGCCAGGGGCTTTACAGACTACCCTCGTGAAGCTCTGAATGACTATGGCCTCGCCGAGTTCGTCGACTGCGGCGTCAAGTGGCCAAGCAACTGGTTCAAGTACGACTGGTGTTTCTATGGTGGCATCTACGGCCACTACTACGGTGCTCTCTAGCCTACAATGACTACTGCCATGAGTACTGTGACTGCCGGTGGTGTAGCTGGACTCGCTGGTGCGGTGGCTGGCCTCCCTGGTATTGGTGATGTACCAGGAGTCGCAGCAAGTGCTGGAGGTGTTTATGGAGCAGACGTCGCTGGTGGTACACCAAGTGCAGGCATGGCGCCTGGCGTCGGAGTTCCGACTGTGCCTAACCTAAATGCAACTGGAGGTGGCTACAATTCCGGTGGCTTCAACTTTGGTGTATTTCCGCCTGGAGTTCGATTTGGCTACCCTCGCGCAGAAATACCAGAAAAAAGGATAATGTGCCGCGAGTGAAGGGAAGTTTTGATCCTTATGCTGTTCAACTACGGACCTTCTTGACTCGCATGGAGTGTTGGAGTGTTGTGGATGGCACCCTCGACCTGAACGGTCCAGTGCAAACACTGAGCTTTGCAGCGAAAGATAATGCCGCGCGAGATGCTATTTTTCTGGTGTGCCCGCGCAGCAGGTTACACGAGAGTTACCCGAAGGGTTATGAAGTGGGTACACACTGTCTGCCCTAACTCAGTAGGATAATCTGTACACGGTTTCAGAGCCACGGATTATGCATATGACTAGGGTTCACTATGCTAGATAGTGATCCGGATACATTTACACCGTAGGCGGCTTGGCCGCGCTAAAGGGAAATACATTCAGTTTGAGATTTACATAGCTAAGGGTTAAGGGTTGACTCTTGGAGTCCGTAGGGTGTACGGACTCGTACGTTCTAGTATTAGAACGGGCTATCTTAAGCTGAGACTCTGTGAGTCTGTTACGTCTTCCTCTGACGCTAAAGCTACGGCAGCCCCGCTGCATGACTTGTTCTGCCACCGCTTTCGCTCAGAGGTAGCAAAACCCTTACCAGCACTTTCATCATCAGAAGAATCACCACGATCGGGGCAGTTAGACCGCAAGTGCCCAACTTCACCACAGTGAAAGCAGGTCCGAGTTTCTTCCCTATCACTCTTCTTCGCACTTGTTTTGCTACCTTGCTTCCCTTTCTTCAGATTCTTCTTTCCGCGACCATTTCTCTTACGCTTGCCTCGGCCTTGGTTGTCATTTTGCTGCTTCGGCTGTGCAGTCTTCTTACCGCACGCAGCGACACCAACCGGGTTCTGCTCTTCAGCACCGATCTTCTCTTCCAGCGCCGATTCAGCCCGTAGGGCATTCATTACTTGGGTTGCCGTGGGAACAGGGCGATCTGCTCCACCATCACGGCGCACAACATAGTGTTTCGACAGTTACCGCACTACGTCACTAAGGGTACGCGCCACGTGACCCAAAAGCGTATCCGAATAATCATCATCTGCCACGCATTTGCCGTAATGAAGAAGCTGTCGACGCAGCGACTCCATCTCGCGCAACCACTGACCCACGCTTTTCTCCGATGTATACACATTAGAGTAAAACTCAGCACGTAATTAGAGTACTCCCGCTTCGTCGGCTTATCAACGAAGCGATTCCACACGACCTGTGCCGTGGCTTCTTGGCAAATCATTTCAGCGTCCTTTCACTGTGGTGAAGTTGGGCACTTGCGGTCTAACTGCCCCGATCGTGGTGATTCTTCTGATGATGAAAGTGCTGGTAAGGGTTTTGCTACCTCTGAGCGAAAGCGGTGGCAGAACAAGTCATGCAGCGGGGCTGCCGTAGCTTTAGCGTCAGAGGAAGACGTAACAGACTCACAGAGTCTCAGCTTAAGATAGCCCGTTCTAATACTAGAACGTACGAGTCCGTACACCCTACGGACTCCAAGAGTCAACCCTTAACCCTTAGCTATGTAAATCTCAAACTGAATGTATTTCCCTTTAGCGCGGCCAAGCCGCCTACGGTGTAAATGTATCCGGATCACTATCTAGCATAGTGAACCCTAGTCATATGCATAATCCGTGGCTCTGAAACCGTGTACAGATTATCCTACTGAGTTAGGGCAGACAGTGTGTACCCACTTCATAACCCTTCGGGTAACTCTCGTGTAACCCCGTTACACCCTCCCCCATCAAACCGTTGACACGGGTGTCCACGCTTAACGGTCAACCTTCGGGTCTTGTTCCGTCAAGCCCCCTTCTCCATCGAGTCAATCCACATCGCGTGGACTTCTCTGAGAACTTCTCGGCGCAATGCGCCCTCACATGACTTCAAGTTATAAAGCCTGTTGGTCTATCGACCGCAGACAGCCTCTCGCGAGATCCGCCTCGGAGCCTCGCTCCTCTCGTGCTGCTGCTCTGCGTGCCCCCGCACCTTTGCGAACGCCAGCGCCCGCGTGCACATCCTCGACGCCTTCCAGGCTCTCGGTGTCCGAGTACTTCGCGGCCCGGTAAGAACGTGCTAGTGCTGCTGCGTAGGCGAGGGCCAGGCCCTACTGGGAGCTCGAGGTCTCCATAACAGTCTACTCGTGGTAGTGATACTAAAGGTAAGCAAGTCTATTTACAGTCTGTTCGATATATTGTCTAAGGTCAGTCTGGAATTGTATTCAAGCGCGCGCGATCCCATAGTGCGCCGTGCGAGGCGGTGCTGCCGGCTACCACTAAGTATCGAGACGCGCGTTCGTCACTCCTGGACCAACCACCTCCATGAATGCATCGGCAGCGGTAGCAACGGCTTCAACTAGCGCTCCACAGCAGCGCATGCGTCGTTCAGGCGCTTACCAGGTAGGGGATAAACGGCAGATGGAGGCGATGCGATAGAGGGGCTAGAAGGAAGCTGCAGACCAACGTGTATTGACTGAATTTATTGTGATGGTACCTACAGAATAGACCAGTCCGGCAGCGATGGATATGACGGATGCTACAGAGAAAACCAGACCGAACCAAGTGGATACAGCGGAATGTACAGAACAAGGCTTTGTGCTGATTTGAATACGACGGATGCTACAGGGTAAGGCGGCCGTGAAACGGAGTCTACTGAACAAGGGACTTCTAGCAAACGCTTCGACGTACACGGCGCGAAGCCTGGGGTGACCACCGAGAGCGTTTGGCCCGCATGCTGCTGTATATTTAGGATGTAGCAGAGTTTATCGATAATACATTCGTATATTACATCTTATGGATACTGTGCGTGCGACGGACATGAGCGAACGCCACATCGCGATAAAGTGATCACCAGCGCTAGTTAGCAAGACGATGGCGAGGATTCGTAAGGAGCGAATAGATGCATACACGAAGTCTATCGGAGGTCTAGTGACGCTAGGAAATAATTGCCCAGTTCCTCCTCACTCCGTTAGTTAGGAACTGGGCAATTTTTTCAGTTAGTTAGGAACTGGGCAATTTTTTCCCCTAGCGCCTGGGCCTCACCCGCCGCGTGGCATGAAGGACGGATGACTGGTGCTGTTAACGCTCCTCGGTTCGGACTCATACCGAGCTTGACAGGTATTGCAGTTCTAAAGGTACTAACATGTGTGTTACGTTTGTTTCGCCCAATGAGCACACACCATTTTTATCAGATGGTGGATACATTGTTCATCTTTTGTCCACTTTCGCAGGTATTTTGTGCTGGAAGTGCACGATTGCTGTACCGTCACCCTGTAAAGGGTTGCAATAGCATACCTCCAGCATTTTTGACGTATACTTTAATCAAGTTATCTTATTCTGTATAATCACTACAGAATAAGGTTGGGGCTAGAAGGGAAACGTTGCTATCTTCACCACCCTCCGTTTTACTAAAAGATAGCCTTCTGGACTTCACCTGAACTAAGATTTAGTTATAACCACATAAAAACAGCGCCCCAAACTGCGCCCCAATACCTGCCTCAGACCCTCTGGAGGTTAGACGGTGACTAGTCTTTACAAATGCTAAAATTAACCTTTGTAAAGACTAGTCACCTATAGCCTTTGTAAGGACTAGTCACCTATAGTTAGATAGTTAGCCCTATCTTAGGGGTTGAATTGCTGTAGTGACTGTAGTATATGCGAGTCGTATTGTAAGGCAATTGCCTCTCGCGGGGTTAATCGAGTGACGCGAGCGGACATTCTTAGCGCTGGTATTGAACATGTTGATAAATTGCCTATACTCCCGCAAAAAACTAAATGTATACACTTGTACTTTCATGATCGCAAACAGTTTTCAGCTACTAGTGCTATTATCATATTGTACCACATCCACCGATGTGGAATCTGTATACTATGCAGTGTGACCCACGTCGGTTAGAGTGCTATCGATAAATTAGCTTGAAAGTACTAGTTTGGATCTGTCATCATTTGACTAGGCTCGCAATCGGAAATATCTAAGAACTATAAATTGGGCTAGACACCCACATGCAGCTATACTGTTGGGTAGCGGACACATGCATATTGTGATACACAAATGTAAGAATGTCGCTAGCTACATTATCACAGCAAAGGTGTTGATAGCAAGCCGTTTCTGCTATAAGACTCCCACTTTACAGCAACGTTATATGCGTAATGCAACGTTAACTTTGCATACTATTTTCTGATGCGCAATTGACTTTAAACGTAACAATGCCTGTGCAACACTACGAAATATATCATAGCATTGATATGCGGTGATTAATATGCAATGTTTTGGCTTTGGCAGTGCCGAATCACGCTATATAACCTACGTCACACATGTACTAAACTAGTACTAACTTGCTCATATGAACTTGTTATGGTAAGTACTTTCGTTAGGGCATAATAGCACTACATGAACACAACATACCTCACCTGAAAAATGAAAATAAAATGAAGTAATTGGATCCACTGAACCGATTTGATTGTGAATAATATCATACTGCCAGAACTATTTGATTCTATCTTGTCATTCGTGGATGGTTACAACAAAACAGCCTAAACATCCCCTTGGCTTTGGTGCGGTTATACGGGTGTGGATTACTTTCAATGCCAAAACGGTGGAAGTTCAATGCATCTAAAAACAAGGTGGAGGTTCAAGGCATTTAGAAATGAAGGCGTGTGCCATGTGGTGTATGCAACGTGCATATGCTAGAGTGACCCCTAGTCGGTGAGAGCTTCAATCTAGAAGATCTTTCCTGTGATGTTAAGACCCAGTGCGGCAGACGAACTCAGCAGCTCTGCGAGTTGATCGAGTTCGAACTGCAGTTCGCGACCATCTTGAAAGCGAACCGTCCAGCGGAAAAACCCTGTGGGGCCCGAGCAATCCTGCCAGTCTATGATTTGGCCGGGCATATAGCGATTCGTCACCTGGCCATCAGTGCCTGTGACGGGCAACTGCTTCATCAAGTTCCAGTTCATTGGCATTGCAGGCCGCTTCTCAAGATCGACCATGAGTTTATCCTTGTCGAAATAGCTCGCGCCTTCCTTCGAGAGGCAGTTGCGAGGCTTGCGCTGACCTCCTGGTGTGGTAGGTGGGCCGTAGCAGCCTTGAGGTCGTACTCGTCCCTAATTGAGAGGGTCGCAATGATGTGGCTGCACAGCCAGCCCGACGACCAGAACCCCTTGCAATCGCATTCGTAGCGTTTGCGAATCTTGTCGATCTAAGAGAGACAGATCTCCTGTTAAGACAAACGGTGTCCGAGAAATTCGCGTCGCACCGCCAGAAGCACAGCTCGCAGCGCGCAAGCCCCACCTCCCCTCGAGCATCAACCCGCCAGATCATGGATCCTAGGGAACTCTTTGGTGAAGAGGGTGAGGTGGACGAGTCCATACTGGATTCTCCGAACCGAGGATGTGCGTCACCAGCCACGCGACGCTCCCCAAGCCGCCGCGACGCTTCGCCCACGCCGTCGACACGCCGTGAAGAAGGCTCCCCGGCCCCAGTTGGCTCTCCGAGCCGTCGCGATCAAGAGCGCTCCGCGCGTACGTCTCCTGCGCACTCGCCGAGCCGTCCACCTACAGAGCGCGCTGCGCCGTCGAGGGAGGAGCCGCGGCCACCGCTGCGAACTCCAAACCCGTTCCCTGAGCGCTCCTTCGGTCTCTACGAGCTGCGCGCGCTCACTGATCCACGGTATTCACCGCCTCGTGGCGAGGACGTGCCCCTGGGCCCCGTCATCTCCAACCCTTTGGACGAAGCTCAGTCCGAGCATGTTGCGGCGCAGATGGATCCCATGCGCTCCCAGCGCCCTGAGCTGCGGCCTCTGCTGAACCCCAGCGCTGCTGATTACGGCGTCCGGCCTCGCGACCCCGCTGAGGCGTGTTGCCTGGCGTTCCAGCAGTTCCTCGCGCTCCACGCCATTGGGCCCGCGGTCCGTACTCCGGAGGTGTTCGCACTGCATACGTCTCTGCGAGAGCGACTCCTTACTCCACAGTCGACGATTGTCGCGGAGTATCGCGAGTGGTTGCGGCTGCAGATGCAGAAGTCCGTGCCCGCCATGCGGACGTACCCGGTGGTACTTGGCCCGGGGGAATATACGACGCTCAGTTCGAGTCCTGGGCCGAGCACAGCCGGAAGCTCAGCTCCATGGAAGCTCTCAGAGTCAGCTTCAGCGAAGTGGATGTTCGCATTGAACGCAAGCTCCGCGTCGACTTTGCGAAGGTCCGAGCCAAACGCAGCGTTGTGGCAATCGCCCAGTCGCAGACCCAGTTTAGCGCTGCGCGCTTCGCTCCTTCGAGCACTCCAGCCGCTCCTTCCCGCGAGCGAGTGAGCGCGGTAGCTCAGGGTCAGCCTCGGAGCAATGTGGCTGACCCAGCAGCTCCCCAGCTTATTGCCGGGAAGCGCGGGACGGCCGGCGTGCCGGCCTTGAGCCCTCGGGGCGCTGGTGATCAAGCTGATCAAAAGCGTCCACGACGTCTGAGCAATCTTGGCGGATGGGCACCTCAAACTCCCATGAGTTCTCGGAGGGAGGGTACCCTCGCCATTTCACCAGATACTGGTTTTGACCCCGGCACCGCCCCTTCGCCAGGAGGCGCTCCACATGGTAATGCAGATTCCCATGCTCATCGAGCAGAGCCGGTGGAGGACGCGTCAACCCGTCTCGCAACGTCTGACGAGTTGCACGAGACTCAGCAACAGGCTGGTCGCCTTCGGGATCACGTCCACGACATTGACGCGCGTCTGGCTCGTTGTGCGACTGGTCTCGACAGGCTCGCTGAGCGGGTGGAGTGGCTTGGTGTGCCTCGGGCGGTCTGGGACCGGCTTGGGACCTTGGAGGACGACTTCGTTCGCCTGAACGGGTGGATGAACTACTTTCGCGATCGCGAAAAGCGACACGCTCGAGAGTTTACGGAGTTACAACGTAACCAGGCTGTGCTTCAGGGTCAGCTCGACCTTCTGGCCCGCATGCAGGCCCCGCCTGCTGCGCTTCCTGCGCCTGTGGCTCCTGCTGTGCACGCGGCACTCCCGCTTGTGGCCGCGGTGCCCGCGTTGATGGTCGCGTCTTCGACGCCTGCGACTGCGTCCTCGACGACCGCGACCTCCGCGCCTGTGACCTCGTCACCCTCGGTGCCTCCATCTGCACCTGCATCGGGTCCTGGTACGGCTTGAGCGAGCCCACATAGAAGGCGGGGTGCGTCCGCATCTTCTTCCGAAGATTGAGCGTGTACGCAAGGCCCTTCTTGGCCACAACCCGAGGGGCAAGATGATAAGAAGCTCCCGTAGAAAATCATGTTCGCTGAACGCACTAAGGTGCTGTACTACCACGATGCAGACTCACTCAGCGCTGACATTATGCTTGGTCTCAAGAAATTCGTGGAGTTCATGGAAAGGTTCTGCCAAGCCTGGTGGGAGTTGCTGCACCGGATCACAATCAACCTTGATCGGGATGATGCGTCCAGGACACTCTACAAGCTTCGCCGCAAGCGCACGGGTTCACTGATTCGCAGGTACAAAACCCAGCTCAAGAGCCTGCGGCAGATCAAGGATTTCCCTGAAACGCTCTTTCAAGAACCGGGGATCTGGTCGCTGCCTCAACGTGTCTGCAACTGGATCAGGGGGGACCCACGTTGTGTCGGTTGAGACGGCGAACCCAAACCGCTGCCTCAGCAACTCATTGAGCTGGACGACCGCGAGCCTACCCGCACTTTGTGGGCAACTGCGGCCAACGAGGTTGAGGGTACTCGGTACGTTTCAGCGGACCTTCGTGATAACCACACGATTGAGTTTCCACAGCGCGCTCGCAACTGGATCGCCCCTGGTCGCGCGGACAACGAGCCCAGCGAAGACGAAGAAGACGATGGTGAGGCGAACCAATTCGACGGCGAGGATGACAAAGAGGATGACGGTGAAGAAGACGTTGAAGGGCGAAAGCGAAGAGTGAATCGCTGGACGCACTTCTCCCTTCCGAACCCTGGACGCAGCTTTTGCATTTCTCCATCTGCATGTTGTAGCGTAGCCACGTATTGTCCAGGAATATATACTCAAATCTCCTCCGGCCTTCGTTTTTCGCAACACCTGCGTTTAGCCATTCAGGCTTGAAACCGGTTTTCAATCATGGTCCTCAGTTGACATTCTTCATTAATCCTTCCGCCGAAGTCACACTAGCGCGTAGCAGGCTGGCACCACTTTAGTTCTTCCACAGTATTAATTCACGTAAGTAATTCTGAGGCGAGGCGGGTGAACGCCCGATTGCCCACGTGTATAGTTGAACTCGCCCTGGAGGTGGACTCCCGAATGGGGACTACCCTAGTCGAAGGTAATGCTGAGGCGAGACGGGTGAACGCCTGTTGCCGCCCAGGTGTACAGTGGCCCGAAAAGTGTTTAGCCTTGTCCCCTCGAAACAACCCTGGACGAGCACTTGGTGTCGTCCCGGGTGGCGTGTGTTTCTTGTGGAATCCCTTTGGGTGTCGTTTGTCTTCGAACGTGAGACTTGCACTTGATGAGTTGTGGGAAACAGGATAATATCGCTAGGACCAGGAAGCAGAGCCAACGCACACTTCAGAACACAGCCCCCACAGCCTGGATCCGGAGAGATAGCCTTAACAATACAGAGTTATACACAAATATACAATACACACAACCGTCACTTATTCTTTGCTTGGCCCTTGGACGGTGGGCCCTACACACCAGTCAACAAAGAGGGTAGATCCAGGACACTGGCAAGCCCAAGACCCTCAATCAATCGCGCACCACCCTTAATCAAGAGGGAAAGAAGCCGAATCAATACAAAGCACAGTCATTCCTATCACTCAGGAGCCTATCAACAAATCACTGGGTGGTGACTACCTCAACCGCCCTAGGAGTATCTTAATATGAAATGGCAGTGCTGTCCAGGACAAACATCCCAATTAGAATATGAAATAAAGCTTATCAACCCTGGCCGTGCGACAACACAGGTACTTGCTTTAACTTGATTTGATACTTATTTTGAGAGCTCCACACACGACCCTTACGCTGTTAGCCGAGGTACCCTGAATGCAGGGGAACAACCGAAGACACAAGGCTCCTCTGAGTCTGAACCAGCTCGGCCCCCAACCGAAGACACTTGCGCTGTAGCAGGAAAAACGAACTATGTTTGGTCGTATCTTTGTAGGCTATCGCTAATCGTAACATGCAGTCCTGGAAGTTTTGTCTTGGTTTCAGTATGGGTTGTTGTCGGCTCGAGTCGAAAAGATCCAGCGAGGATCGGCAGCACAGCAGGGAGGGAGTCCAAGGTTCCATGTGCCGAGCAGATTATGGACGGTCGGCTTGGTCGGTCGTTATTGACTTGCGTTTGTATGGTCGGATCTTGGGAGCTCAGAGAGTAGTCTGTTCAGAATACACGTTGTCGATTCAGGGTACACGGGCATCGGTCAGGCAGCTTGAGCACTGACGAGTTTGGTCAGGCACCTCTTCCACTCTTGGGGCATGATTGGCTCGAGCTTGGTCCGGGGCTCATGGGCTGGCACACTTTTGGCTTGGTCCAGTCTGAACACACCTTGGTCACCCTGATTCAGGATACCGACTGCATATCCAGGTTGTACATAACACTTGAACCCTGCATCCGACCCGAATCAGGCAGTCAGCGTGGGGCTCGGGCTGAGATCCAGAGCCGCATCGTGTCAACCGCCCCTCTAGTCCTGGTCCTTCACCGAGGTCCATCACTTTCCGAGTTGACGGGTCATGAATAGACTCCACGACCACGTTGACAGTCTCGGGTGGGGTCTCGATCCTGGATCGTCACCTTTTGAGTGATCGCTTCACTCATTCGCGACAAATCGGCAGTCGCACGGCCAGCGTGGCTGTAACAACTCAAGCAGGCAAGACCACCCAAACAGGAAGCCTAACGCTATGATCGCCACGACCGCGGAAAAACTTTTTTTCATTCTCTCACCGGCTACTTTCCATTTAGTGGGGATACATTGCATTCTAGCCAGCTACATTGCATTTCCGATGGATTTATTTCATTCTGTACATTATTTGGTGTCAAGTTTCGTTTTAGGTCGAAAATTTAGGAAGCTCATTTGCATCTGATTGGATAAAAACGAACCTCAAAAACGGTTGCGAACCTCCAACAACTTCCTTGGAGGTCGAGCTCAGTTATTAGATCGATGATAGGCAAGCAAGTAAGGATCTCCTGGAGTGAAGACGGCGTGGATGGGGGCAAAAGCTCTATGGATATTTTTCTGGGCTGGATTAATTCATCTGGTGCCATGCCATAAAGATAATACTCTAGCCTCGACGAAGCTCGTTTCCGCAGTCTCCGATCAGCAAGGTAGTGCCTCGAATTGATGTAGTAGAAGTAGGATAGCAGCATCTCATCCTGGTCTTCAAACTCGCTTGCCGCACCCAGTGCATCGCGCTCTTTTTTCCAAATTAACCTTCGCAACAAATGCTTGCTCAACTTGGCCACCTCCTGCTGCCTGAACGATATCCTGAGCATCACGTCTAACAGGGTGTCTAAGGCGACAATTCCAGCACGGCCAAAGGACCCAAGCTCAGCACGAGCAGGTCTACCACTGCACGATAACTCCACCGCCAACACAGGCAGCTGCTGCAACCCCAAAACAGACGCCAACGTCAATCGCAGCAACTCTGCGCTCAGCTCTGGCAGTTGCTTGGCCAGCGCGGCAGCAGCTCCAGGCGCAGCACGCGCAGCGGCTCCAGGCTCGGCACGGGTAGCGACGTCAGGCTCAACACAGGAATCGACTCCACTCCAGCACGGGCAGCTGCACTAGGATCAACAGGGGCAGCAGCTCCAGGTTCAGCACGGGCAGCAGCACCTGGTCAACAGGGGCGGATCAGCGCTGGTCCAGCAGAGGAAGCCATCAGGGGCTGCAGTGGTAGCCGCTGGGGAAGCCTACAAGTTAAATAAGACAAAATAGACAACAACAGTTAGCTTAGCGAGTGTGGTGTTATCCCCAAGCAGCAGTACACGGCATACTTATCTGCGATCTCGAAGCCGCTCGAGGTCCAGTCGTGGCGCGAAACTCAAGTGCCATCTCGCGGGGGTCTCAAGCGCCGTATTTTCCCGATGGACATGATTGGTAGATATTCCGGAGCTAAGAACGGAGCTAAATCGAAACTTGACACCCACTACTTGACATGGCTGTTGCATGCATATCATATATTTTTCAGTTCAGGGCTTGCAGGTTTAACTGTTCGGTGCCGTACCGAAAAATAGGTGTGCTGCATCGACGCAAGTTTCTGGAACTGTAACATTTACAGTGTCGTCGTACTCGGCCACTACACTGCATCGCTGCAAAGTCCAACCTGAGGGTGAGGGCACATTGGCCGGAGTAGGAGCTACGGAAGTGGCGTATGCTAGAGATCGGCTTAGGTAAGGAACATTCTTAGGCAATCGCAACCTCGGGCAGGTCCGTAGGCCTGTCCCCTCCGTAAACCCGAACACGTACACATGCACGACGAGGACCCTTCACTTGTGCATACCCGCACTCCAGGTCCACCGTCCACTCGGTCGAGACGTCAACAATAGACACCCCGCATCCCGCGTCGTCGCTAACCACGCATCCGAGCCACGCTAGACGCACATCAACCCGTCTTCGCTCTCACTGTACTACTCGAGCCGTACCTCTCAATTACTCTCACGTTCCGCCGACGTCCCACACAGTAAAGGGCTCTCGCCCCAGAACAGAACGCTTAAGACCTCGCTTGGTGCTGGGTAAGGACGAATCCCTACGCGTAGTAGATTAGCTCCTTGGCTTAGACCGATCCTGTGCAAACTACAACTGAGAGGAGGGCGCACGACCGCGCACCCAGGTCTCTCACTTATCCTAGCCTAACTATAGCTACACCTACTTTCGCTATAGCGTCGGCCACCACCAGGGGTCTCCTGCTCGCTGGAAACCTTCCCTCGGCGACTCTCCGTAGTCACACTCCCCGCCGCTCGTTCCGCATCTTCCACGTCGCCGTCCTTGTTCGCATACTCAGGTCCTCATGTCCTTCACCGTGTCCTCCCTCTTGCCGTAAGCACGCCATCACCTGCGTACTGACGCCTCACTTCACTTGGCCGGTGACACCAGCCCTGGGGTCCTGCCACAGCACCCAGTCCGCCACCGAACGCATTTCGATCTTGGTCTGCTGCACACCCAGCAGGCCCAGCTTCAACTGCCCTCTTCACCGTCACTGCCCGTGAGATCGAATCGTCACTCTCACGGGGGTATCCGCCACTGCGCACTGCATCGTCGCCAGGAGCACGCGCCGTCCACAACAGCATTTCTGGCCTTTAAAGGTCGGACAAAGTTCGCGGCAGGTTTAAGTACAGAAGCCGCTATCATATGTTTTTCACCTAGGTGGTTTAAGTACAGAAGACGTTATTACATATTATTCACCTAGGTGTGAAGCTTACCTTGCGAGGTTGGTCTGGCATGGCACAAAGCAATTTGCCATGCCACGCGCACATCGACGCCGCTTCCACAACGATGATGGATATATTTTAGTAAATCGTTTTTTGGTATTTTATTTTTCGTTACAGTTATTTATTTAATTTCAGTTATCGTTACACATCCACCGCGCGCACGCACAGTTACTTCGCTCTGAATGGATTTTACATAGACACAAACACGTTCGACGCTACAGAGTGTATGAATGTGCGTGCATGGAGCTAGAAAATTATAATGTATACAAATATGTACGATTTGTTCAGAATAAATTATAGTGTGCGCGTCTGTCTCTCCATCACGACATCGATCGCGATGCGCCAAACCGCTTTCCGCTCGTTGAGCTATCATTCACTCTCGGTTTTTCCGGCAACCTCTCTAGACCTACAACCAACTCTCGGCTCATCAACACGCGCTTCTTCGTCAACTTCTGGCTCCGTCCTCGTCTTGGAATCCGACAGCACCTGGCATCGAGAGGAGGATCGCTACGTCACCCCGCTGTGTGTGGACCGCTAGTGCGATGGTCTCCACTAAGGGATCTACGAAGAATAGGTCACGAACGAGCGGCAGTGAGGAATTTATGGGAGTCGTAACGCGTCGTCGTTCCCGAGCAACTCGCCGGCGTCAACGTAGTGAAGAGACCAACTCGACCGCGGCTAGCCCCGGTAGTCCCGACTTGGATGAACCTTCATCGCACGATGGCAGCAGCGAGGAGTACCAGTACGAAGGCAGTGACAATGACTAGGACCCAGACGATTCGGACCAAGACGTGTTGTCGGAGATTTCTGAAAGCGAGAAGGCCGTCCTAACAGTACGACAAAGCCAGGGACTGACTATTGATGGGACGCTCGAACACCCAGCACGCTTTGAGTCTCTAGCCGAGGCTCGAGGGGTTTTCGATGGGCTCGAAAACGCACGATTCGCGCTGTCAAACAACAACAGTGTCACCAAACGTCTCTGGTGTACTTCACATGTCGATTGTACAGCTGAGGCACGTATCACTCTTGATCCCGACAGCAAGTTTCGGTTGTCGCGTAGTGGTATGCATACTGTAGTTGTGGCACCGATTGAGACACAGCGGACGGCAATTCACACACCATTACTTCCGGAAATCGCCGGTTTGCTGCTGAGAGGCCAAGGTCCCAAAAAGTGTTTGAACACCCTACGCATAAAATATGGTCTCTCCGAAGAAGTTATCGCCTTGCTGCCATCAGCTTCCCAAGTCCAAAAACAGAGCACACCGACTGCGAAGACGGGGGGATTTCGACCTTACCACCTACGCTGATATCATGGTTTAGGCGACGCCAAGACTCTGCACAACCCCAGCAGCATTTTGTGGTCCCTGGAGGAGATCAACACCATCAGAAAAAAGTTCAAGTGTGACTGCAAAGATTTCTACCAGACGGTATGGCTTTGTGCTCATGTACTAACATGCCTTCACCTCGTCGACACTCTTGATTTGGCGGTGATGCTTCGAGGGCTTCCAGCTCGCAGGCCTCCCGGTAGACCGCGCAAGAAGAGCAAATGTCTCCAGCGAGATGGTGTGAGAGCATCCCAATACTCCGTCGATGCCCTGGTGAAACGGCTTGTGGACAAGCCAGCAAGTGTTATCAACTGGAGCGTGCTAATTGACAAGACAGTGGCTGAGGCGGATGGCGAGGAGTCTCAGCGGACCTATGTTGGTAAGATTAAACCTCCCTTCACTAGGTGGAAAGCGGTTCTGGGAGATCGCGTACGAGGATCAAGACGAGGTGACTGTCCTGGTGGTTGAAGCTCTTGCAAGGACGATCGACTTTTCCTTCCAGATGGGGCACAAGATTGTCCCCAACTAGTGCATACCTTCGATACAACAGCGGTAGCGTGAAGATCCAGCAAAATAGTAATTGGACGGCATAAGGCTAGACGTAGTGAGCACTTCGGGTGCTACGAACTAAGGACCGAGAAACCCGGACATTTGCTATACATTTTTCAATAAATGTAATATAACCCCTCAATGAATGCAACAACACCATCAAAATGGAAACTAGCCAATATAAAATGAAAAACAGTCTTTTTGACCATAAATGAAAAGTAGCCGATGAAAGAATAAAAAAACGCGCCCCACGACCGCTACGAATGACAAGTATTCAAGGTGGTTAGAAGATGTGGCTAGAAGATGTGGTCACGCTACCTTGCGACCCCATAAGTTTAGAACCCTTTCAAAACCTAACGTAAATAGAGGATCTCTTCACCCCCGAAAAAAAATTTCAGGGTAAAAATGACTAGACATGCGAAAGCGCAACAATTGCTAAGAATTTATATAATGCGCCAGGATTCTCGTAAAGGTATCGCTCATGAAGCCGCCTAGGCTCATAGCGCTTCTTATCACTTGCTAGGCAAAAGAGGTGGTGAGTTCGGGCGTATACCGCGGGCTCGTATCCTAGAGATCTAGCGATACGACCACGGAGATGCAGGTGCGCGTCTCAGGTAGCCGACTAAACTGCAGCAAATTCAAAATTCTAAGAGGCGGTGGTAGTTAAACTTCCAGCGATCGAGGTTGCGGTCCGATTCCTCTTCGATTGTCGTGATATGCCCCCAAAAGTCAGCGAAGCACTCCAATGTTGCTGGTAGTCGACGACTACCCAATCAACGACCAGTAGGGAAACACATGGTGTATCAGCTATCTATAGCACTTCCTAAAGTTATATTTGAGTTTTGTATTTAAGCATCTTCTTTGCAATTTTAAACAGCATCTCTCGAAGCAGATCAGATGTACACTCCCCATTTGCTTCGCTCCCCCCTGCTAGTTCTGCTTACATGTCACCTACCTTCGCTGCAGTGACTGGAAGAGGGGGCGACAAATGTCGGCTCCACACCCCTGTGTCGTCTTGTCCTCTTTTAGCGCGGTATCTAGTGATATATACGGTATTCCCCCTCCTTCAGATGAAAAGAAACGTTTTAAGTTGAAAGTAGATAATTGAAAAATTGGGTGAACGGATACATTTCATTCTTATCAGCGAGGTGCATGTTGTAAGATGATACCCGCACGTCTCTAGCACACTTAGACCTTGGTCGTACGGTGATACCAATCTACCTCTGTTAAGAACGCTCCTTATCATTGGGGAAGAAGTCCCCCTTATAATCATGCGACTCCGATTTAGGGAGTTTTTACGTCTCTCATATACACTCCGCTTTACTTTTTACATTAATTCTGAGAATGCGTTAGGGTCCCAATTTAGAATCGCTCACATGGGGACCAAAAAATGAAAAAAAAACCTCGGTTAAGCGACATTTGATGGCTAATAGAAGGTGGTATAGGATAGGATCATCTCGAACTGAACCGACGTCACTATCCAACAATGCCATAAAATCAGAGGGTCGAAGTTATGAGACAGCAAATTCGAATGGAGAACATCAAAAATAGACTTAAACGTGACATTTTACCCTTATTTGGACCCGCTAGGGCCCTTTATTATGCATATTTGCGTGCTAAACTTTATGTCGTCGTTAAAAGGGTCGCTCTGCGGCCGCTGGTAAGAAGCGAAGCTTATTAAGGGTAAGAATTATGCAATCCCCTTATTAGGACTACGGTCCTTATTAGGCGACAATTGACGTCAAATTATCTGCTTTCAGAGGGGAAAAGGTTTGATAGGAAACAATCACTCAGCTGGATTTCGGCAGTTCCGCCCGCGCCTCCTCCCGAAGAGTCGTCCCATACTTTTACCCTTTGGTTACCATAAAAATACATTAGGTCCTATTGTGCAAAAGACGGTTCAAAAGATTGTGTACCCATCGGACGCCATAGTGGAACCAATATATTGTCGGGGCTCTTACCGTGTTTTGAAACGACCGCAACATTGATATTTCGGTCCTTTCTGGCTACAGGGCGTGATTTTTAACAAATCACAATTGAGAAAAGCTGGCAGACAGCGTTGTGTCTCCTGAGGTGCCCGCAAGATCTTCGAAAGAGGGGGCGGCCCCGCTCCAACAACCTAGACAAGTGTCATCTCCATGCGCGCGCCATTGGTGTGAGGGTTGTGCAGCCGTATAACAAGCCAACATGCAGACAGCGCATCATGCTAGCACGAGCGGAGGTGAAAGTATCATTCATACGTTGTTAACGGTAGCCTGGTACACCTGTGGTTCGAATGCTGGTACACTTGTATTTTACTAAAGTGTAATAGCAGAATGTGCACTGCACACTGGCACAACGAAAAGTGAGTGAGGGGTTAACGACATGGTTTCAATGTTTCAATTTCGTGGTCTGTTCATTTTCAGTGTGAAAATACGAGCGAGTTATTACTGTAAGCGTTTGCGATCCATTGCGAAATTCTTCCTCCAGGTGTCATCTGCACACAGCCGCAATGGCCAATGTTGTTGTCGCGACTGTGGCATACAGGGCTGCTAAAACTGTTAGTCTACACGCGTAGGTAGATAACCTCATACTCATGCACGTTGAACACAATAAGGAAATATATATACTTAACGATAACGAGCTCAAAATAATGTTGTTGAGCCCGCTATCGTGCTATCAGGCGTGCAAGTAGGGTATCAAAGCAGATCTGCGACGCTCGAGATCTGCCCAACAGGACTGCAATTGAGTTGACAAATGCAAATCCTTAGTCGAGCATATTTCCACGAGCAACGCAATGAATGAATTAACGCAGACTAGAAAGAAGCAAATAATCGGAGCCTTTAGCGTGTTACTTAACCCTTTCGTTACCGCCATACTGTTCTATATTAAGCTTCCAATACAAAGTTCAAGTCAAACCTGCAAAACCGTACCTAAGGTAAGGTTTAACATAATCTAATCTCAGAGGATTTTCGTTTATTATGCGATTTACTAATGTGATCTCAGAGGTATTTTCGCTTAATCATACATTGTGTCTGGTTTTGCGAGACGCACTATGATTCGCCGAAACTCTTCGGTCCATCACAAATGTGTCAGTACAAGCAGTACCGTGGGTAACATCCATTTTCAATCTTCAGTAGGTTCAAGAGCGCAAGGTTTGATGTGGCCACAGTCGTTTCCAGGGAGCAGCAGGAGCCATGTCCAGTTCGGTGAGAGCGCCGAAGCCATGCGCTGGACGAAGGTCAAGTCGTGGAGGACATGCGGTTGGGAACGGAGGTTGATGCTGCTGGTGTAGTATCCGACGGACGAGCCGCTAAGGTGAGCTGTAAATTGACTAGATGAAAGGTGTCTTTGTCTTGCGCGCGAGTCACTGAGAATTTGATGCCTCCTCAAGTCTGCAGAAAGACCTGGCGAAGGATTCACCGGGGCAAGGAGCATTTCCAAGCTGCAGCAGCGCCTGTTTTGCGTTTCGTTGTCTCTAGTAGAGACTGTGTGAGCCCATCGCGAGGTCAGCATCAGGGCATGGGGACTGAGCCTATCAATTACAGCCGAGCTGGAGTGGAAGCTTCTGCAACGTTGTTATTCTGTCGACAATTCCTTTGGCAGCGCCGCGTCCTACCCAAACAGCCTCGCCAGCTACTCTCACGATTTGACTCGCATATCTCGATCCGGAGCTGGCTGTATCGCTGAGTCTAGCAGAGCCATCCCTCCTGAATTGAGCACGTGCACGTAGTCTCGCCTGTTCGCGATCGGGACCTTATCGACATCGACGAGAACAGCAACACCAAATCACATAAGGGGAACATGAATGAAATCATTAGCAACGACGGTGGCGGCGATTCCCGACCGAATGGTATGGGGTTGAACCGAGTCGACCACACGGAAAGAACTGTGTTTACGCTTGTAAGCTACCAGGCGTCTACGTGTGAGCAAGTGACACTAAGCATACATTGTAGTGGTAGTTAGGGCGAAGATAACAACGTAATATCTATTTCAATATGCGCTTTCGTAGCAAGTAACAACACAGGCCGAGTGTAGCCTATCTACCCGAATAGATCCTCGATGCGATCGCCGAGGTACAACCGAGAGGCAGGTAAACCATACAGAGCCTCCAGTGACATTCCAAACGGTTGGGTCCTTTGCCACTCCGAAGACGAATAGACGTCACACATGCTGCATGGACATCGCTACCAGGTAGATGAGTGTGGGACCTCAGCCACACGATATCCATGGCGATAAGCAAGTCTTGTTTCTAATTGTACCATCGCTCTTGACGTCGTCCTTGCATCACGTGGGTCTGTATCGTTTTCCAAGCAATGGACTCATCGTCGCACATTTGATGATATTGCTCGATGTGCTCGTCTAGGAAATCCCGTCTTCTCAGTCACGAAGCTCTGTGAAATCTCATACGAGCACGAATGTCTTCGCGTGAAATCTGCAACAAGCACAAGTAAGTAAGATTATAATGGAGATGCTCAGCATTCTCCTTACCTCTGAGAGTTCCATGCAAGAATTCAGCCAGCGAAGCATCCACAGATAGTTGTGAACAGATGCCACTTGTCGACATGAAAGTCGTGCATTTCTTTTACAGGTAGTGATGCCACGAAGACATCGATATCACCTGATGAATTCCAGCTGGACTCGTTGGGCTTGGATCAATAGAAGGTGTTAGAATATCTTCATCGACGAGGAAGCAGACTCGAACGTACCCGGCCCTTCGTTGGCACGAACACTGGATACAACGTGTCGAATTCTACGTCTTTCCCGCAACTAAAACGCGCGAGCACCTGAGGTAAAGCATGCCACATTATAAATCCCTTATTGCAAACTACAGCATAAAGGTTGTGTTCATACCTCGTCCTGACCGCTTGGCGTTTTGTACATAGACCTCCCATTCGGCGCCAAACTCTTGGACGGCGGAGGTAGCATGAACGCTCCTCTGTCGCTCCTCCGATCGACCATTTCGCAACGGTCTGAGTGCTTGGATGTGTATCGGCAAATGACGAAAATCCCCCCTCGCAAAGATCGGCTCACAAGGTCAAGGGGTCTTCGAGACCAAATGTCTCGATGTTTCTATGCGGTCTAAAGATCTTCCCTCAGCTGGGATCCATGGGTTGAAACTGAGAACAATACTACGCAGCAGTTGTTGACTGTTGGGCAAGGAACCAAACAGCGAATCCTGGTTAGAGCTCAAAGCCGTAGCAGAGCAGTGCGCGAGTGTGTTGTGTGTCGCTTCGAAGGCAGACGACCAACCCAGAAGACCGATTACTGTGAGCAGCCCAAGGTAGCGTTGTGCAAGCGTCGATATGAGGTCGACCCTACGAAATTGCATCTTTGCCAAGAACCAACTTGGACGTGCTGGCAAAAGTACCATGAATACTATTTCCCGAAACGCGTCTACAACCCCCAAGGTCGTTTGATGCGCAGCTCTCCAATTTACCTGGCCCAAGCCCCGTTTCTAAAGCAGAACAAGAAGCCCAGCCGCGATGCTCAAGCTGACGAAGAGACGGAGAGGAACACACCATGCTCAGAGCGTCGTTAGATGTGTCTGATTGAAGAAGTTACTACCAGCAACCCTACGTTGTCAATAAATTGTGTTTGGCCCTCCACTTGCTCAATAATCCCACCACTAATTATTGAGGTTGCAGCCGTCGCCTGAGTAGAATCCAAATGCAACGACGGACGCGGGTGGCAGAGCCGAATCTCGTCACCGACTGCGCTCACTCCGTCGTCGAGCCACGGTGTGCAATAGATCGCCCCTTGAATAGCGGCGCAACAACGTTATCAGTAGCAGCACAGTCATCTTCAGCAGGAACTTCGATCGTGGGGATCGGAGCTACTCGCGAGTGTCGCGCTCTTGCAACAGAGGTGCCTCCAACGGTGGGCAACGCGTATGCTGTCATGGCGGACAGCACGAACAAGAAGACCAATGTCGAGCACGGCACCGATGCTGTCATGGCTGGCACCACGGAAGAGACGACCAACAGTGAGCTCGACGCCAACGCCACCACGTCAGACAGCACGAACGAGAAGACCAACGGCGAGCACTGCGACCGTGCCGCCGTGTTGGACAGCACGACGAGAGGCCTAATAGGGAGCACGGTGACGAGCCCAACGACGGGCATGACGCCCGTACCGTCACGTCAGACAGCACGGCGGCGAGACCAACGGCGAGAATAACGCCCGTGCAGTCGCGACAGGCACAAAGGCGAACGGCGAGCTCGATGCCAGCATGCTGGCCTCAGCGGCGAGGAGACGGCAACGGTGAACACGACACCCGTGCCGCGATGTCGGGTGTCTACTTGGGAGCGCTGGCGGTCGAGGCTTGAGCAAAATGTGTCAAATTTTGAAATGAGCATGGATTGCAATCACGCCGCGCGCGCAGCTTGAAGGACGCCGATTGGAATCACGCCGCGCGTACAGCGATTGGAATCACGCCGCGCGCGCACGCGAGCTGATTGGCGGAAAAACAAGAGCTCGACGCTCTGATTGGCGGAGTAGGATGTTACCGGCGTGCCGATTGGCGGAATGGCCGAAAAGCGAACCCCAGGCGAAAGCTTAGTTTGGCGCGAAGATCGGTTTCATGGATCCGACCGACGCCATCGTTGTCAGCTGTAATCTGATTGGATGAAGTGGTTGATGTTTATCTACTTCAACCCTGAATTATCATTCTGAATTATCACTCTGAATTGTTACTCTGATATATGTCCACCATATACACTCCTGTTTACGTTGTGCTATTGGCGTCGAGAAGTACCGGTCTCATATTGACCACGATATGAACAATCAAATTCGCGTATTTCGTTTAGGCGTAATGCAATCTATCTCAGTGGCGTCAAAGTTGTGGTAAGGTGACCAGAGTCTAGATTCGTGATTAAACATCCGCATTGCAGGCAACTACTGCGGATGATAGTGCGCTTGCGGTTCCATACGTGTAGTGGCTGCGCCATTCTGTTTATATTGACGAATAACGAGATCCTTCGAGCCATTCGGTTTTGTAGTTTACGCACCAGACATTTTACGCCGAATGTGTTGTTTGTCGTAACAACCTCGAAGAGGGCGTCCATTTCTTCATTCCCAAAACGCACCCCAACCCCCCCCCCCCAAAAAATAACCAAACGTCAAACCTCATATTTAGGAACCATGAACCTAACTTTTACTAAGACCCATTATATATATAGCTTAGAGTAACCAGCCGCGCTGCGCTTGGCTGGGCGCCCCTTCTGCGCCCCCGCTGTTCGCTTCGCTCGCGATAAAAAGATTCTCTCACCTGGCGAGTGCAGTGTTCGGCTCGCTGGAATGCTCGTCGCTGGGCCCGCCTCCGCAAATACCGCGCGGGCTTGCTGCGGCTACGATCCTCGCAACCGCTCACCTCCGTTGGTCGGGCGCTATCGCGCCTCGGGAATATTACACAAAAATTAGCCTAATATTTAGTTACCCCAATACTAAGAGTTATTTATTTTTTGGGGGCAGTTTGGGGGGCGTTTAATTGGGATTTTGGGGAGTAACAAACCGTTTTTATTGAAAGTCCCCAAACAGTTTGGGGAATTTTAGGTGACTTTGGGTACGTTTTGGGGATGATGAAAGTTCTCCCTCGCAGAGTGCATCGAAAACATTTTGAATGCCCTATTCACCGAAGCGCAATAGACTTCACAAACCAGCGAGGTCGCTCTCTGACAGAACCGAACACGAGGGGTACAAATGGCGGCAACAGCACCACCACCGACATGACGACGAAGCCAACCATGCAGTTAAAAACCAGTTGAACGGTGACTAGATCTTGGCAAGTACGGACGGTACGAGCAACATCGCTTCTGGCCATCCGGTACAGCAAATACCGCGCTTGTGCTTACGACTCGACGCCGACGGCTGCCACCAAACACAGTACCGCAGATTGATATCGCCCACGGAATTATTCTGTTCATATGCTACTGTGTTATATTGGAATCAAACATGTATCTTCACGATCGACATGATGATGTATCGCTCATTACATTCATCTGTAACCTTAGCACATGCTAACTACAAATGTAGTATTATTACATTCGCAGGACCAGTGCGTCGTCTTCAACCTCAGGCCACTTGTAAATCGTTTTGACTCAACTTCGTCCACGTCAATGTGGCCTCGATAGTGGCCAACATAGCCGCCAACGTTGCCAACAGGTCTTCAATTCGCCGTCTATCAATATAGTGTAGCATTTACAGTGCCACGCGTGAATTGCATCGAATATAACGCCCGTCGAGGTAATATCGCTCGCGAACGCTTATCATAGGCCTATTTCTAGCCGAGCGCATGGCAAAACGTTGAAGTTTCCCGTGTGCACTGCTCCCTCGAGGCCGCCGTGGTTCCTATCAAATACCGGCTTAGTTTCGCAAATGCGAGTCGATGAAGCACCGTAAGATACAAAATTGGACACGTCCGAAGGTTGGGTGTCTTCTCTAAGGAAATGCCTGGTCTTAGGAAACGGGTAGACCATACCAATACCAAAAACGCTGTAGAAAGCGAGAGCTTCACGGCAGAATAGCTCGAAGTGGATAGAGTTCATAATCTTCGCATCGCAGGCGTAGTGGCACGATTAGACGAGAGCAATACCAATGCTTATGCATACGGTACCGCGATCATGTGTGTGGTGGCTAAAGCTTCGCTACGGGCACTAGCTTCTAGTGCTTAATGTACCAATATGCACTGTGTAGCTTTGCAGACCACGTGACAGAAACTTGGATTGTCTGGTGGAGACTCCAAACCGCACAGAACGGTCGCTTGCAATCCTCGCGGTGGCGCCCGCACAATTTGTCCATGGTGATGGCATGAGCTAGTCTTGGCGCCCTGGTAACGAAGGTTTCGAGTGCGAGATTACTTGATGGATCGAACACGAGGTTGTTCGAGAACACTACGGTGCTCGCCTGCATTGCAGTCATTGTCGTGTTGCGTAGATGGCGAATGTCGTCGTCATGAACGCAGATTTTGGTCAATCTTAAGTGAGAATCCTTTGCGGAGGCAACGATACTCTTTGACAGCTCCGCTAGCTCCCTTTGTACCTCCAATCCAACGCAGCAACCGACGTTCGACTCCAGAGCTACTTGGGCGATGACATTCCCGATTCCAGATCCAACATCCAGAAAAATGTCAGTGGCCTTCAGTATAGGGAGCGCAGACAGCATCGAGGTCACTCCAACTTCTGAAATCTCGCCTGTATGCTGATCGGGATCTCGGCGTCTCGGGGCGACCTGTCATCGAGAAACAGCTCGGAAGAGCTCCCCCATGGCACGATGAGAACAGTCCGCCACGCTTCCCACGGAAGTATTGGTCCGAATGCTGCGATGCACTTATCCGCGTTGCGCACCAGTAAAGAACTGTCTGGGGAAACGATCTAAACGTGTTCCGTGAGTTCGATTCAGCGTTGTTAGCCGGATCTGCAGTTGATGCTGTGTTTTTCCGGCAGATTTCAATTCTCGCCACACTCGATTCCAATCGATCTTGTGCCCTTCATCGCGCTGCTGTTTAGCCAGCCGAAAAAGCAGTCGATCCTCTGCATCGGAGAAGTCGGCCATGTTAGGCTTTCCAATCCAATTCGAAACTGAACCATACTCAGGTCTTGAAATATGGTCCAGAGGGCACTGGATCATATATCAGAGAAACAATTCAGAGTGGTAATTCAGAATGATAATTCAGGGTTGAAGTAGATAAACATCAACCACTTCATCCAATCAGATTACAGCTGACAACGATGGCGTCGGTCGGATCCATGAAACCGATCTTCGCGCCAAACTAAGCTTTTGCCTGGGGTTCGCTTTTCGGCCATTCCGCCAATCGGCACGCCGAGAACATCCTACTCCGCCAATCAGAGCGTCGAGCTCTTGTTTTTCCGCCAATCAGCTCGCGTGCGCGCGCGGCGTGATTCCAATCGCTGTACGCGCGGCGTGATTCCAATCGGCGTCCTTCAAGCTGCGCGCGCGGCGTGATTGCAATCCATGCTCATTTCAAAATTTGACACATTTTGCTCAAGCCTCGACCGCCAGCGCTCCCAAGTAGACACCCGACATCGCGGCACGGGTGTCGTGTTCACCGTTGCCGTCTCCTCGCCGCTGAGGCCAGCATGCTGGCATCGAGCTCGCCGTTCGCCTTTGTGCCTGTCGCGACTGCACGGGCGTTATTCTCGCCGTTGGTCTCGCCGCCGTGCTGTCTGACGTGACGGTACGGGCGTCATGCCCGTCGTTGGGCTCGTCACCGTGCTCCCTATTAGGCCTCTCGTCGTGCTGTCCAACACGGCGGCACGGTCGCAGTGCTCGCCGTTGGTCTTCTCGTTCGTGCTGTCTGACGTGGTGGCGTTGGCGTCGAGCTCACTGTTGGTCGTCTCTTCCGTGGTGCCAGCCATGACAGCATCGGTGCCGTGCTCGACATTGGTCTTCTTGTTCGTGCTGTCCGCCATGACAGCATACGCGTTGCCCACCGTTGGAGGCACCTCTGTTGCAAGAGCGCGACACTCGCGAGTAGCTCCGATCCCCACGATCGAAGTTCCTGCTGAAGATGACTGTGCTGCTACTGATAACGTTGTTGCGCCGCTATTCAAGGGGCGATCTATTGCACACCGTGGCTCGACGACGGAGTGAGCGCAGTCGGTGACGAGATTCGGCTCTGCCACCCGCGTCCGTCGTTGCATTTGGATTCTACTCAGGCGACGGCTGCAACCTCAATAATTAGTGGTGGGATTATTGAGCAAGTGGAGGGCCAAACACAATTTATTGACAACGTAGGGTTGCTGGTAGTAATTTCTTCAATCAGACACATCTAACGACGCTCTGAGCATGGTGTGTTCCTCTCCGTCTCTTCGTCAGCTTGAGCATCGCGGCTGGGCTTCTTGTTCTGCTTTAGAAACGGGGCTTGGGCCAGGTAAATTGGAGAGCTGCGCATCAAACGACCTTGGGGGTTGTAGACGCGTTTCGGGAAATAGTATTCATGGTACTTTTGCCAGCACGTCCAAGTTGGTTCTTGGCAAAGATGCAATTTCGTAGGGCCGACCTCATATCGACGCTTGCACAACGCTACCTTGGGCTGCTCACAGTAATCGGTCTTCTGGGTTGGTCGTCTGCCTTCGAAGCGACACACAACACACTCGCGCACTGCTCTGCTACGGCCTTTGAGCTCTAACCAGGATTCGCGGGCAACACAAGTGGGAGCGATTGGTTCTGTTGCCTTGGTCTCGGTTTCGCCTTCCGCGCTGCTTGAGTCAACACTTGAGTAAGTGCAGGATCCCGTGTACAACATGCCGTCGTCGTCGTCCAGCGATTCAGTCCATGATCCATCAAACATCTCGCGAACTAATGATGCCACAAATGATCGGTGTTTATCGCGCCCACTACGAGTAGAACCTTCCTCATCACCACCCAGTAAGTCTTCTTCTCCATTCCATTTATCCTACTCCGCCAATCAGAGCGTCGAGCTCTTGTTTTTCCGCCAATCGGCGTCCTTCAAGCTGCGCGCGCGGCGTGATTGCAATCCATGCTCATTTCAAAATTTGACACATTTTGCTCAAGCCTCGACCGCCAGCGCTCCCAAGTAGACACCCGACATCGCGGCACGGGTGTCGTGTTCACCGTTGCCGTCTCCTCGCCGCTGAGGCCAGCATGCTGGCATCGAGCTCGCCGTTCGCCTTTGTGCCTGTCGCGACTGCACGGGCGTTATTCTCGCCGTTGGTCTCGCCGCCGTGCTGTCTGACGTGACGGTACGGGCGTCATGCCCGTCGTTGGGCTCGTCACCGTGCTCCCTATTAGGCCTCTCGTCGTGCTGTCCAACACGGCGGCACGGTCGCAGTGCTCGCCGTTGGTCTTCTCGTTCGTGCTGTCTGACGTGGTGGCGTTGGCGTCGAGCTCACTGTTGGTCGTCTCTTCCGTGGTGCCAGCCATGACAGCATCGGTGCCGTGCTCGACATTGGTCTTCTTGTTCGTGCTGTCCGCCATGACAGCATACGCGTTGCCCACCGTTGGAGGCACCTCTGTTGCAAGAGCGCGACACTCGCGAGTAGCTCCGATCCCCACGATCGAAGTTCCTGCTGAAGATGACTGTGCTGCTACTGATAACGTTGTTGCGCCGCTATTCAAGGGGCGATCTATTGCACACCGTGGCTCGACGACGGAGTGAGCGCAGTCGGTGACGAGATTCGGCTCTGCCACCCGCGTCCGTCGTTGCATTTGGATTCTACTCAGGCGACGGCTGCAACCTCAATAATTAGTGGTGGGATTATTGAGCAAGTGGAGGGCCAAACACAATTTATTGACAACGTAGGGTTGCTGGTAGTAATTTCTTCAATCAGACACATCTAACGACGCTCTGAGCATGGTGTGTTCCTCTCCGTCTCTTCGTCAGCTTGAGCATCGCGGCTGGGCTTCTTGTTCTGCTTTAGAAACGGGGCTTGGGCCAGGTAAATTGGAGAGCTGCGCATCAAACGACCTTGGGGGTTGTAGACGCGTTTCGGGAAATAGTATTCATGGTACTTTTGCCAGCACGTCCAAGTTGGTTCTTGGCAAAGATGCAATTTCGTAGGGCCGACCTCATATCGACGCTTGCACAACGCTACCTTGGGCTGCTCACAGTAATCGGTCTTCTGGGTTGGTCGTCTGCCTTCGAAGCGACACACAACACACTCGCGCACTGCTCTGCTACGGCCTTTGAGCTCTAACCAGGATTCGCGGGCAACACAAGTGGGAGCGATTGGTTCTGTTGCCTTGGTCTCGGTTTCGCCTTCCGCGCTGCTTGAGTCAACACTTGAGTAAGTGCAGGATCCCGTGTACAACATGCCGTCGTCGTCGTCCAGCGATTCAGTCCATGATCCATCAAACATCTCGCGAACTAATGATGCCACAAATGATCGGTGTTTATCGCGCCCACTACGAGTAGAACCTTCCTCATCACCACCCAGTAAGTCTTCTTCTCCATTCAGCTCCGGGTTGGACGCTAACCGATGACAAATATACGCGTTACACCTTGACTTTTTGCGGAATGAGGCGAGTGTCGTCAAGCACACTGCGGATAACGCTACGGATCGGTTGTGTAAGCATTTGATTCACGCAATCTGGCCCAACGCATCGGTTGAACCTATAAACCCAATACATTTTCCAAGTCAGAGCCCATCTAGAAATCCAGGTTGGATGTGCGAGCAATCGCCCGGGAAGTTGACGTCCCCGGGCGATTGATTGTATTGCTACCGAACCAGCGTACTGATAAGGTCAGGATTCCCAGGAGATCCTCAGTGGTTGACCTTCCCTCTGATCCAAACAACCGATTCGAAGGGGGTACACAAGGTGCGGTAACTGACCGAGTCCCAGTAAAGGTCCCGGGAACTCACGGCCCCGGATAAATCCCTCGTCCGGGCGGGCCGTCTATGTACTAGGAGATTCGCTCTCTCTAGTTCCCTAGATTCTCTGTCTAGGAACGCAACCCGGGAACTGGCGGAGTGTCGAGGGCGAAAGCTCAAGGCGCTACATCACATTTGATTCCCCCCAAAAATCGAGGCTATGTTCACACCATATGTCTACATATGTCTCGTACTACATGTATACACATGCTATTAGTACAAATTTCAATGTGACCTTTTATGAGTTTTTTATGCACGTTGGAGTGGTGGCAACACCACCGTTGGCGGCACAATGAACCTCGTGTGGAGTTCACTCGGCGCAGCTGTTGCTCATGAAAACTTGCATGTAGGGTCCGCTGTCGTTCAAGCTGCGCGCTTGCACTGGAATTACTGGTAATTGTGCTTTTGTCTTTGATATAGCGACCAAATCTTGTGTTGCGATAGCGATTTGCACCATTTTTCCAGAGATGACGTTTGGTTCTTCATCTCAACTAAAAACTTAGCGGTGTCAACATGTACTGGTTGTCTACAATGCTGAAGTTACAAGCTTTCTATTGCGGGTCTTCTTGCCATGATCCGCGAAGTAGTTTTAAAGTTATGGTCTGAAATATCAGGTTGATGTATCATTTCATTGTGCCAGTACAATAGTTCGAAGAACTGTGTTAGGGGGCCTTAGAAAAGTTTTATCCTGCAACATAATAGTCAGCGTTTTTAAGTTCGCAGTTCGAACTGTGTTAGGGAAAGGCTTAGGGGGCCTTTTTGGAAAAGTTTGAAGCACTGACATCTTTTGCTTGATGTAGCAGTGCATACCAGTACAGGCCTTTTTTTACTTTTACTTACACTAGTGGAGCATCACGGTCGCTGCGCTCATGTTGCTTTAGGGGACGACCCCCAAAACGATTTTGACCACAGAGTTTTGGAGGACGTCCCCACTCCAGGAATTTGAGTACTTCCCTGTCACGTTCCCCATTTTCTTGGCTATTTTGCAAACAAAGTCCCCCTTCAACCCAAGCACCAAGCACCATGGCCGCCTACCCCGCCACGTTCAAGGCCTACGAGTACTACAAGTACGGCGACGCCATGGAGGAGATCAAGTTCAATGCCAACGTGACCCAGAAGCCGCTCAAGGCCGACGAGCTGCGCGTCAAGGTCTTCAGCGCCGCCGTGAACCCCGTGGACTACAAGCTGGTCACGTACGGCCCGCACATCCTGCCGCACACGCCCACGGCCGAGAACCCCTTCCGTGTGGGCTTCGACATGGCCGTCAAGGTCGTGGAGGTGGGCAGCGACGTCAAGGACTACAAGGTGGGCGACGAGATCTTCGCCATGCCCGGCTTCGTCAGCTTCGGCACCTTCGGCGAGTACATCAACATTGAGACCAAGTACGTGGCTCCCAAGCCCAGCAGCATGTCGTGGAACGAGGCGGCCGGCGTGCCGCTGGCCGGCCAGACGAGCTGGCAGGCGCTCGTCACCTACGGCAAGCTCCAGAAGGGTCAGCGCGTGCTCATCCTGGGCGGAAGCAGCGGCACCGGCGTGTTCGGCATTCAGATCGCCAAGGCGCTGGGTGCTGAGGTCATCACGACGTGCAGCCACCGCAACGTGGAGCTGGTCAAGTCGCTGGGCGCCGACCAGATTATTAACTACACCAAGGAGAAGTGGAGCGACGTGCTGGCCGAGCACTCGATCGACTTGATCTACGACTGCGGCATGAGCCGGCCTCGTGGAATGACGCCGCGCAGAAGGTGCTCAAGGAGAAGACCGGCATCTTCGTGACAATTCTGACGGTCGACAAGCCCATCGAGTCGCCCATTGGAGCTACCTTTCACCAGATCTTCAACGCGCCATGCACCGAGTACCTGCTGGAGGTCAAGAAGCTGATTGACGCTGGCAAGGTCAAGACGATCATCGACTCGGTGCACCCGCTCGAGAACGTGATGGAGGCTTTCAAGGTTCAGATGTCCAGCCGCGCCCGGGGCAAGATCATCATCGAGATCGCCAAGGAGTAAGCAGTCACGAAGTGCCAATTGGATGTAATACTGTAGAAACATAAAAATCAACGGAGTGTTGGCCTATACACAACTGTTCTGATTGAAAACCGTGTCACCTCGGTAGAACATGCAAAACTGTTTGGTTTCGGGGACCCCGGCAGGTTATCCTATCTATTGATGCATCTGCACATCTCGTGCGTGCAGCACGAGGCGAAGCGGAATGGTGAATCCCCATCCTGCTTCGCCTTCCCCATTAGCGAGTAGGTGATCTATTGCGAAATTCGTTGTTGTATTTGGGACAGCCTACGCGCCCAGGTTTCCCAGGTTAGAAACATACTCAGATTTCTGATTATGCAGGTATTGTCCAGGTGATGCCCCAGGTTATATCCAGGTATATGAATTATGAGCGTTATCAGATGAAAGTAATTTAAACAAGGATGGTTAAATTACCAGAACAGTTAATGTCCAGGTTAAAAACCTGGAAAACTCATGTGCGTAGTACTTGATGAAAAGTGAAAATGACGGCCTACAGGCTGTGTCGGATGCATTCTAGCCATTCATTTCCTGTTTCAGTGTCTAGGTAGTTTGCAGGTATGCAACCTGGAAAACTCATGTGTGCACTACTCGGCAAAAAGTCGAGGTGCGTCGATTGGTATCGATCGGAACCACATGACGTGATAATGGCTTCAAAACAAGCAGCATGTACTCTTCTACTCGTACAGGTTTCTTACAGGTTGCAAACAGAAGTTGTCCATGTATTATCCATAAGATGCACTGCTCGCTGCCGTTCACAGCATAACTACGCTTCATCGTGATGATCTTGTGCAGCATTGCCCAGCGCAGCTTGGTGATGTCACTGGGAGACACATCACCTGGCACTTCGCTGTCAACGCTCGTCCACAATAGACGGAACACCCCGCAGCTATCGCTATCTGTCTGCTTCGGCCCCGTCACTTCGATGTCGCTGTAAGCTTCTTCCTTAAGGGGATCTGCGAGGAGCTCGCTAGCCATCTTCTTAAGTCGTTTCTTGTTTCTCTTCCCACCCATGCTGTCAAACGTCTTCACTTGCCGCCCTTCACGGTCCACTACGGTGCATCCCAATGAACCCCGCCAAAATTGACCGGCATAAAGACAAAAGCATGCGCCTCAATGCCATTAGCAACCTCGTCCAGTGAAGTTGGCGTGAGTATGTGCTTTCCCATCTTACCCTTCTTGAGAGAAGTAACCATCACCGTCACGTTGCTCTTGTAAGTAGACAGAAACACGCTAAACGCCCGCAAGGCGTTGTCGTTCAGCCAAGCGGAGTCTCTGAAGCAGAAAAGGTCTGCGTAGGTCAGGTCGAAGCCAAAGCCAAGTAGCGGTGTGTATGGTCAGCATTCGAGAACTTTGCCAAGTAACAGCCTAGGGGGGGTCCGCTACGATACCTTTCACGTCTTGGCTCAGCCATGTGCAACACAGTACCGCATTCCGGCATGTAGCCTGCCAATTCCACAGCGACTGCAGCGCTTCTAACTGCTCCCGGGTAAATCTGCCAACTGTCTCAATGGCGGCCACGTAACCTTCCGTTTCGCGTGTCACCTCTCCATCACTGTCCAGCTCAATCTCCTCCCCTTTCGCCAAACCACCTCTCCGTTTAGCTAGAGCGTCTTCAACGACGGACTCCAGTGGGCGGAAGCGCACGTCCTCGCAAATATTTTCCGTGTCCGACATCCACTGGATTGACTTTCCGTCACCTTTCTTCTTTGTTTCATGCGTTGTCAAAAACGAGCTGAGCTCGCGGACACCTGGCTTAATCACTTCCAGCGTTGCTACCACTTCCGTCACGTCCTTATCTCGTAGTAGAGCTCTGAGTTTCATTCCATTGTTGTATTCTTTCAGCGCCAATGCTGCCTCCTCTCTCATATGAGCACGATTCAACCGTGGTCGACCGATACGCCTCTTGTTTGTCAGTCGAACCTTTGAGCGTTTACCTGATTGCACCGATTTTTGGGCGGGGGCTGCCACTTGTGTCGGAGGTTCGTCTTCCTCATCATATGGTCCGTTTTCGTAAGCTGTATTCTCTCCGCCAGAAGCACCAGGACCTACATTCGTACCCTCTGTTCCTGGGCTACCTCCACCGCCTCCGCGGCTTCCACTGTTACCGCCACCACCAGCAGCGTCATCTCGATCGGGGCCCGAGTCGTCGACCAGGTCTGCATCAGCTTGCACCAGCGGAAACCGCCCTTGACGTAAGTGTACCACCACTGGTCAATCTGCTTCATCGCAGACTCGAACCCAGTGTTATCACATCGGACAAGCTCGCTTCTGATCCGACCGAACGCCTGCTGCGTACGCCGATACTTCTCGGCTTCACTCAAACTGCCAGCACTCGCAGCTTCATGCTCCTTGTAGATCTTAACGGATTTTCCACCTCCATCAAGTCCTGTTGCGAGATGCGATTCTGTCGAAACCACCTACTGGTACATATCAATAACAAAACATGGTTAATACTTGGTCAATACATGGATAAAGCCAAATACCTGGATAACACCTGGTCAATACTCATAGAAAACCTGGACATACCTGGGCGAAATTGAAGAGAATGGGATGACGAAGGGGCTTCCGCATACTTTCGGGTAGACTATTGCGTGCCTGCATGGAAGCTTCGTAGTCTGCGAGAACTCGCAGTCGCACACCCAGCCTTCCTTCTCAAGAAATATACTCTTTCTCTTCGCTGTGTACGGTGATCGTAGCGCCATTGTCCTTGAAAGCGTAGGTATCGACAACCTCGGGATTCGCAGCAATGTCAAATTGCGTCTTCAGAGCAGCAGCTACCCACCGCGCCGTCATGCCCAAAGCGACGTTCAACTCCTCCGAGTTCGATGCGTCTCTCAAGGTACCTGGCATCCCGACCTTGGACCGATATGCTTCTTCTTTTCGGCGCTGATATTCCAGAAGCACCTCCAGACTAGCACGCATAGTTAGATGGCCTTTCAGCTTTCGTTTCAGCTTACCAAATAGGCTCTCGACATGATTATTCGTGTGATTGCCGAAGTGTGGCAAATCGACACGATAAGCAATCACCCACATCTCTCGGCACGCATTACAGTTCTTGTCAAAATACTCCCATAGCTCCACACGACCATTCCGCGAGGCCAGAATCTTGAACTCATCCCGATGCCACGCATAATCTTCCTCAGTTCTGGAGTATGTCATGTTCGTGATGGTGTGCTTCATCTGCGTCAAAACTTCTGCTTCGTAGACGCCATAGGTCTGAGATTTCTTGATGGTGTCATGAAGCCACTTGATGACATGAAAGTGGCAGAGAAGAATCCGCGCCTCTGGAAATTTCTTGCGAATCACATCGATCTCGCGCACGTCCTTGTCGACGATGACTATCCGCACGAACCGCCAGTGCTCATTTGCACGCTTGAAGTGGTCGAGGCACTGTGACATGTGCCAATCGTCATTCGTTTCGATGAGGGAGTACTGCACCGGTTGCCCTTGGCCATATTGATCCATAGCTACAATCGTGAAAAGCTGGTAGTTGTATCTATTCACAAATGACATGAACACATGGTTAATACCTGGAAAATTGGTGTCAGCAAATAAAAAAAAACGGTCAAATATTAAACCTGGATGATATGCATAACAGAGTTGGAGGGCTCACTATTTTTTCTGATGTGTGCAGTCCATCTGCAGAACCTCCGGAACGTTCTCTACCATCGCGCGCATGTGCCCACTGGTAAACGAAATAACATCAGTATCTCCTCGTTGGCTTTCGTGAACGGAAGCTACATTAGCGGGCGACTCTCCATTGAAGTTCAGGATCATCTCCGCAACCGCGTCGTCATCGGACAGTTCCACGGCTGCAGTCATAAGAAGTATAAACATCAGTACACAGATAGTATAGAATACCAGCATAACCACTTGCCTTGCGTCTTCATTCGCCTGATCACGCTTCGCACGTCGTCCATCGTGACACGGTGGTTCGAGTTCTCCCTGATGTACTTGTACATTTGTGGGGGTCACTCAAAAATAAAAGATCCGCTACAGATAGTAACGATTAATCAAAGGGTCCAAGCGACAGCAATGTACTTCAAAGCACATTTGCCAGCACCGACGGCTCACAGTTCGCCATATTAATTCAAAAGTCTCCTCTCAAACTAGGCACTTATGACCCCCCCCACCTCCGTATGTATTCACATTCAGTCGAGTTTCTACCAATCAACAGTGTCGATACAAGGATACATCAAAATGATGGTGGTATCTTATCCTATGTTTTGTATGAACCTCCTAAACCAGAATGTGATTGGTCGAAAAGCGTCATGATTACACGCGCCCGAAAATCGGCCCTAATGTTGTACTCGAGGAGCTCCTGTGCTCGACTACTTGGTCGTACAGGAATGCTATCACTTGATATGTATTTGTTGATCTATGTTCTACATGTTGGTTAAGTCCGCAATACGTTTCAGTGTTCAGCGGATCTTTTATTTAGTAAAATGTCAAATCATGTCCCACTCGAGTTACTTGAGGCAGATTCCGGTTGTTAAGTTATTTAACTGGACGTCCCTTCAACAATGTACGGGAATCTCGGGAAAATAATAAATTCGGTTTTTCCTGGCGAGTCTAGGGATGCTGAAACTTTGCATATCTACTAATACGTCCATCAAAGGAGTAATGCCAAAGTGGCTTCTCCTTTTCTTGTCCCGTTCGGCAACGAGGACATGGTGTGCATTCCCCCCTTACTATTTGTCAGCCATCTTGTCGCTAGTAATGCGCGATCTTTCACCCCTACCTGAAAGGTCACACAAATACATATAGCTTTTTATATGCTGCATAAATAACGGTAAGAAACATCGCAGAGGGGCCAGGCAACGCCAACTTTGAGGATAAATCGCTCGAGATCTACATACATTTAGCCCTTCATACAGCGACATTACCCAAACTAGATGCAGACTTTCTATCCATGTCGGTCTCAACGGCGATGTTCCTCATATTGAAGAGTTAAATTCGCCGAAATCACAGGTTTCCGACCTGTCATGTGCATTCATGAAGGGACGCCCAGTTAAAACGGCAAAAACTCTTTAAGTAAACACCATTTAAGCACTGAACTCTAACAGAGGGCTCCGTTACACTTTTAAACGGAAAACTCGCCATACCATCCGCGAACTATTAACAGGCGCGGCCCCTAACGGTGTCCAATATTACCGAGAAACTGATAAATTCGTTTTGTCCTGTGCTTGTCAGATCAACGCCATAGTTCGGAACGGGATACATCAATACCTAAAAGGAGTAATTGACGCGTTTCAGCGCGGAGACCCCTCTGCTTCATCAGCACTTACGTTCTTCTGCAAGATGCCATACTTAGACGTAGTCAATTTTGAGTGCAGGCTTTCGTACAGCGAAAGGTCGCGCGTGTCCAATAGATTACTTCGGTGATGGCAACGCACCCAATCTGTGGGGAAGACATCTGCCAGCGGGTTTCCAAGCAGAAGCCGTTTAGCAGGAATACCCCAGTGTCTACAACTTTCGTCGATCTCTATAGATGACAAATATCATAAATTACTCGCACATTATCATAAATAACTTGCATATGAAAAGGCATTACAGTAATTTATGTCAAAGAGTCGCATGAATGGCAAACTTCATGTGCTCGTGAACTGGAGCACTAGTGTAGCTCTAAGCATCACCGTTGATCTAGTCGCAGTAAGACCTACCCAATGATGCCTCTCGTGTCTGCACTAGTAGTCTCTTTCTGGTACCTAAATATGCGTCTTCTCGGAGAAATCCAGTTATAGGTACATTCTTAGGGGCCGCGCCTGTTAAAAATACTCCAGTAGCAGCACGCGCGTCACTACGAAACGATCCGACAGTAACTACACAGCATTTCAGCACACACCCACAGACCAACAAACCGACCAGGCGCGTACCCGTGTAGGTATCTTTAGGTCATGGTGGGTCTGTATTTTTTGGCCTGCACGGTACTGTGCGCGCTAAAGCCCGTGCCGCCCGCCTGCAGGTGCACGATGTCCTGCTTGCGCAGCTTCAGACCCGTCACGGGGCACGTCATGCTCGGCAGCACCATGTCCTTGAGGCAGCTCTCCAGCACCACCTGGCCGGACGGTCTCAGCAGCACGGCGCGGCGGTGGGAGATCTCCTTCTTGGTCACGGCGCAGAGCACGTGGGCCTCTTTGGCGTTGTCTCCAGGAGCGTCCCACTCGAACTTGATCGGCAGGAGGTGCTTGAGCTTCATCTCGTCGAGACTCATGGGGTCCCGCGTCTTGGTGTCGGGCATGGCCACCGTCGTCTCCTGCGACGGCGTGCATTCCGGAATCCAGAAGCTCGTGCGCTTCATAGCCTCGCACCGCTCGTTGTCCGTGGCCGCGTCCACCTTCTCTTGCAGCTTGCGCGTGGCCAGCGCGGCGCGCTCCTGTGGCTCCAAGGAGGAGGAGGAGGAGGCAGCCGTCATCGACTGCTGGCCCTCGGCCGCGTCCAGCGCCTTCCGCAGCGTGTCGCGCTCCTGCTGCAGCGCCGCGTCCTGCGCCTTGCGGTCGTGCGCCTCCAAGAAGCGCGCGTAGGCCGCCGTGTTCTCCTGGATGGCGCGCTTCTGCGCCAGCAGGTTGGCGTAGATGCACTCCTTGCAGTAGACGAAGCCCGCGGGCGACGCCAGCGGACTGCGCCCGCGCGTGGAGGCCAGGCACAGGCAGCACACGCCGAAGGACAGCTGCGCGTCGCGCCCGAAGCGCCGCTTCAGCGTGCCGTGGCCCGCGGCCGCGCGCTCGTGGTACGTGAAGTGCATGGTGGCCGTCGCGTTCTTGCTGTGCCGGCTCATTCTGCTGGAAGCGAGATACACTAGATATTCCCACAGTGGGTCAGCTCTAACTTGAAGGATATGAGCTGTGATTGGTTAAAACTCGATTGCTATCTTGCTGCCAACCCCTTTCCATACTGCCACGATTTTGGTGCAGTATTGTAGTGAATTCCAGGTCCAGCTGGGTGGCACCGCAGCATAACCCAAGCTACGATCACCCAAGTGCGTCAGCAGCACCGATTGGTGACAATGGATGATCTCTTCGAATGATTACTCTCGACGCTGAGGTGTCTTACGGCGTAAACAGGTCGAGCAGTTGCGTGGCTCGCTGGACTGAAGTGTCCAATCAAGCTACATGAGGATTTAGTAGGCTCAAGTGCAAGTTTATTCTGTATGTCCACTTCTTCGAGCAGCAGCTGCCTTCTAGAAGCTTCTAGAAGCTGCTTCTCTCGTTAGGAGGCCGGTGAGGCCACGGGCTGGTTACCATCAGACCCAGTGCCTCACCCCCTTCACTTTCGATTCTTCCTAGCAATACACAAAGCCCTACTTCCGTGCGGGTTGGCCCCCGCATCGTTGTGTGTTGTGTTGCTTTGAACCCGGGAAATACTACAAAGAATTCTTTAGTAGGACACCACTGCCCGAGCGCAGCCCGCCACAGACCGACTGCGCCGCTCAGTGACGTCGAAAGCCTACTACAACCTCCTCTCCAAGTGCAGAGACCCAAGTCCCTGAGCATCCGGACGGCCAGCTGCTGAAGATGACGCGCTCGACGGAAAGCGACGGGCTGACCGGTTCTGTGCCACTCTTCGTCCCTATCCTGCTGCCGAAGATCACGTCGATCTCCCACGAGGCGTTGGTGAAGTGGCAGCGCGACCGGCGCGACTACGAGACCAAGCTGTGCTCCCGCTGCCGTATCTCGGGCGAAGACTACGACATCGTCGCCGAGTCCATCAAGGAGGCATTCGACGAGGATCTACTGGAGGTTTTCTGCGAGCTCCAGCTGGACACGACCCCCGCCGCTGTAACCGACACCATTCTCCTGGCAGAGATCGAGCGCATTGTCGACAGTGTCAAGAACGACGCGCCGCCGGATATCAAGGAGCTGTTCAAGCGCGAGCTGCGCATGAACATGAGCGAGAGCGACGTGACCGCCCGAGTGCTGGACTACTTTATCCTGTTCAACTAGATCACCAAGGAGAACGGGCTGACGGCATGCTTCAGCCACGCCAACGGCGTACGTGAGAAGTGCAAGCGACTCGTGTCGCAGCTCAAGCCGGAGGCGCTGAAGAACGAGGTGAAGCAGTGCATCCGCTTCACGCACGTCCCAGCTGCCACGGACCCGAAGCTGCTGTTCAAGCTGGTCGTCGAGAAGGCGAACGAGCACGAGCGGCAGTTCATCCGCCTCAAGCAGCAGAAGCGAGAGCCCGCTGAACGAGACCAAGACAAGTCGAAGAAAACCCAGCCAGCCAAGCCGAAGAAAGACTGGAACAACAAGCGGCCCGCAAAGCAGACTGTGCCTGTTAGTGCTGAAGCGAGATCTAATTGGAGGCCCGCACACTCCGACAATAGCCAAAAACCGTTCGGTCCTGCCAAGCCATCGACGACCGGGAAGCCGCCGCCAGGCCCGTGCCCGAAGTGCAAGGCAATGCATTGGATCCGCGAGTGCACGGTGGCGACGGAAGACGAGAAGGTCAAGCTGATCAAGGCACTGCGCAAGAACAAGAAGGCGAAGCTAAAGCGCCTCGGAGAATTGCTGCCAAGTGGGGGCCGCACGGTGATGCTCAACGGTGTGCTGGAAGTACCGTACTGCCCTGACAGTGGGTCGGACTTTACAGTCATTGGGCGGTCGCACTGGGAGCAATTGCGTGCTCTCGACCCAAGTATCACAGACGAAGAACTTGCTGTCCCCGTGGAGAACCAGACGTTTGGCTCCACGGTGGTGACGCCCCGCCTGAAGGCCAAGCTGCACGTAATGATCCATACAGCAGTCGGCCCTGTTGAACCTATGGGCATGGTCGACGTGGTGGTGGTGGATGTCGACGATGGCGAGTTCATCGTTGGAAATGACCTCCTACTATCGCTCGGCATTGATGTAGATCACCAGCTGGAGCAGCTGGCCTCGCGTGATGGAGATGAACTAAGTGGAGATCCGATCAATTTGGAGGCAGATGAAATGCCTGTGGGTGCCGATGGATCCCCGCCAAGTGATGATGATGACATTTTTGCTGCAGTGGAACGATTGATTGACCGCGCCGTGGAGAACGGATTTCCGCTGGAGCATGTGGAGCAGCTGCGCACGATCGTGCACGCGTACGATGTGTGGCGCCTCGAGTTGCGTGCTGACCCACCGGCAAACGTGCCGCCCCTGGAAGTGCGTCTGCAGAGCGGGGCTCGCCCAGCTAAGTGTAAGCCCCGCAAGTACCCGCCGCACATCCGGAAGTTCCTGCAAGAATTTAACGATCGTCTTGTGGCTCTAGGACTGGTGTACGAGAACCCCAAGAGCCGCTGGTCGAGCCCCGTTTTTCCAGTCAAGAAATCGGCCGACCTCATGGACCTCCGCCAGACTACCGACTACCGAGCAGTCAACTCGCTGACGGACGTCATGGCGGCAGTGATGCCTATTCTTTCGTTAGATCTGGAAAACGCCCGAGGAATGAAGCACTTTGGCCTTTTTGATTTCCTCAAGGGTTTCTGGCAGTTGCCGCTTGCAGAGCTCTGCCAAGAGTTTTTCTCCTATATGACTGACATGAAGATTTTCACGCCGCGTCGAGTGCCGCAAGGAAGCAGTGACGCTGCCATTCACTTCCAGAAGACAATTGAGGAGTGCTTCTCAACCTTAATCTACGAGCACCTTCTGATCTGGATTGATGACCTGCTGTTGTACGCTGCGGACATCGAGACCTACTTGATTAAGCTCGCGGAGCTGTTCTCACTGCTCAACCAGTTTGGCCTCAAGTTGAGTGCTAAGAAATGCAGTTTGTACCAGACCAAGGTGAAGTGGTGTGGTCACGTTATTGATCACCAAGGTGTGCGGCATGATACCGAGCGCATTGATACTCTGCGAGCACTCCCGTACCCGCGTACTGCTGTGGAGCTACAGCAGTTTGTCTGCGCCATCAATTGGATGCGCGAGAGTATCGTCGATTTCGCGCGCCAAGTCCCACCCCTGCAGCGCCGATTGGATGCAGCACTTGCCGACACTAAACGAACAAGACGTGCTGCCGCAGGTATTGAGATCGATATTACTGAGGAAGAGCGCCGGGCGTATGATCACGTGAAGGAGCTGCTTGCAACGTCCGCCACGCTCGACTTCCCTGATGACAACGCGACCACGTGCCTGTTTTCAGACGCATCGGACGTTGGTTGGTCGTTGATCGTGACCCAAGTTGCGGAGTTTGACTCTTCCAAGCCTGCCACGGAACAGCAACACCGATTGATCCACTGCATGAGCGGGACGTTCACGGGCAGCCAACTAAACAGGTCAATTATCGAGAAGGAAGCACTACCAATAGTCATTGCGTGCGAGAAGCTGGGCTACTTGCTTCTCCGCCCAAAACCCTTCAGGATGTACTGCGATCATAGGAACCTGATTCACGTCTTCGCCCCACACGAAAGCGTGAAAAAGCATATCAAGGGCAAGCTTCTAAGATGGGCGATGAAGCTGATGAACTTTCGATACGTCGTAGAGCATGTGCCCGGACCAGATAATGTGTGGGCAGACATGATTTCCCGTTGGGCTGGGAACCATGTGCCCGCTGTTTCCGTCAAACGGATAAAAGCAGTACGACGGCAACAAGGGGCCGAGCGACACGCGTCGCCTTTGCTAAGACCTCTCGATGACGACGGCTTCACTTGGCCTACGCTGGAGGAGCTGCGCGAGATCCAAGCAAAGTTTTCACCTCCGCCGAAGGCTGAGCGTGGTGAGAATGGCGTCATAACGCTTGGGAACCGCATCTGGGTGCCGCACGAAGCTACGGATTTGATCCAGCGACTGTGCGTCGTGGCGCACTGCGGAGCCCAAGGACATCGGGGACAACAAGCAATGACAGTCCACCTGAATCGGCTGTTTGCAATTGATCGCCTGACGAAGACGGTAGCAACTTTTGTGAGTGGATGTTCGTTGTGTCTACACTCTCCCGGAGGCAAGATAATCCCGAGGCCATGGGGTGAGCAGATTGACTGCAGTACACGGAACGCCGTTTTACATTTTGATTTCCTATATCTGGGGCCGAGTTATGGTGCGAGCAAGTACCTTTTGGTCCTGAAAGACCACGCAACCCATTACTGTGAGCTGGTAGTCGCGGATACACCTGAGAGTCACGTCGTGGTGGACGCGTTGCTGGATTGGCACTCGCGGTTTGGAGTTCCACCTGACTGGATATCCGACCAAGGATCACACTTCAAGTGTGAGGTAGTTGCCGAGCTCTGTCGCCGCCTCCGCTCCCAGCAGTCTTTCACATCTGCGTACAGTCCGTGGGTGAACGGTTCAATTGAACGAATCAATCGCGGCATTCTTCAAGTCATTCGTGCGATGATACTCGAGTACAAGGTGAGCTACAAGGACTGGGTGTACCTGGTGCCGATGATCCAGTCAAATCTCAACCATACTGCTGTGCCTTCGCTCGGAAATTGCGCTCCAGTAGATCTGTTCACGGGTCTCGAGTGCCCGACCCATTGAAGGAGTTTTATCTACCTGACAAGAACGACCTGCAAGAAATTCCTGCAAGTGATGAAATTGATGCGCTCCTAGACACACTTCGCGCGAGTATCCAGAACATGCACAACGACGTCGCCGACAAAAAGGGAAAACAACGTCACCTCAACAAACGGCGAGAACGAGGCGAAAATATGGTGAATTTCGCGCCCGGAGACTACGTGATGCGTTCCAGAGTCGACGAGAAGCACCGCAACAAGTTGCAGGTGACGTGGGTTGGCCCTTATAAGGTGGTGCGAGCTGATAAGCATTCGTTCGGCGTACAACATCTTATCACAGTTGAAGAGCTGGACGTGCATCCCTCCAGGCTCAAGTTTTATGAGGACGACAGCCTGGACGTTTCCGAGGAGTTACTGCAGTACGTGGCATCGCAAGGCATCGTGCTCGCAGTGGAGAAACTCAAAGGCCATCGCTGGAACGAAAACACCGAGGACTACGAGGTTTTGGTCGGGTGGAAAGGTTTCCAGGCCATCGAAGACTCCTACGAGCCGCTGAGTGATTCGGCTAAGGAGATTCGTGTTCTGGTGAACAACTATGTACTGCATGCTGAGGACCAGGCGCTCGCGGAGCATTGGCAAAGGCTGCAGGGGAACACAAGGCAGAGCGCCGACGGGCAACCTGTCGTTCCCGACGCTACGTCGACCGGTGAATCGCGTGTGCCACCAGGCAACGCGGGACAGGCAAGGCGCCGACTATCCGGGAACAAGCGGCGAAAACGTGATGGAGGTGCTGATCGCAGCGCTCCACAATCTGATAATGACGATCGAGCTGGAGCAAGGCCTCTTGCTGCGAGCAAAAAACGCAAGCGTCCGAAGACAAGAGTCGCAGAGGCTGGACAGCCTCCAAGTGGCGGTCAACGACATTCTCGCCGTTCAAATCGCTCTCGTAAGGACCGTGGCCAGCATGACTAGCTTTCTTGCGGAGAAATGCAGTCGCTGTCGGTGATCGAGACGATATGAGCGGTGACACAAGCTTCGGGGGCAGTGTAGTGAATTCCAGGTTCAGCTTGGTGTCACCGCAGCATAACCCAAGCTACGATCACCCAAGTGCGTCAGCAGCACCGATTGGTGACCATGGATGATCTCTTCGAATGATTACTCTCGACGCTGAGGTGTCTTACGGCGTAAACAGGTCGAGCAGTTGCGTGGCTCGCTGGACTGAAGTGTCCAGTCGAGCTACATGAGGATTTAGTAGGCTCAAGTGCAAGTTTATTATGTATGTCCACTTCTTCGAGCAGCAGCAGCCTTACTTCCGTGCGGGTTGGCCCCCGCATCGTTGTGTGTTGTGTTGCTTTGAACCCGGGAAATACTACACTAATCCGCTTTGCAAGCTACTTCGGTGCGCCGCACATGCTGCGCACCAGTCACTCTCTGGATACTTAGATACTTGCCCCATTCAATATGATAATGGCATCAAAATTCATAGCAGCAGGGTTGCGTGCTTCAGCCCTGTTTGAGGAATGAGCACATCTCTTTCCGTGTAAAATTGTTTTGGACTACATACATCACTTTGTGAATCTATCTGCGAATATCGGTATCTATCCAGGGTGCACTTCAACTTGAGTATCATTAGCTTCCGGCTCAGCTTCGATGTACTAATATATCAATTACGTGTACCAGCTGTGTCTGCTGAAGCCTATCATCATGTGAAACCTCAGGAATGGTTTCGAACAGTGAGCTACCAAAAATCTGCGTGCTTTTGACGATCTGCAATAGCTTTAACTCTCTCTCTCTCAGTTTCCAGGCCAAAATGAGACACTAGTCGTCCTCAGTATCTTCGTGATGTAGTTCAGCACCCAAAATACTCGACTTAGTCGACTGTAAGCAAACGATTTATTTAGCAACTATTCATTCTTGCCAACAACGTTATCGTGCTACTGTAATGTTCATCAATTAATTTCTGAAGCCTTATTAACAGAAATGGCTCCAAGTCGGGTTCGCATACAAGACTAACTTGCGATTTGAACATGTTTCGCTGAGGTCGAGCCATTATTGCTAGTAAATACCAGCTACAGAGGTCAACTTTCAATTAATTCGACCTCCGGAGCGACCTATTCACAGGTCGAAGAGCTGTGCTTGGCCGGCAGAAAAATTTGTATCTTTCCAAAACCGGGTTCCTAACTGTAACGGGGTTACATGGAATAGTGACCCTGTCACTATTCCGGGATGGCTACATCGGTCACTCCCCTGGATAGTGACCCAAGTGGCCTCAGAGCCAACAGATACATTTTGTATGACACAAACTATAGGGAACTTAGGATTTGTATGCAGGCCAAATCTGTACCAACCTATAAATACATTCAGTCTTAGATCTACCGCTTTTCAAGTCAAGTCGTCCCCTTCAGACCAGGGACACGTGAACGGCTGTTCACT